TTTTAGCATTTTAAATAGGATATTTGGATGATAGGGACCAAACGAGGCAAGCGGGCACGCTCTTCGTTTCTGGTCTCTTTCTGTAGTCAGGCAGGAAGCCCCGGCCAGGCATTTGCCTGTGTGCTCTCAGGCCTATCACCCACCCTTCCTGTGCTCTGTTCTCTGTTGCAGAGAATTATGTTTTGCAGGTTCCTTCACCAACTTGCTCTTGGTATGTTCGACCGAGGGCAGTGCTAGGGAGTGAATATTTGTGCTCGCCCCATTCATATTTTGATTTGGGATTTCCTAGCCTCCAGAACTATGAGAAGTGTGTGCTTGTTGTAGAAGTCATCAGGTCTAGGGCATTTTTGTTATAGGAATACTAATAGGTTGGACAGGGAAGTGCTGGCTGTGTCTTCTCCCCAGACTCTGCCTCCATGGCCCCAGTTCTGGTGGACTCCACCAAGGTCAGGCTCTCGTGGCCCCACCTTCTTTGTGCCTCCAGCTGTTGCTGCTTGTTTTCAGAGTGCCTCACCATCCTCTGTTGGGCTTTTTAGCCTTTGTTCCCAGTGTGAAAAACTCCCTGTATTATTTTGGCTCAAATAATTACATAAGTTTTTGTTTTCCTGACTGAATTTTGAGTAACGCAAACCCCAGATATACTTAATTTGAGATTATGGTCTAAGAAAACTTGTTTTTGCTGGTCAATATAACTCTGAGATCATTCTTTTCTTTTCATTCATAAAAAAACAAGTTGAAACACTAGTCCCAGTCTTTATAAAACCCCCTCGGGACTTGACTGTTTGTTGCTTGTTTGACTAAGGTGACTTCTCCCTCCCTTCTCAACAGTGTTTGTTTTCTAAAGCAAAGAAGCAAGGCCAGGCGTGGTTGTGCACCCTGTAACCCCAGCTGCCCGGAGGCTGAGGCATGAGGATCATAAGTTCAAGCCCAGCTTGGACAATTTAGCAAGACCCTGTCTCAAAATAAAATGGAAGAAAGGGCTGGGCATGGAGCTCAGTTGAAGAGCACCCCATGGTTCAGTCCCCAGTACCAAAAATCAGTCAGTCAGTCAATCAAACTTAACAAATCCAGAGGACTTGACTGAGAAGCTCAAATATAAGGATTGTTTTGGATTATGCCTTTTATTTTTGATACCAGGGATTGAACTCAGGAGCACTCGACCACTGAGCCACATCCGCAGCCCTGTTTTGTATTTTATTCAGAGACAGGGTCTCAATGAGTTGCTTAGTGCCTCACCATTGCTGAGGCTGGCTTTGAACTTGACATCCTCATGCCTTGGCCTCCCAAGCCTCTGGGATTACAGGCGTGCGTCACTGCACCTGGTTTATGCCATTATTTTTGAGGAAAAGTAAAGGTGTATGAATTGTAAAAAGGAGGGATCATTTATTTGACTACAGCCATGCTACTTTTGTCATCTTAGAATGGGTACAAAGTTAAATTTTCAGTACATAAAAATGCATGAATTAATACCCACCTAAAGGTACAAGATACAGGGGCATTTAGGGGAAGTAGAGACTAATTCTAGGACCAGAAACAAAGCTTTTTGCTTCATCTTCCACCATGCAACCTGCTAGTTTCCAAAGCAGCACTTCCTCTGCTTTTCATCGCCTACCTGGATCCTACTGGTTAATTAAGTCCAGAGAAAGGCCATCCATGCCTTCAAAATAAGTACTTCCTTTTAGCTAGATGATAGTGGTTAGTATAATATGGTTATTACAATTGGCAACACCCAACAAGTGATTGACTTGCTGCCTTTAGATTTCCTTGAGTGGCTATCGATGACATCAGTGCCTTGTTAACATTACGATTGTCTAAAGGATTAAACGAGACATGCTTGTGGCTGGCATATAGTAAATATACGGAAATTGCTGGCAACTTTTGTAAAATATCAGTCATCATCTAACATTTATTGAGCATGGTGTGGGAGTGGGAGTGTATTTTGTGTTAAGAATTTGACCTAAGCGTGGTCAAGGTCATAAAAATGCTGAAAGATGGAGCCAAAACTTGAACCTAATCTGTTTGATGATAACTTATTTTCTTCAATCCTATGTTATCTGGAGTCCCATATTACTGACAGAAGGCATTGGAAACGTATTAGCTGTAGCATGGTGATCAAAAACCAAAACATGGTGATTAAAACAAACAAACAAACCCACTTTTGGATTGGTTCCCTCCATCAGCAGTGTTTCTTGAAAGCTCATTGTGTAAAAAGCTCTCTATAATGAATTTTTCAGGACAAAGAAGTAAGGCACATGATGTCTGTGAAATGTGGCTGAACCAGTCTCACAAAACACGGGTTGAACATGCATGTTAACCTGATGTAAGTGGAATGCACGTGGACCAGGGAGAGAAGAGGAGCCTTCTATAGTGGTTCTTGCAGGCTTACCTGATTCACGAGACAGGGTTTGGTACCTAATAGATGGCTGGGTTTAAACCTTAGTTTTGCCTGTTTTTGTAGCACGACCTGGAGTATGTTTCTCTACCTCTTTGAGCCTCAGTTCTTGTGTATGAAAAGGAGATAGTGATGGTGACCTCACAGAAGTACTGTGAAGGGCCAGAGTTGTTTCTGATAAGCGTGTGTTCAGTCAATTCTAGTTTATAAGTACATGACCATGCAGGGAATGTCAGCATGCTCAACTCCAAACAAAGAGCTCTTAGGCTTTTAGATCTGGCACTTGTCAATTTCCTACTAGGTCTCTCCTCTCCCCCATTCTCCTCATAATTTTCTGGTTATCTGGCAACTGCACAAAAGGAAATCACATGTAGCTGCTTCTGTGAAATACCCAGAAAGTCATCTTTGAGAAAAACCAGCACTTCCAAGAAAAAACAATGACACTCAGTTCAGGGGGGAAAAATCAACAGCAACAAAAAAATCCTCTGGGATTAGTCACATCCTGAAGACCCAGAGAGGTTTGTGATTACTTGGTGAACTCACTAAAGCGCTGTGAAATCAAATGCTTCCAAATGGTGAATTGATGAGGATAGAAGAGAGAGCAGTGCAGTGGGTGAGGACTGGGGGGGCGTGGTGTATGCTCCTGGGGCCTGGGATGTCCAGTAGGCAGGGAGAGGACGGAGGATGCAGGACCCAACACTCCTGTCCATAGGGCTGGATGAGCATCTTCCATCCAGTCTCCGTAGGCCTGAAGTGACTCTGAACCTGAGGCTCTGCAGACTCATTCCAGCAACTTCCCAAGTCCTGTCTTTGCTTTGAACTATTGACCAATGTTTGGGCCAGGGCACTCTTAAGTTCATTAAGTGATTTTTCCAGAAGAGATTTTGTAAGATAACTGGTCCATTGGCCATGCAAATCTAAGGTATTGTGATTTGTTAAAATTTTGTTAAACTAATTTTAAATTGGTTAGCGCATTTTGTTCTAGAAAAACGTCTTTCTCAGTCCCGTGAGTACCGTGTAGTTTCTTTCGCAAACATCCATGTGATGGAAGTGGAAACTTGTGCCATTTTATGAGCTGTAGGAGGAGCCTGCATTTGAGTGACAGAAAAAGGAAGAACAGGTGGAAATTTCTGGATGTGATTATAACTTTAGAAACCACCAGTATTCATGATGGTAACATGGGCCCTTTTTAAAGTTGAGTAGGCTTGAGATTCTACTAGAACAGTGTAGAGAATTAAAAAAGGTCTGAGATCAAATGGACAAAGATCCCAGATGGATCCTGGAGGGAACTGTTGGGTGCTGTCTCTACCACCAGCTGTGTGACCTGTAACTTCTTTAAGCATTAGTTTCCTCATTTGAATAATGCTACTAATACAGTCTTGTAAGTTATTTAGTCAGCTGTTAAAGATCTTCACAAATATTTAGGTAGCTACCTAAATGTACATCTACACTATGATGATCTTACATTGAAATTTTATTCATCTTTAAGCAAGTGATTCTGTTGTCAAATTGTGATACATTAGAGCCAAAATATTCATGGAGGGGAATACTCCTTGCTTCAGTGGCAAAAATATGAATGAATTTAAGGGTTAGAGCTCAAGTTACATTTCTTCTATTTTCTGTCCAATTTGGAAAACTGTGATCAGGTTTTTAAAAAAGGGGCAAATCATCTCCTGGAGGAAAGGGACACTGGGAGCTGCATGTACATGGAGTTGTTCTCTCGTTGTATCCAGATGTTAAGATCCTCCTGCCTGTCAGTTTACAAGCTTTCTGTTGGTTGCTGCATGCTGAGGGATGAGGTAGATAGACCCTGTGGGTGCTGCTCTCTGTACATCTCCCTGCACTGAAGAGGGGCTGTGTACCTTGAGGAGGGAGCTAAGTTAGCACTTACTGTGCACACGGCGGTGCCTGGTGATGGTGTTCTGTCCAGGAGTGACGTGCTGCCGGAAATATTTCATGACACCCCGTTGAACAATCTAGAACTTTAACATGCACAGAAATGGTCCATGGTCCTAGCTTCTGAGCCCTGATCAGCTGCGGGAATTGGGTTGAGAGATCTTTCACTGGAACCCGTGCCCAGGACAACCTCTGCTGTCTCCTGAGACAACCATCGTTCATTCTCTTTCTCTCTCCCCTCTCCATCTGTTATCTTTATCTGTTTCTGTCTTTTTCTTCCTCTTCTTCTCTCTCAAAGTATTTTCCTTGCCCTTCGCTTCTTCCTTTTCTTCTCCCCACCCCCACCCTTTTCTGTCCTCACTTTTTGGGCTAAGGAGGGATCTGCCTGATGAGGTTTGCTGGTATCTTCCCTCTGATGTTCTCATGGATTTTCCTGATCTTCTTGACTCTGGCCTGAACCATGCCATTCAAGAGGGGTGAACACTTCCCTTTCAGGGAGAAGGAGGATGGATTTTTAATGACCGTTCTGTTGAGACTAGTTTCTCTCTCTATGGAAAGGGTGCTCACTGGGCAGCTAAGACTTGAAGTCATCATCTCCTTCCCCAAGCCCACCGGGTGACAGTGTCACCAGTAAGCGCTGCTAAGCATTCACCTCAGCCATGGATGTAGTCTTTCTCTTTGATGATGAAGGCTATTGTCTTTCTGATTGTAGATTGAGGAGACTCGGCTCAACATTGACAAGATCTCAGAGCATGTGGAGGAAGCAAAGAAACTCTACAGTATCATTCTCTCTGCACCAATTCCAGAGCCAAGTGAGTGTTTACTCAGCTGAGTCACCCAGTGGTGACCTTTTGCATCGGGGCAGAGGCATTCCTGTTTTCCTCACCTCTGTGAACAGCAGGGAGGTGTCCACATCACCCTGGACTAATGTCCACATCATATCACCTCTTTGATTTCTTTACCTTATCTGAGTTCTCACTGCCCAGCCGTCAGCTCTTCCCTTTATGGTCCCTCTTGAACCACTTACCCAGTCTCTCCTCTGCTTTCCAGCTGGACCCTCCTGTGGCTGGCAGTGACTCTTACTGCTTCCTACATACTCCATGCTCTGTCCCCCGTCTCTGCCTTCATTTATACTATTTCCTCCACCTGAAATGCCTTTCCCAGCCCCCTTTCTCAATCCCACCAGATCAAGTCCACCTTTCCCATGAGGTGGTCACGTAGGGTTCAGTTTCACAGGACTCCTGTTCCTAAGCTTTTTTTTTTTTTTTTTTTTAAACCACCACAGAGGCAAACTTTTGTTCCTCTTAATAGTAGGGGGAATACATTTTGAGAGTAAAATTTAGGGCTCCATTTCCTGTTCCTTAAGAACAGGGGCAAGCCCAATTCTGTCATTTCACTCTACTTTTTTTCAATGACTATTACCTCAAGATTAAAGTTGGAACATTTTAGCAGAGCATATGGGAGTCGTGCTGGTCGGGTTCCTGCCCTCCTCTCCACCTTTTCTCCCACCCTGCATGTTCCCATGTTACTTATACTTTAGTCAGACTAAATTCTGTTCTCCAAATATTTGTTATTCCCTCTTGCATGTTGTGCCTGCTCCTTGGGGCTCCAATGCCAATCACCTTCAGTACCCGGTTAACCCTTAGTCCTTCTTTGAGACTCTGTCCTACTTTCCTCATCTTTAGAAGCTTTCCCAGATCCCTATCAATCCCTAGCTGTGCCAGGGAGCCCTTTATAACCACCTCGTCAGAACTGCAGCCTACTCCAAACTGTATGTCAGGACTGTTAGTTTATTTTGCTCCCACCCCTCTCTGGACTTCGAGCACCTTGGAGGCGGATTCTGCATCTTCTTTCTGATTCCTTAGTTTCTAGCCCCATTCCAAGCTTGTAGTGGGGTGCCAAGGACGGTTTTTGAATGAATGGTTATAGCTAACATCTATTTTGCTCCATCCATCCCAGGATAGTCCTGGACATGGAGTAGGTGTATCAAAAATACTTGCTTCATTCTAAGTTGATGAACCTTGACTGATATCTCTTTCACCTAGAATTCCCGCAGAGTTCTCTCCTACCCTGTGAGATTAAGCCCGCATCATAAACCAGGTGGTTTCCTCCAAAAGAAAAGTTCTCAAAACTGACTTGGGGAGGTTTGTTGAAAAAGCAGATTCTGGGGCTTAAACCCTGGGTATTTTCTTCTGTACATCTGGAAAATGGTAACTGGAGAATGCCTTTTATTTTAATCAAATATTAATTTTGGGGGTTGCAAGGGATTGAACCCAGGGCTTCATGCATAGGATCTAGCGTTGAGCTATGCATTCAGCCTGAAAATGCTTTCTAAACACACGCTCTCGGATTCTAATGATAGACTCTGGGAAACACATTAGGATGATACTGTTGAGAGCAGTGGGTGCCTAAGCTCCCACACCCTTTGCTGATGGTTGTAAAAGAAGTTAGTCCTTCCTTTTCTAATGGCTTCTACCTCCTCTGTTTACCCAGAAACCAAGGATGACCTTGAGCAGCTCACAACCGAGATCAAGAAAAGGGCCAACAATGTCCGGAACAAACTAAAGAGTAAGAAGGGAACAGGGGAACAAGCTGACCCCTGCCACCATCCACTCAGCTCCCTGCATGTACCTCCTCTGAACTGACAGTCACCTGGATGAAGTGACCACTTGTCCATGTTTGCTTATGGTTTGGGCACTGTCCCTGGAGTGACCTATGGCAGCCCCAGAAAGTCCCCTTCTCTTGAATCTTGACTGTAGTTGAAAGAGTCCAGAATTGAAGTTAGGAGATGGGAGCTGGAATGTGCTTCAGCTACTGGCCTGGTCCTTTTGCTTAGTCCATGGGTGTATTCTTATTGGTTCTGTTTCCCCAGCACCCAGCCGACATTGGAGTAGTAATTTTAGACATACATACACGCAGGATTTATTCAGTTCACAGATGTTTCTTGGTGGGCACCTCCCATTGCTGCCCACCACCTATTTCAGAGCATAGATCCAATTCTTTTGGGGAACAAAGGGTTTCCACAGTTCCATGGCTGCAGTCTGTATGCTCGCTCAAAGTACTTGGTGAGTACGTGCACTTGCTCAGATGAGAAATCAGAATCATTGAGCCTAGCTTGTCATTTCTTCCCCCCAAATAAATTACAGTAACTATTGTAATGGGTGTGGAAAGGGGGTTGTTGGAAGCAGCTTCCAAAAATAATAATGATAGTGTGGCTACCGCTGTGCTAATAAGCACTTTATGTGCATTCTCATTTAGCCTTCACGTTGGTCCTGTGAGGAATGTACAAGTTGAGCTTCCCTAATTTGAAAATCCAAAACCCAGAATGCTCTAAAATCTGAAACATTTTGAGCACTGACATGACCCAAGTAAGAAATTCTACACCTGACTTTATGTGAAGGATCCCAGTCCAAAAACAGATGCACTAAAAATATGATGTAAAACCCTTTAGGCTGTGTTTATAAGGTGTGTAAGAGAGAAAAGAATTTTGTGTCCTAACCCCTAGATATCTCATTGTGTGCAGGCAAATATTCCAAAATCCAAAAAATCTGAAATCCAAAACATTTCTGCTCCTAAGCATTTCAGGTTAGGGATACTCAACTAGTATTGGCATTTGTGTCATTTTATAAACAAGAGAATGAAACATAAGAGAGTATAAGTGACTTTCCCAAAGTCACAGAGCTGGTCAGCAGCAGGGCAAGGATTTGAGCTAGTCTCTTGGTGACCAAGACTCAGACCTGGTATTGTGTGGTAAAGGCTAATGAAAGCAGGTCTGTGGCTCACATGAGCTGACCTTGAGGATTACTCCTCCCTGTCGTTCCCCCTTCATGGGTGTTGTGTGTGAGCATGCGGGGGAGGTATGTTTCTTAGAAAGAAGAGGAGCTGCATTGCCGGAATGACCTTCTTCTCATTCCAGGCATGGAGAGGCATATTGAAGAAGATGAAGTCCGCTCATCAGCAGACCTTCGGATTCGGAAATCTCAGGTAAAGTTGTCCCTGATCTGACAATCATCTTCTCCAATTCTTATTTTCTTTCTTTTTCTTAAGCTGTGGAGTCTTTTTTAACAAAAATTACAATTCTTATTTGGAACTCGATATGAAAAACTGCTAAAGTTGAACTATCCAGGTTGAAGCAGGGGTCATGGCTAGAGTCCAGCCCCTTTGGGCCCTTTTCTCACACTCTCCTTCTCTAAGGGGGGCCTTAAGAACTTCCCAAGACTCCCCAAAGCAATGTTAGTGCCTCCTTGTTTCACAGGCAAAGAAACTGAGGTCTTTTTTGAAAAGACTGTTAGTCATTAGTTCAGTTTGGAGCCAGGAACTTGGGGGATCATCTGTATCCTTCAGGAGCTGCATGACATTCAAGTGGCCGTGGAACAAGTATCCAGCTGGAAACAAGTGAGGAAGAGCAAGAGGCTGGTGAATCTCTAGTCAGTTTTACCGTGACTGAATTTGCCTGGTGGTAGTGGATTTGGATAAAATAGAGATAATGGTGATTTTGCAGAAGGCAAACAAATAAGGCGTATTTCTGAGAGGTAGGCAAGGAGTAAAAGTTGTTATGAAGGTTTGAGCTGAAGCATCCAGGGCTACTAGAGAATGTATCTACCAATAAGTAAAGAAAGTTGAGGTGACAAGTTAAAGTAAGAACTCAAGGATCTTCGGTAGCATGACCTGTGGGAAGGGAGGCTGACAGCTTTAGAAAACAAGCCAGGGGTGTGCCAGAAAACTTCTACTAGTCCAGGTAGTTGTAGGGCTCCAGGATTCCCAGAGATGGTCTCCTTTTGCCTCTTAATTACCATGTGAGGTCAGGAGGATAGACAGATACTGCAACCATGCTTTGGAATAGCAGTAGACTTATCCAGTGATCCAAGCTAGGAAGTAAAAAAAAATATCATACTTGGTCTTTTGAGTCCCAGCCTAGTGCTGCTGTAGACGAGGCTGTGGGGGGTGGGGTGGGGAAGGGAAGAAGCTCTATAGCAGTTGTGCACCTTTTCCCTCCCTCACTTCCGGGGGACATACTCATCTAACATTGTTTCCACAGCACTCCGTCCTCTCTCGGAAGTTTGTGGAGGTGATGACCAAGTACAATGAGGCTCAGGTGGACTTTCGTGAACGCAGCAAAGGGCGAATCCAGCGGCAGCTTGAAATTAGTATGTGTTTAAGGTTTGGCGTGTGACCCTCCTCCCTCTTTTCCTACTATGTGATTGTCCATTCCAGGTTGTGACACTATAGGAGAACAAGCAGCAAGCACCCCTGCTTGTGGCTTCTGCTTGATATTTTGTGCCCAATCTCAGAGCAGATGTTACAGCATTGGCACATCCTGCATCTTGGGAAAGGTGGCACATGGTTGTCAGGTCCAAGTCATTTTATCCCAGTGGAGTCCAGCACTTTTTCATCCTAGAGGGGAAGCACGCACCTGCTTCCCCTCGTTTTTGCTGTCAAGTAGCAAAGCACATTTGTGAAATAAGAGCGTGGTGCAGGTTGCCATGAGGAATAAGGACATGCATAAAGCTGTGCCCTTTAGGAACTTGTGATATGGAAGGCAGGGCCCCCTGCAGGGTGAGCGTGCTTCAAGTGGGATGAACTGTATGAACAGGCATGCATGTGTGTTTAGGTTGTAGGCCATCCGGGGTCTGGGAAAAAGGGTGTGTTTGGAGTGGCAGTGTAAGGTTAAGATGGTCGAGGGAAGGCTTCCCGTGAACTGTACATTGTAAGGAAGGCCTTGTAGTCTGTAGCGTAGAGCATGAGGTTAGTACACAGCCCGAACTGGGAAGTGATGTGAGCACCATGATCTGTACTTTAGGAAAGGAGCTGCTATTTCTGTTATGGATGGATTGGATGAGGGGAGGAATCAGAAGAAAAACATCGGGAGGCTTTGGGGGCAGTGTTGTAGAGATCCTGGTCTTTAGAATGAAGCAACCAGATTCTTAATTTTCAGGAAACTTTAAAAATGGAGTTGTGCTTTGATCTTGAAATTGATGCTCTACTTCTTTTGTTATAAAGCTGGCAAAAAGACAACAGATGAGGAGCTGGAGGAGATGCTAGAGAGTGGCAACCCTGCCATCTTCACTTCTGGGGTGAGTCATGTGGCCTGGGAAGCTTCACCTGGCCTAGCAAACACAGGATAAGCTGCAGCTGCAGGGACATAGGGGATGTGAGGAGCCCACCTGGGTGTGTATGAGGGCAGCTGCAGGGGCAGCCTTGATTGCAGGGGAGGCTGATGGCCTGTCTGTGTGGCCTGTTGCAGATCATCGACTCGCAGATTTCCAAGCAAGCCCTCAGTGAGATCGAGGGGCGGCATAAGGACATTGTGAGGCTGGAGAGCAGCATTAAAGAACTTCATGACATGTTTATGGACATCGCCATGCTGGTGGAGAACCAGGTAACTGGCAGGGACGGAGGAGAGGAAAGCTCAGGTTCCCCTGAGAACAGCGGAGGAAAGGCGTAGTGGAAGTCAGGTGAGGAAGGGTGAACCAGGGAACTGCATAACAGGAGCAGAATTCCATAGCTCAAGGAGGTGCGCATTCTCATCAAATGCTGGCGCCTTGGGCCGCCTCAGCCTTATCTTTCTTGTCCGTTACTTGACTTCACAGTCATTGCTAGCTGACACAGAGTCTGATATGTTATATCAAATGCCTAGTTCACCCAGCCTCAGGATTTTTTTCCCTCTTTTTTTTTTAATATATTTTTTTTAGTTGTAGTTGGACACAGTACCTTTACTTCACTTATTTATTTTTATGTGGTGCTGAGGATTGAACCCAGAGACTCACACGTGCGAAGCGAGTGCTCTACCGCTGAGCCACAACCCCAGCCCCTCCTTCTTCTTTTTTTTCAAATTAGAGATAGGGCTTCTTGGTGATGGCTTAAACAGTCTCCTCATGTGAGACTAATGACGTTGAAAATGTGTTCTTTTATCCAGTTAATAGTGACAATTTAGTGAAACCTAAAGAGGATTTTGTTCTTTTTTTTTTTTTTTTAACCTGTGTTTTTCTGAAAATTTGGCAATTTTTTTGTTAAGGAACAAGAACAAACATAAGGGAAAAAATAGTAAAAGAATAAGAACAGAAAATCTTGGAAAACTCAGGGTGCTGAGTTTGGTAGGGTGCTGAGGATTGAATTCTGTATTACCTGCATGTGGGGTTAGTGTCACAGCACCAGATGGTCCCGAACTCTTAGGACACAGATATATATGCCACAGGGTCATAGTGCTGTGACACGTTTACCAGGAATTTCCAGATGCTCTGCCACCTGGATAGGATTGGAGACTGCTTCTTAGGAAGACAGTGCAAAACCTAGGTGAAGCCTGAGTGTGTCTAGCTATTTCTGACATCAGTTCTCTGCTCTGGGCCTAATTCTTACCCCCACCTCCTTCTGGTTTTGAGACCATTTCTCAAGTCCCTTCCTCCCCACTTTCTTTTTTCACCCCACACTGCCTTGCCGAGGAACGGGTTTGAGATTCAAGTGATGGTAAGTGCCTTGCTCTGTTCACAGTGGGCCAAACGTGATGGGGTTACACTGAGGAAGTCCTGGGGAAATGAGGGGAATTTCCATTCTCAGACACACAGGAATTAACCAGAATGGCCAAACATCCATGTCAGGAAGTAATAGTTGGGCAACATTTGAGAATCTTATTATGAAACAACCATCTAGGAAGGAAGATATACCCAAACAGCTTGGGTAAACCCGCTGTCTGACCTTAGGGACCTGGGGATTTCTCTTGGAGAAAGCAAATGTTTCCAACCTCATACTTATTGCATACCTACTGTGTGCCAGGCACTACTCTACAATATTGAGCAAGGTCAGTGTGTGCTGAATGAACTTTCAGGTCTGAATGACCAGGAAGAGGCCAGTACCCTGGTGATACTCTGAAAACATGAGATATATAGCTCCTCCCCATATACTTAATTTAGAGAGAGAGATATGGGTGAGGGATCCCTCAAGAGTATATTCATATGTAGTTAACAGGCATCTAGACAGTCTGCTGCACATGTCCAGCACAGTGCTGGTTATAGAGAAGTAGTTCAATGAACGTCCCTTGAATGAGTGACCCCCATCAAGGCTGCGAAGTATAGGTAGTCACATGGGAAATGCAAGATGTGACCTACAGAAGGTGGAGTTTCAAGGTTTCTCGATGCTCCTCTTCCCTAAAGGTTCTAAGTGGCTAGGGCTGTTCTGGACAGGTTAACTGGGTGTGACTAGTGTCTATTCTCTGCAGGGCGAGATGTTAGATAACATAGAGTTGAATGTCATGCACACAGTGGACCATGTGGAGAAGGCACGAGACGAAACTAAAAGAGCTGTGAAATATCAGGGTCAGGCCCGAAAGGTGAGATTCTCCTGCTACCTTCAGAGAAGGGTCCATTTTGTTTGCTGTCTCTCGCTCTTTCTCTCTTCCCTCCTCCTGTCTCTGTTTCTGCCTCCTCTTGCACCTGGGGAAAGGGAACCATGATTGACCGGATTGAGAACAACATGGACCAATCAGTGGGCTTTGTGGAGCGGGCCGTGGCAGATACCAAAAAGGCTGTCAAGTATCAAAGTGAAGCTCGGAGGGTGAGCGCCTTATCCTCTGCTGGTGGTACTTGCCTCTCCTCTCTGGTCACCCCCACCTGTGTCTCTGGGCCCGTGCCTTTGAGCTCTGTCCTTGCCTCATCATACCCTCCTTCCCTCAGCCTTTCCTAGAGACTAGCTGCTCACCCTTCCTTCCTAGTGTGCCTTGCATGGATCTGGCTCACGTGCTCTCTACCCAAGAACATGCTCAGCAGGCAGCTCTGCAGGACAGATGCATGGTCCAGGTCTTGCTGCTAGTCCTGTCCTGGATGTAGCTCATGAACCTTTCAGACACTACACTTGCCTCTTCTGTTCTTCTGACTCTTTCTTTTCATTGTCTTCCACTCCAGTAGCCCAAGCCCGGCCCACTTTTCTTTTTCTCTGTCTCATACCTTGCACTGTGCTAATTGCTACGTACATATCTCATAGCTGTGGAGGTGTCTATTTTTTCTACTTTTAGATGAAACAATTGAGGGCCAGAAGTTAAGTAACTGGCTTCAGGTCATCTAGTAAATACAGGAGCTGGGTCTCAGATTCAGATCCCAATCATGCTTTTTCCACTAAACCTTGGTGTTTGCCTTCTCTTCTGGGCCTTTGCTGCTCAAGGACTTATAAGATGCTCTACTCATTGAGTGTGGGTATCCAGTTTGGGGAGCTTCTTCCATTTACTAATTTTATTTCTCATAGGCTCTGATATTTTTGTTCTCCAATGCCTTTTCTTCCAACTGCATCTATTGCTTATGCTGGTACTTAGGGAGCTGGAAGTTATTTTATGTGATGAACCCATTCAGTATACTGGGTCTGATAGGTAGAGGTGGACTTTAGGGGACAGATGAAAAGAAGTTAGAAATTAGGATTAAGCCAGGTGTGGTGGCACATTCCTGTAATCCCAGTGGCTCTGGAGGCTGAGGCAGGAGGATCTCGAGTTCAAAGCCAGCCTCAGCAATGGCGAGGCACTGAGCAACTCAGTGAGACCCTGTCTCTAGATAAAATACAAAATAGGGCTGGGGATGTGACTTAGTGGTTGAATGCCCCTGAGTTCAATCCCTAGTATTAAAAAAGAAAAATTAGGACTCTATAAAAATGTGTTTATACTCCTTAAAAAGGAATGCTTAGTCACTTTATGTCTTGGATAATTGCTACTTGGAGACCCCATGGTGGTGTCTCTTACTACATTTGTCCACATTTATAAGACTGTAGTGTGAACTGAGAGCTAATACAAGCTCCATATTTCCATCTGCTGGCATTGTTAGTCTAGAAGTAATTTAAGATATCCTAACTGATATCCTTATATAGAGTTGTAAGCTGCTGCTGCTTCTTTCTTCTTTCTTCTTTTTTAAAAGGAAAAAGAAGATTTATTGCTTTGCTAGCAAAGGAGAAACACAGGGGACTCCTGTCCCAAAGGCTGTGTTACTGAGATGTAAGCTGATAATTTGGATTGATAAGATAGATGCTTTCTATCAGAGATGAGAGGGGTTGGGTTTTAGATGAATTGCTTTTTTTTTCCTGTAATAATGATTTGTTTTTGTTTGTCTTATTCCCTTCTCCAGAAATTGATAATTATCATTGTGATAGTAGTTGTGTTGCTGGGCATTTTAGCATTGATTATTGGACTTTCCGTTGGGCTGTAATGAGTGGCCTGCGGGGCTGCTGCACTGAAATGTAAGTAAAGGGGTGGTTCTCAGGGACTCTGAACTGGCTTCCCATGAGGAAACTGGCCTGGGACTTCACATTCCTCTTCCTTCCTCTAATGACTGTCCTTGGGCATAATGAATTTTCTAAAACTTTTGGTAGCCTGTGGATACTTTCATCTCCTTAAAATTCTCTTCTCAGATCTGGCTGCATCAGATGGGTCAGGTCTCCTTTTGTTCCTGTTCTTTAAACTGTCCCTGTCTTCTGTTTTCTCTTGAGTGTCTCCCGGCATACCTGAGCATCCCATTAACACCCAGGTGGATGTGAGGGAGTCTGTGTCTTGGATCTGGGGTCTGTCTTCTGAATTCCTACACAGCTCTTGGGCTTTGCTTTCTATATCCTCGTCACTGTGAATGAAGCTTTGTATTGGGGTTTGGATCCTGTAGTTTTGTTTGTGGCTGACTGGTCTGATCTTGAATGAGGTTATAGCTAACATTTCCCAAGTACTGAGTTGTAGCAAACAATATACTACACAACTTGTCCGTGGATCATTGAATCTGTAGGATACTCTCATGGGATAGGTAGTGCTAATGTGCACATTTTAGAGAAATTGAGTCTTAAAGAGAAGTAAAGTTGAATAGCACTAAGTTCACACAGCTAATAGTGGATCTAGGAGAGTTCTTTATTCTTTACTACATTTTACTTTGTCTTTGTAAAATAAGGTAGCTATTTATCATTGTCTACAAAGTCTAGAGAATTTTTCAGAGTGACTTTAAAATCAGTGCTATTAATTTTCTTAAAAATTTGTTTTTAAAAGATAGGGCTGATCATTAAGTAGCAATTAGCATGACAGAATGATCTAGTTATGAAGACTCTGTGACTTTTAAGATTTTTTTTCTGAATAAAATGTAGCATGTGTAGTTTTTTAAAAAGCCTATAAAGTATAGAAGAAATGAAAATAGCTTTAATGTTATTGCTAGTAACCCTGTAGCATGTTCACACACATACTCAGTTTTATACAGTTCAAACTATATTATCTATTATTTGTGCCCAGTGACAAAATCATAAGGATCGTCCCCCACACAAATCTCTTTGTAAATCTAATCTTCAACATGAGATTGTGGATATGCTTTCAAATAGTTAACACTTTCTCAACATTGGAGTTTGATTTTTTTGTTATAACGCAGTGTGACTAACCTTATGTAACATTTCCCCCCTTTTTATTTCTTCCTCATTGTAAATTCACAGAAGTTGAGTTTCTGAGGTAATAGAGAGAAACATTTTTCAGACTTGATGCATACTTCCTTATTGAGACCCAGAGCTGCCCCTTCGTGTTTTTGTACTTAGTTCCAGTGTGTTTCTTCATTCCTCTTTTTCCCTTGTGACGAGCAGGTCTGAAAGTCAGATTATTAATCATATCACTAAACATACCTCTTCTTGAGAGAGAAACAGTAGCTAGGTGACCGGCTTCTCAGAGGCACTTAATTATTGGTGGTTTTTTTTTTCCTTTTTTCTGACATGTGCCATGTAGTCCTTGATGGCTTCTTGACTGTAAAGATATTGAGTTTTGTCCTGAATCTTAACTATCTCATTGGAAAAGATGTTTTTTTTTGTTTTTTTTTTTTTAAAAAAAGGTGTGATAGCTATCTTCCCATATCCTTGGTTGATAGATGCCTTCCAAATTCATGGTGCCCCTTGCAAATTCATGCCCATTTCCAGGAGTCCTGAATGTAAATGAATCATTTTTGAGGTGACTCCTCATGGATAGGAGACTAATACATTGTTTCTAGTTGACTAACCCCTTCTATAAGATGCTAATTTGCTGAAAAGTTGCTCCTCATGGTTCATTCCATATTCCCTAACAAAGTCAACACTTACATTACCTAGGTTTGGACACCCTCATCCTTGCCACCTGAGGGGACGAGGTCTCTGAATAGGAGGGAATGAAGGCAAGCTGGGACTATGCTCCCTGGACATACATCAGCTATAGCTCTAAGATACTATCAATATCCCCAGTTTAGATGGGGAAACTCTTTGAAGCTCAGTGAAGTTAAGAAATTGGCCAAGCTTACGTAGATTATAAGGTGGAGCAGTCATAATATGACATTAGAACTTTCCCATATTCTTTTCATTTTGCCCTTCTGCTTTCTAAAGGGCATAGAAATTTGAGTACCAGAAGGCTCTGGAACCTAGTATTCAAGAGGGGAGCCAGAGAACTGATGTTTTTAGCCAGCAGTGATTGCCCCCACCCAAGTCTTCCCAATATTGTGACAGCTTGTCTCTCTCACACAGACTTATACAAGGCCCACAGAATTTGCTTTCTGTTGCTCCCTTAGTTGGGATCTTTGTTCTTTTGCAGTGGAATATTTAATCCCAGGCCCTATCTGGGTTTGTTGGTTGGCTTTCTTTTTTTGTATTTTTTATATTCTTTTGCAGTTGCTTCTGATCATTGTACCTTCCAGGGTTGTGAGTGGTTTCTCCTGTTGCTCCTCCTCCTCATGTGGTACGCTGATCAGCTCCTCTCCCCGCCTCTCTTAGAACCTGATTTCATTCCAGCCTGGTGGGACCACCTTTATCTTCAGATGGGAATGGAGTCTGAATGGCCTTCCTGAGAGCAAAGGGAACCCATTCCTTTGTTTCCTTGTAACCATCCTTGGACCTGACTCAGCAATCAATCTAGCCCTGGAGGAATCTAACCTTCCTGATGCAACCCCAAGTTCTCCTCAAAACCAACTCCTGCCCCAGCAACTGAAGTACCTTTCCTCCTGGACCATATGAACTGACCCAGATTTTTCCCTTCTGTGGTGTGTCAAATTATGCCTTGCACCTTGGAAATCCCATGTGAGACTATCCCAAGGTGCTGCATCTTCTACCTCATGGAGTATACTCCCAGAAATTACAGTGTATTTTTCTAGGGTAGTATCTTTAACAAAGCAGATGGATTCTTCTAAATTTGGCAACAATAGGGTTTAGATGGGAGACTTCTGCATGGCAGGATGCCAGTCCTGTCGGTCCTGAAAACATGAGTGACTGGCAGATGCCATTTTGGTCCAAAAAGTTGACTTGCTTGAAATTCAACTTCAAATTAAGCTTTTAATAAGATCAACCTGGGGGCCAATTTGGTCTTTCTCTAGGTTGTGTTCTCATGTTTACTCAAAGCGGGACCAAGATGATAGTCATCTGAGGTTGCCATTTTCAAAGGCTGAGGATTTGGAATATTTGTTTCCCTATGAATTTTGGAAACTGGCTTTTCACCTTTGGAGTGACTCTTTGTGAAGCTGTTGCCCTGAGGCCAAAATTAACCAGGGATTTAAAATTGGGCTGGGGACAAGGTGCTAGAGTCTCAGACTCTGAAAAGGTTTCATGAGGCTGAGTGTTCAGTCACTCATGTGTTCAGGTGTATTTTTAAAAGTGTGTATGTGAGATGCATGTATATATATATGTGTCTGTTTCTCAGGAAATAGGAAACTAGAAAAGAAAGATACTATAACCTCAAAAATTAAAAAAAAAAAAACTTTTTTGAGCTAGACTAAAAATTAGATAAGTTGCTTTTGTTTACCTGCAAATGAATCATTGTAGAAATATGATCATCTTATGTCATCAACAAAGTTGTTTTCTAGAAGAGAACTGGGAGAATCAAATGAGATATTCAGACTGAGGACTGAGTTGATTTCTGGTTTCTGTGCAGCAGGTACAGGTGTAATGGTTTGACACCTCTCCCTATCTGCTGCCTCCACTAGGCTTTCCCTGAGAACATCCCACAGCAATCCACATGACCTATGGGATGTCCTGTCTTAGATGGAGTTAGTTGGGAGAGACCGGAGACTACCTGCTACTGGGTGAATGAGCTTGACAGGTTCTTTGTTTTCCCCAGTTCTTGTCACAGAGGAAGCAACAGCCAGGAAATTTTCGTGTAGTGACTGCTAAGCTGTAGGTAGCCCCTTAGATCCCTGTCAGTCTCCCTGATTTTGGGTACTAGCTGTATTTCAGCTTTGACAGTAATGCTTTCTAAGGAAGAGAAAGCACCCTGATCCAGACACTGCCTATTAGCTTCCTGTGCAAAGGCTCCTCACTTCTCACTACCCAGCACTCAGACAGAGCCACAGGGATGCCTTTCTCCCCATGGCTATGATGTTAGAAGACAGGCTGTAATCTCAGGCTTTTACTGTCATCTGAGACTGAGGCCTGGGGCTTAAAGTTTGGAATGCAACACATGAAGGGTTTTTGTATTTTTTAAATGTAAATTTGATTATTTTATTGCTAATTTAAAAATAAATGACTTTCTAATGATTGCAAATCAGTTCTGTCTCTTATCTCCCTGCAAACACTTGGTGATCTGGTGCCACCATGTGGTGGTTTCTGTTCAGGTTTTGGGACTCTGGTGGTTTAGAAAGTTCAAGTTTTTGAAAGTGGCTTCACTCCCAAAGAATGCAGTGTAACTGCACTTGAGTTTCAGAGTTGAGGTCCTGCCCACAAAAGACTTTGTTCATTCGTTCAGAGCACCTTGCTATTTTTCTGTGAACACTCCGGGTTCCAGAAGCCAGATCCATCACTCTTCCCTTTTGCTGCTCCTTTTCCCTTTGTACCCTCCTCCATGTTCAGAGGCACCAGTCTTCCTTTAGTCAGAACTATCTCCTTCACAGTGATGTCATTGCTCATGTGCTTTTTCTTTCCTTGTCTGGATGAGCAGAAGAAGATCATGATCATGATCTGCTGTGTTATCCTTGTGATCATCTTGGCTTCCACCATTGGGAGCATATTTTCCTGAAAAAGGTGAGCTGTCATCGGGGAGGAGGGTCAGGTCTGCTTTCACTAAACACTCTTGTGTTCGGGAGCATTCACTGTTTGTTGCCAGTTTCCCTAATCTGTGTGTGATGAGGTGCTAGAATAGGTAAAGAGTAAACTAAGGAAAAGGATGTTTCAGATAAAAATGAGTGGAGCTGGTAGCAGTCAGTGGGAGAGCAAGGAAGAAAGGAGGCAGAAATCTGTCCCATAACTGCACCTGGGAGCAGAATGCTTTGTACAGGTCAAATTGTTGATTCCTGCTGTAAAAATTGAGCCTTGGTGTCTGGGAATGGCAGAATGAGAAAGAATTAGCTCTTGCATTAGGTGGACCCTGAACTGGGGTTAGGATAAGATAGTATAACCTTGTGAATATTGTCTTACCCCTACTGAAGAGGGAGTTATTTGAAAATAAAATACCATGCTCTACAATCTATGATTTTCCCCCTCCATTCTTCTGTTATTTCCTTCTGCCCTCACAGATGGATCTTCGTGGCATTTCCAATCCTTCTCCCACCTTTGTGGGGTCATCACTTCACTGCAGACTCCTCATCAGCTACACCTCTTTCCATTAGGCAACTTATTATGACACAAAGCATCAATCAACTACTTATTACGTTATGCAAAGGGAGAATGTATGCAAATATGGAAATGGGAGGGGGAAGGAATGAAGGAACAGAGGGCACAGCAATATGTAGTTGGTTAGGCAAATGGTTTAAAGGAAGGGCCTGCAGGGTACATCAATAGGCATAATGGGTACCTGCTTAGGAGATGACGACTGGAGCCCACACCAACAGGATGGCTGTGGAGAGGCAGTTCCTGTAGCACACCCAGTTCAACAGGGTCTTCTGTGAACTAAGATCAGCACATCTGTTACTTCTGCTTTTAAGGCTCTTCTAGGTCTCACCCTTGACCAACTATATATCTTCTTCCTTCTTCAGGGTCCAACAGTAGTCTTCAAATTGGGAGGTACCAGGCCTTGTCTTGCTCACTGCTCTGTCCCCAGTGCTTAGCACAGTGCCTGCCACTCACAGGTGCTCAAATATCTGCTGACTCAGCGATCTATTATTAAGTTGTGATTCCACTCATGGATGAGTGCTTGGGATTGACTCTTTAAAGGCATCAATGGGAACCTTTTAAAATTTTTTTTACTTATTTTTTTTATTGTCAGAAGCTGTGAAAGCTGACAGCCACTGGGCTGATACACTTAACAGCCCCCCCCCACCCCGTTTTTTTTTTGTGTGTGTGGGTGGGTGGTGATGGTGGAGTCCTATTAGTAGCCTCTTTCCGTAAAGAAGATGGTTGGTTGCAGGATGGCAGTTCACTAATAGACCTCCAACAAAAGCAACATGTTTATATCAAGACTGAACCTCCAACAGTCAACATACCATGCTCTGTAGTCCACACAAACAGGTGAAGTGTGAGGTAAGAAAGGAGGAGTAAGTGGTCGCTTGCTTTACTTCTTCGTGGTATGTATCGCAGGCTGAAACTGTTGGTTGGAATGCACCAGCACAGAAGTGGTCCAGAGGCTGTGTCCAACTCAAGGTTGTTCTGTTCCCCTTTAAAAACTATGTATATGTGAGTTCCAATATGAATGATTTACTTAGTGATTACACTGCAAAAGGATCACTAAAAATTCATAGTACATGACTTGTTGAGGACCACCCAACTGTGCAGATGTGCACTTCTGAAAGTCGGTGATAAATTCTTATTTTCTTTTCTGGAGATGTAATTTTTTTAAGAAAATGGGATAAAAATGACATTTTTATCAGTGTGCTTTCTATTAATTTTCAAAAGCAAATGGTTTAACATTTCTTGTAATTTGTGTTTCCTTTAGTTTGAATAGGGGCTATAACTGGCTAGCTCTGAAATATGGATTAATCTTGTTATAAACAGGGTGCTGGAACCGTGGGAATTTGAATCACATGGGGTCCTCATTCACCCAGCAGTGGTAATTTGTGTGCCAGATGGCATATGGCACTGTGCTAATCCTGCAGAGACACAAAGAGCCTAACACTCCCCTCCTTGAGACCTCCAGACTAGGAGGCACCATGTAATTTCAACTTTTAAGTTCCTTTGCTAAAAGCTATGTTCCTTGTCATATTGTCCAACATCCCCTCTTTCCAGATTCAAAGAAGATGGGTAGATGGCACCAATAAATATCTCTTGAATCCATTAACCTATTAAGTGTCATTATTTTCTTTGTTACTACTCCAAAAACATTTGTATCTCTAACTAGTAAATGTCATGGAAACTAGTTCCTGAAGTGTGTACACATGAAAAGCAAGGGCGGACATTTTAAGTCAGACTTTCATGAGTGATGAAATGCGAACATCTGTTTCATTCCTGAAGACATTTATTTCACAATCCACGAGAACCAAGAACTTTGTTTTTAATAATCATTCTTAATTTCTTAAGGGATTAAAGGTGACCAATGAGAAGTTATACCCTCAGGTTACACTCTAATTTAAAAAAACAGATAACACACTGCTTCTTAGATATAACCTAAGACATACCCGGAGTCTTTAATGGTCAGGCTGTAGAGAAGAAAAGTGCAGATCCCCCTCTCAGCAGCTCACGTGCATACATTCCTTGTGCTCTCACTACACCCGTTCGGGCATGTAGAATTTGCCCCAGTATCGCCCCTTCTGGGTCAAGTCATATGGGCTCAGTACTTTCCGAATCCCAAGCATGTTGGCAGTGGCTATACGCTCAAAGGTCCAGGGGTTTTGGTTGTTACGTTCTCTTTCTTCTTGATCTTTCCTCATCTTCTCTAGGGTCTCACGACTCACAGACTTTGCTGGGAAGGGCAACTTGTGGGCAGCCTGGTTCAGGAAATGCTGTACCTCTCTGAATTCACATCGCCCACCCATCTCGACTATGAGGCGGCCAGCCTTCACGGGTGTCACATAATGATCAATGGCACCTTTGCCTCCCCCCATGCGCTGTCCAATTCCTTTGCGGGTAATGGGCTTGAAAGGGGCTGGTACTCGCCATATGGCAAACATATTCTTGGGGTCCATAGAGCGGTTGATTGTCAGGCGCATCATTTCAAAATGGCCCCAATGGAGATAACCACCTCCCAATGCCTAAAAGTAAATGAGAGAATTAGAAACACATGGGAACTTAGATGTCTTTAGTGGGTTTTATTATGTCTCCCTTTTTTAGAAACCATGCCTCAAAGATACATATGAAAATGTAAGTTCTTACTAAGAAGTACCATGGAGGAAAAGACTAGCATATGGTAATAAAAGAGTATGGTAGACCCATTCCAGTGGTAAGCCAGGGTAGGCCTCTGAAGAAGTGACATTTAAAGCTGAGGACAAAATAATAAAAACTATTTAAGGCAAGAGAATGAGTTCCAGGTAGAGGAACAGTTTATGTAAAGACCTGACAAAGTGAAGAGCTTGCTGAATGGGAGTAAAAGTCAGGGTGGCTGGAGAAGTGGGCATGAGGTTCTAAGAGGTCAGCAGGGGCTATTCATGCAGGCTGATGAACTTTGAAATGTCTCCCTGCTGGATGAAACAAAGCCCAGTGCACCTGTTTGTACAGCTACTCAATTAGTTTTTATGGAAGTTACTCAACAAATAAAGGAACAGCTGCCTCATAGCTGAAGTTGTGGATAGTTTTATTTTTACTAAGAGTCTGAAGATATCTCATGGTCTGGCTGGGCAAATTAGTCTCTCTCCTGCTTTTATATTATGGTAGTTCCCCCAACTCCTTCATAGTTTCTCTTTCTGTGGTTTCAGTTATCCACAGTCAACCACAGTCTGAAAATATTAAATGAAAAAATATGAAGTAAACAATTCATGAGTTTTTAAATTGCACGTTGTTTTGAGCATCAAGATATCCTTTTCCACTCCATTCCACCTGGACATGAATTATCTTTTGTCCAGTATGTAACTGTGCTAATTAGGCCATCTATTAGTCACTCAGTAGCCCTCTAGGTTATTAGATGCACTGTCATGGTATCACAATGCTTGTACATAGGGTTCAGCACCATCCATAGCCTCAAGCATCCAGTGGGATACTAGGAATGTATCCTTCATAGATAAGGGAGAACCACTGTATTTTCATTCTACATTTAAAAAGATATATGTATACAGGGTACCTAGTAGCCTCTATACATCTGTTTAAAGGGCAGCTAGTATGTGGCATCCCTGTGAGGCACTTCTAATACAGACTGGAGGAAGAGACTAGAATTGAAGACTTTGAAAATTTTGTTTGTTTTTAATCTGTAGCTTCCTTCACTCACCAAAATTGCAAAATTGCCTTCTGTGAACTCAGTAGCTTCAGTTGAAGGTCCCCGTATGTCACTCAAATTTTTAGGTTCTCTTCTTACTTTTGGCACAAGTGGTACCCTTTCAACAAATTTAAGCTTGGACTTTTCAGGGATGGAAATATCTAAAAGGAACACAGACAACCAAGAGTAAGTAAAGCTACATATCTCTAGAAAGAGTTATAACAGTAAATGGTAACTCTTAAGGAGTTACCTTTGGATAATAATTCCAAAGAAATATTACATTCTTCTTGTGAATGCATTTAGTAAAACTGCATTCTTCCAGCTATTGACAATGGTTAACACAATTGCTTCTAAGTCTTTGAAGATAGCAAAGTTTTAACCTTGAAGCTAATGTGCATTTTTTAACCCCACTCAGGGGTTAACACCTATTAAAGGAACTGTTTGGAAATCATTATTTCTCTTAATCTTCACAACACTTTTATAGCCTTGGTATTTTTTTTTAAACATTTAACACACATAAAGGTCAGTTAACTATCTGAAAGTGAATGCATGAGACAAATACATCACTATCACCCAGGTCAAGAAATATAATTTAAGGTAGAAAGTGTTTTTAATCTCTAATTTATAGATGAAGAACCTTAGGCCTGGAGATGTTTTGTAATTTGGTCTAGACTATCCAATTAAAACAGCAAAGCCAGACAATATGATTCTTTTTTAAAAAAATAGTTTACTGCATCTCTGGATATTAATGGGATAAAAGCATATTTTATTGCATATAAAAATAACTAAGTTCTTCATCTCTGCCACGTTTTTGTTGGAAAACTTACAACTTAGGAATCTTATCAATCAATGTACTGTCTTTGATATATGTAGAGGCTGTTATGCTGAGACCTGCACAATTCCTAATCTGTGCCCCAGTGTACTGGGTGAGGTTGGATGGGCACAACCTCAGACCAGACACTTGACTTCTTTATCCTCTTTCCTTGGCAATTTGAGGGGTAGGGAATCAAACATCTTGTCATTTATGTAAAAAAAAATCTGAGTAGTAAAACAAGTATGGCTCCATGATGGAATCATAAAACAGAGGAGACCTCAAAGAATGATATTTGATATAATTATCAGTGGAATTATAAAATTATCACTATTCCAGGTTATAAAAGCTGCCTCCCAGCTTTCTCATGCAGCTAGAAATGAACTTGGTAATGCTTTTGACTGCAAGTCAGTATGTACTTCCCAGAACATAAAGTGGTTTAACAATTACACGTTGAAGACCTTCAGATAGCCACATGCCTTTAATTGTTCTGAGATTTCCGTATATTAAAAAAGAATGGCAAATTAGTTTACAAAACTGAGGCTTATTGTAAACTTTTATATTTAATACATTAGCACTTTACATAATATTGTTAAATGATTGCATACATGCAATCACCTTTGGAGAGAACATCGAAAGTCCAAATTTGAGGCCAATTAGTTTTGGCTGATTGGACCATGGGCCACATACCAAGAATAGGCTATAGGGGAACCACCCACTGGCTTTTTGCTCCATTAAGAGCAGGGAACTTTTATGGCCCCTCGTTATTTACCTCTGGTGTTTAGAACACCGACAATATAGTATGCCTTCAACGCATTATTTACTGAATGAGTGAATGGGGACAGATGGCACAAGGACACCCAATGTCTTCTATTTTCTACTGGGTTCCATCAGAGAAAAGACCAAGAGGAAAGTGATGGACAAACTCTCACCTTCAAAGGATGGCACCGGAAGCAGAGTCTTTAGGCCAGCACTGGCGGGCAGGGCTGCCCTAGGATCTACAAAAACAAATAAAGTTGAACGAGGCGACAAAGGCAGGGCCAAAGGTACTTTTAACATCGTCTAGAGGGTTCCATTGAATGGGCGCTCAGGCTTCCCTGAAGAAGTCAACCGGGAGCCACCCCGCCACATGGCTGTGCCCCTTTGGTACGGAACCCTAGAGCGGAGGTGGCGGCGGAAAAGGGCAGCCCCCAACCAGCCGTAGCTAGCAGTTTTTTGGATTTGGAAGAGGCAACACTGGAGGGCGCGGGGGGGCGGGGGAGAAGGGGGAAGTCTTCTTTAGGGACCCAAAGGGACTTCTGACCTGACACGGACACCCGCAGGAGCGGCGCACTGGCGCGAGACAGCAGCCTCCACATGGTCGCGGGCAGCCAGGTTCCCTCCGCTACCACCACAGTTTCGTTCTCCCGGGTCCGGAGCGGCGCCTTAGCGCCAAGTTCATGTGCTCAGGATACTGCTTAGCCCTACCGGAAGTTGTGTCCACGCAGGTCCACTCCGCACAGAGTCCCGCCGGAAGGGAAGAAACCCGAGCCCGGGAGCTTCGTTCCGGCGCTGCTGTCTGCGGGTCAATATGAGTCTCGTCCAGCAACTTGCGCGCGTTTTCTTGGCTTTGTGGCGGTATTCTACCCAATCCCGCGTCTTTTCCGAAGGCGGAAGGGCTCTGAGTGTTCTCCTTTGAGTACCTCACCGTTCAATCCTGGGGTTCGCTTAGCAGTCAGCTCCTTACTACTTACTGCGTTACGCCCCTTCTCGAGGGGAACCCTGGGGAACCACCTTAGGAAGATACCAGGGACCGGTCTTTGGTTTACCGTTTAAGGGTCTTGCAGTGTGTCAGACGAGGACATCCTGTTGTATTAGTCCTCCCAACAATTCCCCGAGACGAGTAAGTCATCCTTGCTTTGCCGATTCCATCCCTAGAGTCAAAGGATTTGCCTTTCTCGGGGTCACACCACAGAAAAACAGCCGAGTCAGGATCTGTGAGCCCAGCGATCCCAGGGAAAGGACAGTAGCTTAAGTTAGTCAAGTTACGGTGAAATAACGTGTCACCGTTCTGGGAGAGTGTTGGGTCAATTATTTTTACGAGCCCGAAGCTGTCTAATAATTGGAATGAGAGAAGATCCTTATCCAAGCTCCTAGGACACAAATGGGATTAGCAAATGGAGACTGATGTCTGTTGTGCTTAAATCATAATAAATCTGCGTGTCGCCTTCCCCTGAAAATTAATGTCTCAAGTAATAGCAGCAGGTAAGACTCGTCATGCCTGTGGAAGTATTGAGAGGACTCTATTCACAGTTTGATGGACCTGCACGCTGAATCTGTGTCCAAAGAGTTAACAGACTTTATTACATCCACCCCATGACCTCATTTTAACTTGATTACTTCTGTAAAGACCCTGTCTCCAAATAAGATCACATTCCGATGATGGATTGAGGTTTAGGACTTGAGCACATTTTTGGGGGACACAATTCAGCCCACAACAGATGCCATTCCTCGGAAGTCACAAATGGTGAGAGATCACAGGGGCAGACAAGATTTTCCTTGACTGATAAAAGCATTAAGTGGGGGAAATAGACACCCCTTGCCCATTTTGTTTTCACTACTCTCTACCTAAAGCAGGATTGAGCTGGGAGAGGGTAGGAGCTCTGCCTTTGAATGGAATTCATAGTTAAGAATATTACACTTTTGGACATTTTAGGTACTGATATGAGAAAGTTTTCCTTGACTAAAAGTAAAAAAAACAATTTTAAAGTTTAATTTTAAGTTGTGGAGTAATGAGAAAATGGCAAGACACAGCAACAGAAACCAGCCTCACAGAGATGGTTGGCTAAAAGTAGTACACTGAAGTTGATTTTCGTTAGCATTTTCTAAGTCCCATTTACTTTAATTTACAAATTGGTTATAGATTAGTTTTCCTTTTTAGAGATGACTAATATCAAGCTTTTTCTCATGTCTTTGATTTTACCCCCCCCCCGCACACACACACACCTTTTTTTTTTTTTTTTTGCAATACTAGGGATTAAACCCAGGTCTTTTGAGCATACTAGGTAAGTACACTATGTCTAAACTACATCCCCATTGTAGTTTTTGCATTTGCAATTTGCTTGCTTGTATGTTTTGTCTATATTTTAGTCATACTGTTCATATTTTTTCTTATCAGTTAAAAACTGCTTATTATTTGTTAAATATATTATCTTCTGTGTGGTTGTGCATATTCCAATTTTCTTTTCATTTTTGTCTGCAAAATGACTTAGTTTTTTTTTTTTTTAAAGGTATGACCATTTCTTTTTCTGCAGTAAGATCTTCCAGGAATTGTACCTCTGCAAGCGTTACAGATTTTATTTTACTGACACAAAATAATGGTATGTATTTATGGAGCATGATGTAATTTTTTAAATTAAAAGTAAACCCTTCTCTTCATCAAAAGAAACCATTAGAAAAGTAAAAAGGGGAACCCATTCACAGTGCAGAAAATGATATTCATAACACATATACAACAATACATGAAAAATTGCTCAACATAATCAGAAAAAGGATAGACAAGGGAAAAATGGGTAAAAACCTTACTTTACAAAATTGTCAATCTGCTGGAGTTAGGTCTTTTATAGACCTTTATGCATGTTAGCAGTTGACTTTATCTTTTTAATTGATGTTTTAAATTGGTGCATTACAGTTGTACATAAAAGTATAATTGATTGTGACATGTTTATGAATGCAAATGACATAATTTGGTTTATTTCATTCTGCCGTTCCTCCCCTGTCCAATTCTTCCCCTTTCCCTCTCTGTTCCATTTCCTTTACTTTACTGTTCTCACCTTTATTTTCATGAGATTCCCCTCTCCCCTACTTTTTAAAATTTGTTATTTATCTCTTAACTTCCACATACAAGAAAATAGTTGACCCTTGCTTTTTCCCCACATCTTCACCAACATTTACTGTTGCTTGTATTCTTGATAATTGCCATTCTGACTGGAGTGAGATGAAATCTTAGAGGAGTTTTGTTTGCATGTTAACACTTGATTTTATCTTTTTCCTCTAATTGCTAAAGATTTTGAACATTTTTTTCATATATTTGTTGATAGGTTGTATTTCTCCTTCTGTGAAGTGTCTGTTCAGTTCCTCTTAGCCCATCTATTGATTGGGTTATTTGGTTTTTTAGTATTAAATTTTTTGAGTTCTTTATATATCCTGGAGATTAGTGCTCTATTTTAGGTGTAGGCGGTAAAGATTTCTCCCATCTGTACATAAATGTTTATAGAAGTTCAACTCACAATAGCTAAACTATGGAACCAACCTAGGTGCCCTTCAACAGATGAGCAGGTAAAGAAAATGTGGTATATATACACAATGGAATATTATTCAGCTTTAAATAAGAATAAAATTATGGTATATGCTGGTAAATGGATGGAACTGGAGAATATTATGCTAAGCAAAATAAGCCAATCCCCCAAAACCAAAGACTGAATGTTTTCTTCAATATGCAGATGCTAATTCGGGGCGGGGGCTAGGGAAGAATAGAAGTACTTTGGATTAGAGAGAGGGGAGTGAAGGGAGGGGAGAGGAGAAGGGATAGGAAGGATAGTAGAATGAGTCAGACATTAATACCCTATGTGAATATCTGATTATACGACCAGTGTGATTCTACATCGTGTGCAACCAAAAGAATGAATAGTTATACTCCATTTATGTATGATGTGTCAAAATGCATTGGAAAAAAATTCAGGCTTTACCACTGGTGGCCAATAGAGGTCACAAAAGTTCTTTTTATAGTCACTGCAACTTAACCTAAAGCATTAAAGAGCACACACATGTGATTATGAATGGAGGGGGCTGTTACTTTTAATTCTTTTTTTTTTTTTTTTAATACAGCTAGTGTGTTTGGGTAGGGAGCTTTTTATAAACAATATACATATCTTCAGGAATACAATTCTTAAACCTTTTCTGAACTGAGAGAATTTTTGAGATGTTTCTAGGCCAGACTCCCCATTTTATAGATGAAGAAATTGAGTTTTTAGTTAATGAGAATCTGTCTTGTCCAGGTCACTCAGCTTACTTGCTAGCATGTACAGAATGATTGCTAAAAATATTTTGATTCCATGTCCAGATTTCTTCTCACACCATATCTTCAGGCTATTTTTTTTCCAACTGGAAGTTATCTTTTCTGATCTGAAATAATCAATATATATTTTTATGCCAGGAACTGTGCTAGTTGGTGGAGATATATTGTGGTTCTTTCTCGTGGCACTGTGAGAATGTGTGAGTAGGAATAGTAAAATAGAAGAACCTTGGAGGAAATGTCAGGTTTTCCCCTTTTAGATACTTTCTGTATATGTGCATCTAGTCTTGATTTTTTTGTTTAGGTTTTTCAGTAATTTTGTGCTACTTTCTTTTTTTTAAAAAAAAAAATCAGGGATACTAGTCAATCCCCTGATTAACTGTTTCTTCTTAGGTAATTTACTAGTGCTAAAGGACCAAAAGGTAGGAATCAGCGACAGAAGACAAGAGCGTCATTGCTTGGAAAAATTCTTAAGCTGAATAATTATCTCCAAAGGAATAAGAGTAGAACTCTTTCATCTGTGAGATAATGACAAATGGAAACCAACTAGAAAATGCATTGGCAACCTAGAAAAGACCTCTGAAATGTCTTGAAAAATCGACGTATTTTATAAACTAAATTTATATGACTTCCTGTCTCAAGTACTCACAGGTGAATATATTTCACAGTATTTTCACACTTTTCATTACTTATAGCAGTCACCTTATTTTTATAGTGAATATACACATGTGTACATTTTAAAGCACTTTGTCAAAGCAGAGCTGCAACTTGTGATAGATTCAACTCATTCCTCTGCTCCCAGTCTTGCCAATACACACACACACACAGATACACATACAAACACACAGGGTTTTTTGGTTGCCCAATTTATTGTTAAGCAAAAAAGGTGCTTTTGCTTAAAATATTTTTCCTAGGTTCCAGTTGCTCAATTATGTGTTAAATAGCCAAAACTTAGAAAACAGTAAAACAACAACAAAAAACAAAACCTCCAAATAACTAGTAATTGTATCAAACAGAGCCACCAAAACACTGGCATGGATGATTCTATAATGTTGTATAGTCTGCTTCATTCACTTGGCTCTATATCATGAATGTCTTTTCAAGTCAGCAAGTATTGAAGGTGAATTATAGTAACCTTTAGTATCCTATTATGTGTCCTATTAAAGTTTGTCTGTCCACGACCCTATTGTTGGATGTATAGATAGCCTCTACTTTTTTCATTTATGTACATTACATGATAAGAGAGACACTTTATTCATCATTCCTGAAGTTTCCTTCTATTACAATGACTGTCCTGGCATTTTTCTGGGACAGAGTGATTTACTTAACAGGTGCGTTGGGGATGAGGACCTGGGTCTGTGTGGTTGGTTCACATCTCTTTCTTCTGGGAGCCACACTGTTACCAGTGAGCAGTTACTTGTTTTTAAGATGCCAGGACAGGAGGACTGTGGCTGGGAAATTCAGTCTGTCTCATGCTGGGGCTCAGTGTCAGGCAGTGCATTGTGACTGCACCTAAGTGTTGTTCTCCAACAGTCACAGTTGATATTTTGATTCTTGTGTATCTTTGCGTCCTCTTATGATTCTTTTCTTTGCATAAATTTCACAATTGGGATTTTGTGTCAAGTTTGAGTACAGTTGTTGGCCCTCAATATCCTCAGGGGATTGGTTCCAGGACCCCAGGGATTCCAAAATCTGTGGATGCTGAAATCCCTTATATACAATAGTGTGATATTTGCATATAATCTATTCCCATCCTCCTGTATGCTTTAAATCCTGTACAGGTTACTTATAATACCTAAGACAACATGAATGCTGTGTGAATAGTTGTTAATGCTATGTTGTTTAGGGAAGAAGAGTTGGTACATATTCCTTACAAATTCAACTGGAAGTATTTTAAATCTGCAATAGGTGGACTCTGCAAATGCAGAGCCTGTGAATATAGAGGGCCAATTGTATATTTTAGGCCTTTTAATACAAATTTTTTATTCTCTAGAAAGTTTGTACCAGTGTTGACTCCTATAAGCAGAGGATAGAATTATTATCGTCACATAATATGTTATATATTTTTATATTATATGTTGTTATAAATATGAATTATATCTATATACTAAATATATAAAATTATATAAAACATATATTTTGAACCTGATTTTACCCAGAGCAAGTAATAGAAACGGAAGGGGAGTTCTGAACCATCTGAGAGTTTTCATATGAAACAATTTTGGCCATTTCATGTATATTTGCTGTACCTACAGGTGTATGTTTATATTAGGTGATTTGAAAAGGAGCATTTGGTACTAGAAACACAAATAGGACGTTTTAAAAATATATCATGAGAGGCATTGGGACTGAATTAGAACAAGATATATTCCATGATTTTATAGTTATGTCAAAATGGATTCTGCTGTCATTTATAACTAAAAAGAACCAATAAAAAATAAAGAAAAATAAAGTAAAAACATATCATTTGTAGAATAGGGAGTGCATTATTTAGTTAATCAAGAAAATCAGAATGATCTCCAAGAAAAGTCAGCTGGACCCTTCCTATCTCCTCAGGTTTAAGTGAGGGCTGGTGGTCATTTTATTGGGAAACGGGACATTTTGTTTTCATGAGTCAGGAATGTTCAGACTCTGGAGAACTTTGCATCATTTATTCCACAGAGTGTTCTTTTGTGTTTTCACCAGAAATAAGAATAGCATAGGTATCCATTTTTTTTTCTGAAACAAAGTGGAAAAAATTCACCTAGCCTTTGAAGATGTTCAGTAGAAACTAAGCTCACCTCCTTCTTAATACTGAGTGAAATTGGCTGTGATGTGCTCGTTGTTGAAGGGAATATAGTCAGCAACTCCTGGAAAGAAAAGAATAAAATGGGGTCATCATGGTGCATGTAATCACCCCTACTTCCCAAATGATCAGCCCATTAAATTTATTTGAGGCATAAAATAACCCTAGTGAGAAGTGGGCACTTTGTTAGTCTGGAAGAAATATGGAATTGGAATTTGGGGAGTTCTTGTTTCTAGTTTCCAATTTGGTATTTTGTGGAGCATGTCTTAAGATGTGCCAGCCTCTTTTTCCCCCACAAAGAAAATTTTGTTAATAATATTTTCTTTGAAGGGTTATCTTCTGGATTAGAAATAGTGACTGCTGGGTGCCTCATACAGGACCCAACACATAATAATTAAACAACAAATGGTAGTTATTATTAAAATGGCTTATTTCAGCCAAAATTAGGGCATTCAAGAAGTATTTCACTTTTTTGGGGGAAGATTTTGTAAGAAATAGGGATGGACAGTGGGTTGAGAATTTTGTCTTTTAGGACAGGGAAGATAAAAAATGACAGCATCCATTATCTTCCAGGTGCATCATTATCTTCCAGGTAGTTCAGGCAACAGAAACAGTGACAAGTTCAGGCCCATTTTTTTTTGAATCTCAGAGACCTTTCCCTTTGTCATCCTTCTCTCAGAGAAAGAAAGCTATTGGTAGACAGAAAAATTAGTCTAATATTAGTTCTCAGGGCAATTTTCTGAGATAAAAGAGGTAGGAGAATTGATAATAATAATTACCACTTTTGAATACATGTCATACAAAAGGCCCAGTACTTAAATACATTATTCGTAATCTGCACAGTAACTTAAGAAATTGTTATAGCCATTTCCATTTTATAACTGTGGAGACTGGTCCAGAGAAGATTCATCACTTGCCTAATGCATGTCTTAAATAAAAGAAGGGGATTCTTGCCAAGGCCTGTGCAGCTCCAGGATCTTTGTTATATGCTATGCTACAGTCCTACAAATTCTGACTGGCCAGATTTTGTTAATTATATGACAGATGCTAAGAACAACAGCTTTCCCATTGTGATACTGGATAACAAAGCCTTCTTATCAAGCCACAGCCTTAGCACTGCTGTGACTTTGGCTTTCCATCGCTCTGCATGTTGACAGCGAACATTAGCTTAACCAGGTAACATCATCTTTAGACAAAACCATACACCAGTGCTCTTTAAGTTGGAGACTAACTAATGTTAAGGTTTTGCTGGAGTGTGAGTTTGGAAACCTGGGTTTGATTGTCTTCTTTCTCACATGCTAGATGCCTGCCTCGCACAAGTCCTTTTAATGTCACTAAGATTGTTGCTCCCACTGTAAAAAGAGGGCCACTAATACTTAAAGAGTTAATGTATCTATATATATATATATGTTTATGGATATACATATCATCTATATTTATGTAATTACTGTATAAATTATTATAAATACATATGTAGTCTCACATTTATTGATTAAATGAATGAACGAATGAAATAAAATAATGGATGTAGCATCCCAACTACAGAAGATATGCTCATCCCTTTTCTTCTCTCACCTTCATTCAAAGGTGTTTTGTCGCTGAGGAATTGCCAGTATGTTTTGTGATTAACATTTTCAGCAATATTGTTGATGGAAGAGACAACAAGGCCCCAAGATGTCATTGTGGTTTCAAATCTAAGAATAAAATAATACATAATTAATACCTCACTTTAGGTCAGGCAATAAGTGGAGGTAAGATGAGGGGACAGAGAAATTCTGAGTTCTTTTAAAAATCAGATAAAATCCTGCTTAAAAGAAAAAGATGCAGATGACTAATGAATATGAAATCAAATGAAATTAAAATGAATGGATTTTTAAAATCAAATTTAAAAAGTGTAAATGCCCACAATGGGTAAAAAATTACATGAATGATGGAATGAATATCTGAGATTGTATATTTGAAAGTTATGAAAATAATATTTTTCAATAATTTTCAGCAAAATGGGAAAATAAGAAATAATGCTAAATGAAAATATGGGATTCATATTTTATAGAAATATCTGTTCCACTTATAGGATGATTACAACTGTTTATAATATGCATAGAAAAAACAAAATTATAAAAAATATTAACAGTGGTTATATTGTGAACGGACTGTAGATTTGTTTTCTTCTTTATGCTTTTTCCCTCCTAAATTTATTATGTATATTTATTATATTTACAATCAGAAAAAGAAAAGTCAGGCAACATTAAAGCTAAGCTTAGAGAAGAACAGTATATTCAGAAGGTTTGAAAATCAATCTCCTTTTTTCTTTCCATGAGTGGGCACTTTCCCTTGGCTCATTCTAAACAGACTTACCTATTTTTCTTTATTGTTTTCTCTTTGCAAACTATAAGCATTCCCCAAAGTTTAACTTTTTCCTCCATGATTTATTCCTGTATTCTGCTCTTCCCTGACAGGAGAGTGGAAAGAACATGAGCTTCAGAGCCAGTCACATCTGAGCTTAGCTCTCCACGCTGCCAGTTACGCATTATGTGATCTTAGGAATGTTCCTTAGTAACCATCTGTAAAATGGGAAATATTAGAGCTGCCTCATGTTTTTTGGGGGGCATGTGTCTGCCACCCACTGCATAGTTCCTTAACTTTGTCGTCTCTATAAGATTATTTTCCGATCTCTTTTGCCTATCTTGGTGTCTTTTTCCAAGGACTTCCTCTAAATGTCTCCAGTGTTTCAAGTTGGAACACATATTTTTTAAACCAGTCTGGTTTTTTTCTGGAAGATATTATTTTTGACACTCCCATCAATAGTTTTGGGGCATTCTCTTGCCTTCCACTCCCTGTCACTGCACAGTCTTCCTTGGTGTGGTTCATGTCAAGGAAGTTCACCTAGGAACTTCCTTGGTGTGGTTCCTAGGTGAGGTAAATGTTACTTCACACTTCATTACTGTAGCTATCATAGGTTTTGTGCTTGCCTCCTCTTCTCACAGTCCAAGGACCATTTTACAACACGGGTCTCCTTACACAAAAACTTGTAATGCTTATCTATAATATCTACAATATGAAAGCTGATCTCCTTAGCCTGGGACTTCAGACTTTTTACACTGTTATTCAACCTAAACACTTAATTTAGCCCTGTATTCTCTCCTCTATGAACACTAGTCTATTCACTAACCCCAGATTGTGCACTCCTATCTCAAATGCTTTGTTATAGCACAGATTCCACATCTTCCTAAATAGTACCTAGTTGTTGGGGCCCAACAAAGCCATGGAGTCTGAGTCTTCTAATCCACAGTGGACTCTCCTTGACCTGTATGACTTAACATTGACTCATTTGACTTATATTGACATGTATGATTTAAATTTTCATGAGCTCCTCAAGGGGCTATTATAAAAGCATATTAAATTAGCAGAAGGAATACAAGTAAGGATACGGAAGAGAGAGAAAGAGAAGGTATTTGAGGGCAGGACTAGGAGAATGGCAAGCAACACTCACAGCACTCACTTGAACATGGAATTTTTGCGCTGTGCTTCTTCTAGGACAACCAGTAACACTGATCCATTTCTCACACTAACTGGGATGGTCACATTGAAGAGCAGCTCTACCCCTCTCAGCTGGTTGTTTATGGTATATGTGACAGTGATATTAGATGCTGAGGTTGGGACAGGGAAAGGGTAATTGGGTAGAGTTGGTTGCGCCTCATGATCTGTGAAGAGTGAAGATATAAAATACGTCAAAGTTTATGGGGTTTCTGTGGTTGGTGTGAAGTCTGTTACTGACAACTTATCCCAGAAACATTTCAAGCAAGTAATAAGTTTCAGACCATTTAACAAGGTACTTGGACAACTAGTGTAGAATCCTGGCAAAGACTCTATGGCCAACTTGTTAAAGTTGGGAAATCATTGGGAAACAGCCCAAGGAGTTAGGTGAGTGTAAATATTCAATATGGTTGGGAACAGTTTTCTTAATTTTGGTCTCTGTAGATTCTGTGTTGAAATGGACAAGAAGTTTATAATCTCTTCTTAGGAAGTTAATTTAAGAGAATAATATTTTATGTTGGTATTTGACTAGAAAGAAGAGCTAGAAATCCATACCAGTACTATCTCTGGAGTATACAATTTTAATGAAGGATCCCTACTTTCTAAACACACATTTCTTCAATATTTGAATTTATGTATTTCTGTATTGTATTTATGATTGGATAAAATAAAGATATTTCAAATTAAAAAGTAGCATGCTATGTTTCCACTCCATCCCTTTGGTGTTCTGTGAGCATCAAGCTTTCATAATTAGATGGCTAAAATGTCAACTCTTTTATCTTAGGCCTCCCAAATAAAATCAATAATTGGTCATCTTTTTTTGCTTTTGCACTGTGTATGGATTTAATTTCTATTTAATATTTGTTTCATTATTCCAAATATTATAGTTTTTGTGTATTTGTCTCCTACTCTGTAAAAAGCAGATATGATAAGATATGCATAATGTTTGGCGGTACATTTGTCAAATGAATGTGAAGCTATTTGGTTGTTCAGACTATAGCCCTCCCTTCTCTAGCATCCCACAAAATGCTTTGTCCAGAGTTGTTTTCAATAAATGTATGCTGAATGAAGTAGACATGGGGCTGAATTCTGAGGTTTGAATGGTATGGCTGTATGCTAACATATGCTTTTGGGAATTTTAAGACAGATGTGGCTCTCTTCATGTGGGAGGAAGACATACAAAGCCTACATGCCACTTAACTTTGACCTACATTTCATCTTGACATAAGGTGCTGACTTATGACATAAGTAGAGGTAGATATTAAGAGTTCTTACCAGGACCACAGGTCACTTGGGGTATATCTAGGTATGTCTTGTCTTTCAGAGAAGGAAGGATTTGGGCAATGGACATGGGGTTTTGGAATTTCCCCTGCTTAATCTCATCCAGTATTATATTCATAGTCTTCTCACAGTCCCACTTCTTGTTAGGTTGCTCAGGTGTCACTGAGAGGGCCTGGGACAAGAGGGAGAGAGGGGAGGAAGAGAGGAACACGGGGAGAAAGAGAGAACGAAAGAGAGAGAGAAAGATTAGGTATAGCTTTACTTACATGCCTTGTAAGGGATACACAGCTCTGGGAACTATATTTTTCTTCCTCAGTGCTACACTTCTACCACTTAGCGCAGTATCTGTCACATATTAGTCACAAAACAAAGACCGGTGAGATGGTCAGATTCAAGGAACACCAGTAGGGCTGCCATATTTATGAGCAGACTTTGGGTGTAAAGTGAGGGTGAGAGTGGGCAAAGCCAACTCCATTGGGAGCTGTGATTTAGAAAAACCTGGCCATATACATGTAGCCGACTTCCCTTGTTTTGTGTTGTCATGTGCACCCTCGGGTGGACTTTCCCGATGACTGGTGATACATGAACTATTTAATCTTTCTCTGACATATAGGTAGTTGGGGAGAGAAACACTTCTTTTTCCTGTTGGGGTTTTTCAGCTGGGACTGTGTGAGTGCACACTGAGTCATCATCTTCCTGAAATACTTTGAAGAAGCCATGTAGTAGGGGAGAATGAGGGAAACCATGCTGAGATGAGAAAAAAAGGTGGTCCATGATATCATGGTTTGAACCCTTTATTCTGATTATTCCTGAGACCACCTAATGTAGCCTTGGAATTTCAAGTGTATATGATATTCCCATTTTTTTAGCAAAATGATTTGTAGTTCAGTTTACTGAAAAATGAGTCTTGATTAACAGACCAACCAATTCACTTAACATTGTTGAGTTTTTTATCTAATGGGTTAAATAAAAGCATAATTCCTGCTTGACAATTTCAAATTGACATTTGAAATTCTATGGGCTAATATTTAAAAGGATTTTGTAATGTGATGTACAAACTATCATTACCACATTCCTTCCTTTACAGTTGTGCTGGCTAGGGCCACCAGAGCACGTTAAAGGGCTGGGATTGCTGATGACTGGTTTGCCTGGAGCTGGTTATGGGGAATGGAAGAAGGTAGAGATGAGTCAGAAATGGTTCTCTCAGCTAGAGAGAGTGGTATGGACACTTAGACAGTTGTGACGTGTATGACCATACTGTTATCTTTGGCAAGCATGAACCATAGATCTTGCTGCAGGTGACTTTACAAAGCAGTTTGGTTTAAGAAGTATCAGATAGATACTCCTCAGTAACAATATCCCCCCAAATTCTGCTAAGTAAGAGTCACCAATGCCAATACTCTATATTGTTAAGCTATTATATGTCATTAATAACTATCATGAAGGGGTTTATGAGATCCCTTATCAGTGTAAGTTCTATCTGAGGAAGCTTAAAGTGATAGCATTTAGAGAGAAATGTTGGAACAGAGGAAATGCCTTGAGAGTGCCACTGGGAAGGGAGAGGGTAGCTTGAGCAATGTGAAGGGAATCATCATCTTGGAAGAGGGAGAACAAAGGCTAAAAAGATTTAATATTATTAGCACTGCTGTTCTTCTGGGAGAGACCATGAACAGTGAGCGAGCGTGAAATTGCATCTGTGATTTTTTTTTTTTTTTTGTACATCACATTTCTTTTAACTTAGTTGCAATTTCGCTATTGTAGATAAAATGAAATTCCAAGAAATTCAGTATTTGTTCAAGATAGTGGGAAGATCTGGGATTCAAACCCAAGTTGTTATAGCTGCAGAACCCTTTGATCTCAATACCAGAACATTTTAGATTAGATGGAGGTTATATATTAGATATCTGCTGACTTCAGATAGAGTCACTGCCTGAGTAAACTCCAGGTGGGCAGCGTCTTAACTGAGAAACCCACATGGTCTGTGGTGTTTGGGTTTGGAGGAGGTCCTGCCTTTCCACAGGAAAAGCTTTAGTTCCCAGGTACAGCTTATCAGAGTATAACTAACAGATGATAAGATCTGAAACAGAATTCATAAGGCAAATTTACAAAATAAACACTTCTCTATCAGGCATTAGGTTGAAGCAAGATTATTTTAGTTGAGTCATGACTTTCTTCCCTCTACCCCCACCAATTCTTATGCTCATTTCTTTCAGACTACCTGTTTTCTTTCAAGGAGTTTTCTAGACCTGAGTACTGGGGATTCTCTTGTATGATTGACGCAACCATGGAAAATATCCAGTGCTTTGTATAGTGACAGACTCTTATTAACCATGACATGAAAACTGACTTGATTCTTATTTGTCAATACTAAACATTGGAATGGGAATTTGTTTTTATTCTTATGTTTAACATTAACTGATTCTTAGGTTGTTTATGTCCTTTACTAATTTTTAATGTCTGGAGAATACCAATATCAGCATTTATTTTCTCAGGAGACAGTTTCCTTTTAGTAGCAGTCCAGAGCTAGATTAGGTTTAGTGCTGGCATCCTAACTCCAGCATTCTCCCTTTCCTGACTTGGAGAGTTCATGTGCAGCTTTTCTCTTAATCCCATAAGATATTTTGAGACTTCAGAGCATAAATTTCTCAGTATAGATCAGAGGATTTAGCCACAGGTGGCTTTTTAATATCCTGAGTACATCTGCATTCCACAGAGGATGCTGCCTTAATCAACTAGGATAGGGAGAAGGTGTTGTCGGAGCTATCAAGCAACATCTTACCAAACCCAAGTTTGGAAATATATACTAGGGAGTGTAGGACTGAGTGTGGGCTTGGTAACAGATAGACTGGCTCTACCATGTATGAGGGAATTTTTTGAGTCAATTTTAGATTATTTTCATTAACCATTTAAAATGAAAATTGACCTTTTTTGGATCAAGACAAAGGGCAAAAAAGAGCATTTGGCTGGCAAGATTGAATCAGAAAATTCAATTTTTTTGAGGACCTGATTTAATATTATTATGTACACATCAAACTTTCAATCATTATTACTATGACTAGTAAACTTGTCATTTCTTGAATTTATTTATTTCATTTTTTCCCAAGGAAGGAAAATAAATTCATATAGGTTTGTTTTCATACTTTATCTATGAGATAAGGGAGAATTAACACTTACCTGCATTTAACCAGTGGAGAAACTGAGGCACAGGTGCCATTAGAAATCTACTTCAAAGTTGGGCTTTTCCAGAGATGTCAGCAGACATCTGATCTCTTGATCCTACAATCTGGGCTTATTGGCTTGGACTCGATCAAGGGCATCCAAGACGTATTTACCTGCATGGCAAGGCCAGTACTGTAGATGTCTCCAATGATGCCATTGTCTTTGATCCGATTGCTGATGTTCTCCACAATATTCTTTAGTACCTGACCAAACAGGGCTCTATAGCTTTCATCGGAACCTACAGGGATCTTGTTGTACATGCAGGTCAGAGCCAAGGTTGCCACTGCTCCCGTGTCTGTAAATCACAGAGGGGACAGACCTACCACCATCATTGCCACCACTGCATTTTGAACAGCTAACATTTACATGTGCTCATGGAGTTCTAGTTACATGATTTCACTTAGTCCTCAGGATAATCTGTGGAATAGGAAACTGTACTTAACTTCCTTAAGAGATGGGGAAATGGGGGGTCTGAGAAGTTAAATAACTGCCCAATCCTACACAACCAGTAAGCAGCAGGGCCACAACTTGAACCTAGATCTCTGCACCTTTACAGCTCATACTTTCCATTAATGTAGACTGGTGGTATGTTCAATCCCATGCTTTTTGTCCAGTTTTTATCTTTCCAAAAATCCACCATTTTTGAAAATCTGACCATCACCACATTTCAGTGAAGTCTTCTCTGTCAGTTGCAGCCTCTTTTCTGAACTCATTTAGCATTTGTTGTTTTGCCTGTTCTGCGATTTCAGCACCCTCTGCTGTGTTTTGTGGCTGTTACGCTCTGTGAACACTTGAATGATGGGAACTTTGCATCCCCCAGAGCACTCGGCACAGGGACTTTGCCATTATTAGTGTGTGATAAACCTGTGTGGACTGAATGAGGAAGCTCCGATGTGACAAGACCAGAACAAATGGAAAACTTGCCAGATAACATTTTTTTATTTTACTGATCTTTTCCTCCTACCCCAATCTCCACCTGAAAGTCATGTAACTTCATTCCGGGTGATAGTGTTATTAAAACCCAGAGGCAAAGAAGTCCAGAGTTTCTGGATTGGCTGAGATGCCCCAGAAATGTGTGAAGTTCGAGGATGAAAAGGGAGATGCGTCTGTTCTTGATCCAGAGAAGGGCCCAGAGTACATTTACCTGCTTGTTGATAGAAATTGATATTCGACAGGTTTCTGATGAGGCATGAATAAAGGGCAAAGCCTGAGATAATGCTACTGATGAGAGAGTGGCAGAGAGCCATGACGGTGACCCCTACAGAGAAGAGATCATTACACCCTGAGGAATGTACCAAAGAAGGATGTGCAAGGAGAAAGCTTCCATGCACTAGCAGCTGAAAGCTTTCAGAATGAAGGAATAAGATGGTCCCAGTGTTTCTTGAGGCCGGGAACATTATGGGTTAGACAGTTGCTATTTAATAGAAAGAGGATATTTGGATGTAATAAGGAGAAGCATTAGGAAAATTGAGTGTGGAAGCATTAGCAGCAATTAAAGATGGTGCAGGGCAGGGCTGAAGCAATGCGTCACTTTGGAAGTAACCCCTACACTTGGGTGACATGTTTATTGTTCCCAGTGGAGGTTCTGTAGCTGCTAGACATTTCAAATATAGTAACATGTTTCTACGTGTTACTATCTCCCCTTCCTTCATTATTCCCTAACTCACATATCCAACAAACTTTGCTAAATGTCTCCCGTCTGCACAAGCTTGCATGGTTCTCAGGTTCTTCAAGGTCCTTACTTCCTTGTCCAGCTCCATCACTAAGCACATTGTGCCTGTGATGTTCTCAGCTTAGGGCAGTGTCTGATGGTGGCCACTTACCCACGTTGAAGGGAGAGGTATTGGACAGCAGGGTCTTGGCAAAGCGGACTGCTATTGGCAAGGTTGATTCTGAGTTCTTCTGGCACAGTGCCAAGATTGCCAGACTGGGCCCATAGAAAGCTGTCACTTGGTCATTAGGGCCTCAAGAGGGAATAAAGAGTCTTTGTTAGACTAACATTCCTTATGCTCGAGACATTTATGAAGAAGGAAAAACTGAATTTTTAAAATAGAACACTTCTCCCTAAAGAAAGAGTATCGGCAAAGGGTAACTTCAGTGTTTTTCAGAATATCATCTGGCAATTGAACAGAATAAAAGGGATGATGGGATGATGCTGTTTCCAATGAGTGTGAACAGTCTGTTGACTTTCTAGTTTTTTTTTTTGACTGAGGAGTGAATCTGGCACTGGTGGAATTATCAGAGAAGGTGACAGTGTAACTCTCCCCACCTCTACTCTTTTCCTTTCTGGGTTTAAAATTTTCAGGAAAGAGACTCTGTGCTCATTCTCCCCTCCCTTCCCATGAGGTCTTACTTGAAGGTGCCCACTTCTCCATTTGCTTTTGCAGAACTGACACTTTACTCCCAGGGTCTCGGCAGGAGGAGGTGAGGGCCATAATGGTGAGGGCGAGCTGCCCAGTGGTTAGGTCTGCAGAGGAGCAAACAGAGCAGTGACATAAGGCATCCTCAGGGGAGGGATCACCAGGGGTAGGGCTGAGCATATCCAGGTCATTTTGATTTTTTAAACTTATGTACTCACATAATTTTTTGATATTTCTGAAGAAATATATATGGAAAAATACTTAAGGGAGTATTGAATCTAGTATCTTTTGTGTGATCCATGACTCTGCCAATAATCCCTGGTATCTAGTTTAAAAAGCAGCAAGAACACTCACACAAGTTTCTCTATGAAAATATGGAACTGCAGAATAATTTAAAATTTGTTATTGAACTTGGGCCTTAAGGTGACTCCTGTGAGGTAGGCAGAAGAGACATTGTATTGTCATTGTCATTGCTATTAGTTGTGGCATTATTGTTATTAGAGGGTGAGGTGAGATTGAGTCACATTCAGTGATTTGTTCAAGGTCACAGAGTAGCTGGCATGTGATGGCTCATGCCTGTAGTACCAGTGACTCAGGAGGTTGAGACAGGAGGATTGTAAGTTTGAGGTCAACCTGGGAAACTTAGACCCTGTCTTAAAAAAGGGCAGGGGATGTAGCTCAGTGGTAGAGCACTTCTGGGTTCAATCCCCAGTGCCCCCCCCCCCCCCGCCAAAAAAAGAAAATAAAAGAAAAAGAAACTCAAACTCAAGGTCACAACTGGTAAGTGGCATATTCAGAACTGGAAGCCTGCTCTCTGTGCGTCTAGTTGGGAGCTCTTTCTGGTTCACCGTCTTCCTCCATTAATGTTCTCACTTCACACACATTTCTTTCCAGGTATTTATCAGTGTGTAAGGAAAAGTGATCAAGGTACAGTCAAAGGCAGCATTCAGGTGGTGATGGGGTGACATAAAGTTGGTATCTGAGAGTGGCTAGTGGTGTGTGTGATTGTGAGGGTGGGCAAGGGGCTCACATATCTCACCCGCAGTGTCACTGGCCATGAGCTCATAGGTCAGGAGCTTCTGGGCCTCCAGGTTGTAGGTCCCAGCCAGATTCATGGCAATCAGGATGCTGGGGTTTGGGTAGGCTGATGAGATCACTGAGTTCTCCATGAGTGCTTGTAGGCCATCAACCCAAGGCTGTTGTTCTGAGGGGACAGCTGAGAAGAGAAAAACTACTTATCAAACCTCTTTCCCTTATTCTCTCTCCTCAGAAACATGATTCCCATGTGTTTTTTTTTTAATAGAAGATTTGATTAGCTTTGGCAACTTAAATAATTGAAGAGAAATGCAGAAAACATTGATTTTTTTAAATGTAATTTAGTCCTTAGATTTTCTTAAAAACTCACATTTGGGGTTGTAAAAGTTATTTTTCATTTACTATGTTTAAGTGATATGGCTCATGGACATTTCACATGACTTCTGGTAACTTCTTAAAATTACTGTTTGCCTTGCATCTATGTTCACCCCACTCTTCCATGAAGAATATTAAAGATTTGGGACAGTATGTGTCCTCAGTCATTACCAAAACCTCCCACTACCTCCCTGGTAGTGGTACCAGGTCTCAATGGCCACTAAGTGTCTGTCTTGTAGCAGCAAGCATCATTCCTGCAATAGTACTTCAGCTCATCTTAATAAAAAATGCATCAACTTGGCTCACAAGTTCTTTGAGTCAGGAATGATGAACAGCACACACTTGCACCCTGACTCACCCACTTTGGAACTCTTACAGTGATTGCTATTCCAATCACTTTCTCATCAGCAGACTTTTATCTGAGGTCTTTGCCTCTTCGCAGGGTAACTGCTTCCCTGGCCATCTCAGAATAAACAGCATACTCACAGCACAAGCTTCGGGTCTGGGTACTAGTCCCAGCCATAGCCCAGAGAAGGTTTAGGAGGTAGAGGGCAAGCCAAGCCATTTCACTCTCCTGTCCTGCCACGTTTCCCTGTCCACAGATACCAGTGTTTGCAAGTGGAGTGTTATTCTACCTTCTTTTATATACGCTTATCTTTGTAAAACACTCTGCTCCTGACCCAGCCACTCCTAACTACTTATGCTGACTTTTCCTGATATAACCAATTTCCATGGCTTATCTATGTTTACCCACTGTATAGACCCTCCATGGTGTCTGAAGGTGACTTCTAGGTAGTACAGTGATACAGAGAATTGGGGCTAGGTGTAACAAAGACAGTGACAAGAAAGTCGCCTTTACCAAGTTTCTAGGTCATTACATTAGAAAGTTTGGCTAATGTGTGAGTATAAAACAAGACTTCTATTCCTTACTGCATCAGTCGAATAACCTACTGAATGTTTATCTGCAGCCACTTTGTTGAGGTTTGGTTGATCTATGGACATGAGCTCATTTATGGTCCAAGGCCCCTTTTTTGGTTCTCAGGTGGGGATCTTCCAGGTGAAGTTTGGCTTTATGCAATTAATCAAGTTAACCTGGACCTGGTTCTGGCCCAGATTCTTTGAAGATTTTTAAACAAGACCTCTGTTTCATAAAAAAAAAATTAAATTTATCTTTCTTTACCTGGGGATGACAACAGTCTCCAACACCCAAGCCCTTCAGACAAGTAATTAGATAATAAGGCATCAGTTAACTAGATTAAGTATATATATATATTAAGTATATATATATATATATTAAGTATATATATATATATATTAAGTATATATATATATATATATACACACACACACATATATATATATGTGTGTATATATATATTAGAAATGTACCCATTTTATAAATCAAAGAAAACTCCTCTATAATACAGAACTGGAACTAGTATTTTGAAATTATGAAGGAAGGGGCTGATTCTTTTCTGCATTTTAAGTAGCTGCTTTTTGGGGGGAATTGTCCAGTGGCTCTCATCTTAAAATAAAATTCAAAGTCTTTATGACTTACAAGGCTCTATAAGATGTGGCTTCTGGGTTTCCTTTAAGTCCTTACCTCCAGGATCCTACCCAGGACGCTCTTCTAGATATCCTTGTGGTGGCTTCTCACTTCCTTCATCTTTTTGTCCAAGGGAAGCTTTTAGAGAGGCCTTCCAGACCATCCCCTATTAACCTCACCCCCACCAGCGTCACCACACCCTTCCCTGCTGTAACTTATGGCTGTCACACTGTGTACAGTTGTCTACTGTCTTCCTCCCCATTAGAATAACTACTTCAAGGAGGTAGGGGTTGGTTTGTTTTTCTCACTCCTCAATCCCCAGCACTTGTGACTTGAATGAGTGAATTAGTGAACTAATGTAAGACATGGGTTCTAAAGCACTACTTTCTCAGGGAATGTTGGTGGTTTTGTGAGGTGAGAACACAGGGTACATATTGGGGTGTGCTAGACAATGTCTAACGTGAGCCGGTGTCTCCACTTCCTGCTATTCCTGCCCTTGTACAATTCCCTTCTACAGAGTATGGGATAGTGTGCCAGTTCTAACATTTTTTTTTGGATTTGTCTTCTCAAATTACTATCTTCAGTGTATAGTCTAGACCTGACAATTGCTCTCTGTACTAGCAGCACCACGAGGGCCTGGAAGGTCTTACACCTTTCTCCTGTCTCTACTGTTGCTTTCAAGGTAAGTCACAGTAGCAAGAGGATAGAATCCACTGCAGTCTAATAATGGGGACATGTGTCCCACTTGCTCCAAGGAATCTCCAAGTTTTCTCCATTATGAACACCATAGCTACCAACTCCTGAAAAGAGGACAGGGGAGAATTGAACTGAGAGTTGAGAATCAGTATCAGAAAGTGGTATGTAGGAGTAGGGTTCAGCCTCTATGAAGCAGGGTTGCAGGTGGAAGAGAGGAAGATTATCATGAAGAAAGTATGAGGAGTAATTTAAAATATTTTGATTCTACCTGAGGATATCTTTCTTCTGGGAGTTACTTGAAATGGGCTATTTGTGTGATATGTGAAGCACTTTCCACCCTTTGACATCTTTTTTTTTTTTTTAAAGTTTTATTTGTTCTTATTAGTTATATATGACAGTAGACTGAAGCCTTTTGACATCTTAAAGGTACTTCTGGCTCCTGACTGTATCTGTATGCAACTCAGGTACTTGGTATACAGTACAATTCAGTTCATGCTGCCTAGACACCTTTCACCCCCTTTTTAAAATGTTTTTTTTTTTTTTTAATTTGGTGGAAATGGACATCAGAGGTGATTTTTTTCCTCCCCTTCCTCTCTCCTGCTATTCTCTTTCCACTACTGATCAGATGTGATTTTTTTGCATGCATATTTAACATGAATACTAGGGTGAATTTATGGGGAACTAAATGGAAAATAAATGTGGGGGAAGAACAAATGGAACCAAGGGAGACAAACAGAGGAGGTGATAGTATTGTTCCTCAAACTATGGACTGATTTCTCCTGTATGTTTCCTTTTCCACACAAGTTTTTCTCTCTACTCACTGCCTGTGTGAAGTCAATGACACTTGGGTTCCTCCCTTGCTTTCTTCAGAGAGATGTCTCCTTGTGAGCTTTTCATTGATCTCATGGTTGCTGCTGCAACTTTAGACCCTAGAATTTTTTAAATAATTTTTTTAGTTGTTGATGGACCTTTATTTTATTCATTTATTTATATGTTGTACTGAGAATCAAACCTAGTGCCTCATACATGTGAGGCAAATGTTCTACCATTGAGCCACAACCCCAGCCCTAGATGTAGACTTTAATTTTCCCCAATTGCCGAAGATCCTCCAGATAGTTGGGGAAGCTTGAGCAGAACCCAGCTTATTGGACATGTGGTCTAATCTATTCTTCTTTAGGTGATCATCCCTGTAATAACTTATAAAATCCTTTTGAAAATTAACTGATTAGAACATGCTCTTCTTGTACAGACATTGATCTTTTATTGAATTGGAGGGGGGAGTGTTGGGCTAATTTCTTCATAGAATTCCACTCCAAAAGGTACATTCATAAGAGGAAAGTCTGGGCTTATCAGTATTTGCTCCAACGAATCTCCAAGTTTTCTCCATTATGAACAACATAGCTACCAACTCCTGAAAAGAGGAAGAAAGAGAGGTCAAAAGATTTGACCACTGAATCCATTGGATGCCATCTTGCCCAACACTTTGGCCCATTTCCAACAAAAGCTTATGCCCTCCCATCTGAGAACTTTGGGCATTTATACTCCATGGATCTTCTTGGTACATCTCTTCTTACCTTGGCTCAATGATTTGCCTCCGCTCAGAAGTTCCCAGTAGGTTCTCTTATTGTTGCTGGCATACAGACCCTGGACAGAAGTAATGTAGGGGCCCCATGCGCTCTGCTCCATTGTGAAACTGTGGGGACAGTGAATGAGTTATAAGAATTTAGAATTTTCAAAGGAGAACCTTTAATGTTTTTAAGTATAACTTGGAGATGTAACCCAAAATACAGATTTCCTGGCCCTATACTCAGATTATTTGATTCTTAGGTCTGGGCTGGGGACCGGGAAGCTGCAGGTTTTATCAAAAGTCCAGGGATTCTGATGCAGGCACTTCACACTCTGTCAAAGTGACAATGTGATGCCCATGGCTCTGTCTTCCCCCACTGCCATTATACACACTTTGCAATTAACTTCTTCAACCTTCCACCCTGGAATAGTACCTGTTGAAGATACTGGAGAAGTAGAAGAAAGTGTTAACCTCATGTTAACCTCAAGGCACTGCAAATTAGTGGGTTTTCTTTTAGAAAAGACAATCAGGAAGGAAGGATTGATATTTCATGTGATGTGTATTACAAAATGACAAGGTTGTTATCTATTTCACATTCCTTAGTCATATTTCATTATCTGCTTGGAAGCTCTTGAAATCAGTCTTTTAAATATATTTATTATATATGTATATATATATATATATATTACACATATGTATACACACACACAATTATTCAGATTTTCTCTACAGTACATGTTTCTAGACACAATAAATAACTTTCAACTAGATTTAAGGAGTCAAATAAATCATACTTTTCAGGGGCACAAATATCTTAAATTTGCTATTTGACCTCTCTAGGCCAGGGAACCTTAATTTAGGGGTCCATACATCTCCTGAAAGGGGGAAATGGAGAGACTTAAGTGCATTTGTGAAATTACCAATTGAAATGTCAATTTTTTTGGTGTTAATTTTTCTGAGATGAGCTTTCATTACATTCATCTGATTTTCAAAGGAGTCATTGATTCAAAAGTAGTTAAGAACCACTCTTCTAGACACAGATGTCTGATATAAAAGGTTCTATTTATTCAAGTTTTGCTGAAAAAAGAAAGAATCCTGGGATTCATTCATTCATTAAGTGAACATTAACTTAATACATATTATGTGCTTTGAGGTGAAATAATCTTCCTAGCATATAATAGGTATTTTTAAACCCTGCTGTGAGGTATACATGGATAACAAAAGTACCAGTACAGAAGTGTCTTAAATACACTTTATATTCAGGTGCAGATATATTCTTAATGAGTCTTTCAAAATTACAGTAAATACATTAGCATTAGGTTATGGTCAGACATACCGAAATGCCGTCGAATTCTGTTTTTGAGCTTCTTTCATCACATCTAGGAAGACTGAACCATTTGGCACGGTGATATTGATAGGATATGTTTCATTGATTACCACAGAATAATGGACGAGGATGGATGAGGATGAGTTAGAAGGTGTGTTAGATTCAGGTGCATCATTGGAAATGTTGAATTTATCTGACAGAGACAGAAAAGCAGAGATAGATATGCAGAAGAATAAATATGGTGTCAGAGTTTGCATACCATTCTACCCCTGTCTAAGGATTCCTTTCCTTTATACAGAGATGAATTTGCTACAAGGAGCAAATGTCATCAAGGGGAAGATCTCTCATGTGACTAAACAGAAATGAAAACAGAGACTACCCAGCCTGTGAATGCTGGCATTGGGCTCAGCTCCCAGCTGTTTAAACAATTCAGTTGGCTTAATGCCCGTTTTCCCCAGACAGTCCTGATTTTTTTCCCCTTTGGTACAGAATCCAGCAATGCTTATCTTTCCTCTTTTTATTTCTTAATATTTACTAAGAACATATTAAGTGCCAGCCATTGCAATAATCATTTTACATGAATTAGCTCAATCAGTTCTCACAAAACCTGTGTGAGGTAGTGTTACCATTTTCTACATTAGAAATTACTTTAGCTTAGAGGTTAAACATTTGCCCAATGCCCCTAAATCCATAAGTGGCTGTACCAGGAATGAAGGGAGATAGAAGAAAATGACTCCTTTCTACCTTATTTCAAAATAATCTGTTTGAATAAATAATTCATACTACATTTGTCTAAGAATACTGCCATATTCTTTCCAACCATGTATTTTTTCACAGAGGAATAATGGAAATTATTGTGTGAATAATGAAAAGTCAGAAATATAATATTCACCTTCTATACTTCGTTTAGAATGGGAATGATGCTTTGTCTAGGATGGGAATTTCTGTATCTACAATCAGAAAACATCTCTTTGAAGACAGACATCACTTATCTATGTTTCAATCAAGAATAAGGTCTGCCACCCTGAGAACAAGTCCTCAGGTGGTTGTAATTCCTGATGATGTAATGAGAACTGAATTCTGTCTAGAAACTTCTATGGCTTAGAGGCTTATCCTCTCACTTTCAGCCCCTAAAGACTCCTGCCTCTCACATCCTTTGGGTGTTAGGCTGAAAGGCAAAAGAGTTTACCCTTCCTTCCGTGCTTATACCTAAATCAGAGACACAAGGAGAGTTTGTAACATTCAAGTAGGTCTTTCCCATTAGGGGAGGTAAGATCTGGGCCGCAGCAGTTGGATTATTGAACATTCCCCGAGAAATTTCCTTGAATATTGTATTCAGAGTTTGTTGGCAATTCCATTCACTTTCTTCATAATACTTTGATGACACAAAGAGGGCCTAGTGAGAAAGAAAGAGAGTCAGAGACACTTCAAATAGGGTGGAAGGTGGCACCTAACTAATTCAGTAAGAATTTACTGAACATTGACAACATAGGAAGCACCTTTAAGTTATCTTTCCCACTATATGGAAGGTTATAGACTAGTTTGAGTGCAGGGGAATTGTGTAATGCAAGGTACAATGATTCCATTGAAAATAGACTTTCTCTGCCATATTTACTCCTGTATTTTAGCTCTAGAATAATACCTATCATAAAGATGCACTCAATAAACATAATCAACAAACTATTGTAAAAGGTGCCCTAAATGAATGCCCTAAGAGAAGTGCCTAGTGACATTGTCTTTCAAAAATGGAGAGGGTTTCACATATATGTAGTGAGTCTGAGGAAAACTTCATTGGAGGAGGTGGTATTGGAGGTGAGCCTTGGCAGCTTGGCAGATGAGGCATGTTGGAAGGAGGAAAGAGGAGGGGACTCCGAGCTGAGGGAGCAGCATGAGCAAAGGCCTAAGGTAGGAATGGGGAGCACATGGCCTTGAAATGATGAGAGTGTTTGCATTTTGACCAGTCCCCAAGGGATGCTTCTGAAAGTCCTCTCACCCGACGTCAGCCTGGCAAATAACTATTCATCCTAATGACTCTGCGTTTTTCCCCTTCAAACCTTTTTTTTTTCTATTCTTGTATCTACCACTTAGAGTTCAGTAAGTCAATGAAAGAATGTAGAAAAAGTGCCAGACCTTGAGGAATGTGTGCATGACAGTATAGGTACTGAGTGAGTTTTGAGAACAACTGTTGAGGTCCATCCCCATCCATAACACTTTCTGGCTTTATAAAATTTGGCAAGTTTACTGACACTCTGACTCATGCTCCTGTTTAGGATAATCCTTTCCTCATGATGTTATGTGCATTAATTTATTTAATAGGACACAACAAATACTGACACTATTTACTACTACTATCACTACTAATGCAGCAGTAACATAATTTGGAAGAAAGATGAACACACAAAACAACAGTATGTGGTAAAGTGTGAAATTACATGTGATATAACAAGATAGGTTGTAGCAAAATTTCTAATTTCATAAAGAAATTGTAGTTAGGAAAAGCTTCATAAAAGCATTGGATATGAAAAGGTAAAGATTGAAGGTGAAAAGAATATATTTCAGATGGTGTTGGGAAATCATGTAAGAAAAATAGTGTAGGAAACATACTCCTCTTCCTCCTCCTCCTCCTCCTCCTACTAGTACTATACACACACATCAGATACAGCACTAATCTCTAGATTATATAAAGAAACTCAAAAAACTTAACACCAAAAAAATAAATAATCCAATCAATAAATGGGCCAAGGACCTGAACAGACATTTCTCAGAAGAGGATATACGATCAATCAAAAAATATATGAAAAAATGTTTATCATCACTAGCAATTAGAGAAATGCAAATCAAAACTACTCTTAAGATTTCATCTCACTCCAGTCAGAATGGCAGCTATTTTGCATACAAACAACAGTAAGTGTTGGCAAGGATGTGGGGAAAAAGATACACTCATACACTGCTGTTGGGGCTGCAATTTGGTGCAGCCAATATGGAAAGCAGTATGGAGATTTCTTGGAAAATTGGGAATGGAACCACCATTTGACCCAGCTGTTCCTCTCCTCAGTCTATACCCAAAGGACTTAAAAACAGCATACTACAGGGACACAGCCGCATCAATGTTTATAGCAGCTTAATTCACAATAGCTAAATTGTGGAACCAACCTAGATGCCCTTCAATAGATGAATGGATAAAAAAATGTGGCATATATACACAATGGAATATTACTCAGCAGTTAAAGAGAATAAAATCATGGTATTTGTAGGTAAATGGATGGAGTTAGAGAAGATAATGCTAAGTGAAGTTAACCAATCTCAAAAAACCAAATGCCAAATGTTTTCTCTGATATAAGGAGGCTGATTCATAGTCAGGTAGGGAGGGGGAGTGTGGGAGGAATAAATGGACTCTGGTAGGGCAGAGGGGTGGGAGGGCAAGGGAGGAGGTATGGGGTTAACAATGATGGTGGAATATGATGGATATTATTATCCAAAGTACATGTTTGAAGACACAAATTGGTGTGAATATACTTTGTATATAACCAGAGATATGAAAATTTGTGCTCTATATGTGTAATAAGAATTGTAATGCATCCCACTGTCATATAAATAAAAAAGTAATAAAAAAGAAATAATAATAATAGTAATAATAATATCATCATCATCATCTTAGGGGTCAACAATAAGGGATCAAGGTATTGTTCTCTGTGACTCCCTTTTCTGTCTCCTATTTTTACCCTCTGACTTACCTGCATAGCTATTCCTGTACTAAATGTGTTTCCAATGAGACCATTTTCTTTTTTCTCAGACAGAATTTTTTTTACCAGGAACCTTATACACTTATCAATTTTTGTTAACTTCTTTTCTGCTTTGATCTGCTCATTTGTTAGACTCCTGTTCACACATGTCAGAGCCAGGACAGCCATTGCACCAGTATCTGTCAGGGAACAAAACATTGGTAATGGGTTGACCAACCATTCTTTGTCTTAGACTAAGGGATTTCTGGGGAGATAGGGCTTAGAGTCAGTTAAATGGACAAATTTGGAAAAACCAGAATGTTTGGTCATTCGGATTGATGACAGCAGAGAAGGATTTTAAGATATGGCTGATCATCTTTCTAGGACTATGCACTCAAATTTATTTCAAGATTTCTTCCCTATGTTGAGTTGTCATGTGCACATATATAACATATTATGTTATAGCCATAAAACCATATATGGATTTGTAAGTCCATATTCATGAACAGTTTTCCATTTTTGTTTTATTTTACTGGTGCATCATAACTATACAAAATCTTGGGATTTGTTGTGATATATTCATACATGCACATAACATAATTTGATCAATTTCATTGCCCAGTACCTCCCTTATCCCTCCACTCTTCCCTCTGCCTAATCTCTATACTCTACTGATCTCCCGTCTATTTTCAGCCATTGCACCAATGTCTGTCAGGGAACAAAACGTTGGTGATAGGTTGACCAACCATTCCAGTTTGTCTTGGACGGAGGGATTTCCAGGAATGCAGGATTTTATTGCCCAGAACCTCCCCATTTCCTCCGTTCTTCCCCTTCCCATCCTTATCTCTACTCTACTGATCTCCCTTTCATTTTTATGAAATCCTCTGCCTGCTTTTTCCTTTCTAGCTTTCACTTTTAGATCTTGATTGCTCTCATCTTTTTAAATCTTTCTTCAACTTTTCAACCACATTGGTAAGGGAATTGAGAAAATCCAGGATAATAAAACAAAAGAAATATCTTTGTGTGTTCCTAATCAGTCCATTACACTGAATAAAAATGGCAGTTAACAGAATTGTTCCCCAGTAAATCCCCTCAAGGGACAGGATGAGGCAAAAGACGGGAATAAGGAAGGATAAGGACTCTTTCTTTGATGCTTGATTGCTCCTTGGTATGGCACCTTCTCTCTCTTACAAGAAAAGGAATATGGGAAGTCTCACATTCTGTCCAGAAATACTGACTGGTGTTTTGCTTTGAACTTTTAGATGAAGATGAGCCCATGTATCTGGATCCATAGGAGCTGAGCACCAATACTAGTTATCTAGAGGAGACTTCTTTTGGATGATTAAACTGACACAGTGGGAAATTGGTTCTTCTCCTTTACTTGATCAAAATATTGGACTTTTCCCTAGGAGAGGTTGTGTTGTTCAAGTCAACCAACATGTCCACATTGTCTCAGTAAATTAGAGAAAGAGGAAGTGTTAAATTAAATGACTTGCCTTGAATTTTATTTCTTAAACTCTATGCTTTCTAAAATATTTTGTATGTATATTCTCATGTTCCATCCTTATTTTACAGATTGTAATATTAAGCCACACTAGGAGCCAGGTCTTTTTATGGTACCACACATCTGGAAAGAGGCTTAACTGCCAACCATTATCCATGATTTTCCCCAAAGAATATTCTCTTCTGAGGGTAAAGAAGATAGGAAAAAAATATGATTAATGTTGGTACAAAACCCCAAAGGGCAAGAACTACTGGTGATTGTATCCTTGGAGCCAAGGGAATTGGGTTAAGTGACACTCACCTACTGAGAACTGACCACCCAAATAATAGTTTTTTGTATAATTGAATAATTCAGCAACTTCGGTGGTTGAGTAGTTCCCCTTGAAGAGACACAAAGTCAAAACGTCCAGGCTGATCTGGTAGAAGTTGGTCAGTGGATTGCCATCGTGTGCTTCTGGCAGAAAGAAAAGGATAAATATTTACTCATGGTACTGGGTAAATATACTCCTTTCAACACACTCCTACTTTCTTTATTGTCATTCTGTATATTTAAAGAGAGGTAAGTAAGAGAAGGTAGAGATCACCCATAGGATGAGCAAATCCAAGAAATGTAAAGACTTTTAAAGGCCACCAAATCTGACTTAACTCCTTTCATTTTAAATCTGAGGAGAGCCAACAGTGAAGAGATTAAAGGACTATCCAGATATTCAGCTGGTTACAGAGTTACGACTAGAACATAGATTTCCTACCTCCAAGCCTCTTGCACTTGTAACAGTAAACTGAGAGGCTTGGGTTGGAGGCACTTCAAAGAAGGTGGGATTGGAGGAAGTTAGTAAATAATAGGATATATATTAGGTGGGAGTTTAAAAAAAATAATGCATTTCACTAGTAGCCGTGACTGTCAACCCTTTTTTTCCCAGTGATAAAGTACTCTGGTCACTTTTAGCTCTTATATTAATTTTGGATGCTTTGTTACTTACAACTCAGTGTCCTGTGTTGTTCAGCTGTTTCTGGTGTTACTCATTATTTGTCTAAAAGCCAAGCTCCTGGAGGACTAAAGAATTGTGTGTGTGTGTGTGTGTGTGTGTGTGTGTGTGTGAAGGAGACCTTGACATAGGTATGGCAGTGCTCAGTTGAACACAATTTGGAAAGAAAAAAATGCAGGTTGCACAGTGAAAGAGGGAAGAGGGGGAAGTGACCTGCAGGGATGCCACAGGATGAATGGGATGAAGAGGAAGGAGGACACAATGGAGGGACATTATTCAGTTCTGAATCAGTAGAGGAGAAGTCAAAGTTGTTGAGGGTTTCTGAACATTTGATTCTTACTCATATTTTCAATTTCGTCTTGGAATTTCTTTTCTAGATGACTGAGCAGATATTCATTATATGTAAAGTTTTCACCAGTGGTATGACATGCTTCCAAAGCCAGTATAATCACAGCAAGCTGTCCCGAGCTTAAATTTAGATCTGAAAAGAAAAGTGTTCAAGTTTAACGAGACACATGCTTGTGATTTTTTTTTGCTTCCTGTCTTCCTTGTGGCTTTATATTGCTTATAACTTCTTTTTCTCCATTCTACTGTACACTAAAATTTTTATTGTTCTCTTTTTTTTAATCCCCAAAGCAGAGCCTTCTAAGGCTCTGCTGTATCAGTGCAAGCTAGGTCTTAGTCTTTTTCATGAAATAATGGGATCTTTTTGAAATCATGCAATATTTACAAAAGATGAAAAAAAGATAAGAAAAGTAGATAAATACTAAAACCTTTGGATTTTCTATCTTCATATTGCCATCTTTCTAGGACAGTAATAATTTATTTTTATGTTCTGTCTTAATAGAGTAGCAAAACTTTCAGACTTCTATTATAATAATATGAAGAGGAAAGAGTAGCTTCATTTCCCCCTTATATCAACTCAAAACCTGAGGCTCAGTATTAATGTGACTAGCTCAAGGATAATCCTGGACTTGAACCCACTTCAAATTTTTATTGTTCCACAGATGCTGCTCTACTGTGAGCTTTTTTGTTTGTGGTTCATATCCTTATGTGTAAACTCATCTAGTTTACAACACCATATTAAGAGTCTATATATTTTGCTTTCCTTTGTGGTTCTGAAGGATCCAAAGAAGCATGACCTAGCTCTAGAGTGAGTGGATTTGATGCTGCTAGGCACTGTCACTTCAGGTTTTATACAGCTGGGACTGATGCATCAGAGGTACTTTGGACACGTAATTTTTAGAATTTGTTGGAGATAATCTCTTTAGATAGGTAGATCGTTTCTTAAATATTTCATAGAATATAACACTCACCTTTCCCTTCCATAGTTCTTTCAACTTGTTGTTTTAGGGTTTTGTCCTGAATTCCAACAAGGCTGAGGGACAACAGGACATTTGCAGATTGGGTTTTGCTTGTGTATTCTGAATTTATCATTGTATTCAACAGATGGTTCAGATAAGAGTAGTTTTCTTTATTGACCTCTGTAGTACAGAAAGGAAGAAATAATGTGGCAATACTATTATGAGGTAGATCAGGGTGGCTTCATTTCCCCCTTACATTAACTAAAAATGGAGGTTCCGTATTGACATAACTGGACCAAGCCTTGATGGGGACTTGAACCCAATCCAAATTTCTATTGCTCCGTGGTTGATTCTCTAACATCAACTTTCTCAGCTGTGGTCCACAACCCTCTTTGGTTCTGAACTTAGCAAACTTATGTAACAGTATTAATGCTCATAAAACATTAAGACTAGAAACAAGGGTTATATTAAAATATTTACTAATAGTTATGGCCCAGACCAAAGTCAACCCAGTAGTTACTAGATGTTGGTGAAATAATACAGAGGTGGGTCTGGAGCCCTCCTCCACTTCATTACTTCTGTGACAAGTAGCATTGTAGTATTTCAGTATTTTAACAGCTTGTGAATCCGGTACTGGCATATCAGTCCTGCCTGGGATATCTAGTATCATTCCCTGGAGAAATGTCCTTAAAGAAATTTTCATAATTGGAAGGTTAACTGAAACTAGAATACATGTCTTCTGACTCCTATCTATTGCTCTTTCTATTTTTTCTATCTAGTTTCTTCTCTTTCTTCTAACTTTATTGGGTTAATCCTGAGAACATTCATTCTAAGGCAAAAATTCTATTACATTGATGATTGACCCCCAAGTTGCATTATCTGATTGCCCAACTGGCCAGGCATCAAGATCATTACTTAGCAGCACACTCCCTTTGGAATGTCCTCTAGTTTTAGCCTATATATTATATCCCCAAATTACAGTGGAGAACATGAAAGGAAGTTCATTTTATTGCGGAGGTAAAAGAGAATCCAGAGGCCCCAAAGATCTGGAGGAAAATAAGTAGAGTTAATTGCCACCTAAAACATAAGACATTTTGTTTACAATATTGAGAAATATCCCCAGATTCTTCCCATCTCCATATAGTCTCATGGGTTGGTAAGACAGTGAGAAGAAAACTAGTCCTGTGTTCAGCACCTTTTGATGGTCTCTTTGCTCCTTAATTTATGACCATGGGTAAGTTATGTAACTTTCCTGACCCTTGGTTTCTTCATTTAAAAATTGTGGATATTAACACATGGTAAAATGCTCCATATGTTCCTATTTACAGTGCAACTGGAGTTCCTATTGTCATACTTAGAGACAGGAGATGTGATTTCTCTTGCACATTTTGTTCACTGTAATAAACACTCAAGAAGATCTGAATGGAGTGATTGTAGGAAGGTCACAGTTTGTTGCAGGCATAATAGGACAATTGTGAATCATATTTCTGAGGTTTGTGGAAGCATCCAGTTCAGCAGATTTTCTGGCATTAAAGCAGACTTTTTAGTTCCTGTTCAACAACTCTAATCAACTTCCTTGATCACTAAAGACAAATTTAATTATTCTTTGCAATGAATTGAACTTCAAAGCCTCCCTGGAAGTCTCCTATTCTCTGGATCCGGTAGGGAAACTGACAGTACAGGAAGAAAAATGTGAGTTGGAAGATTCTGTGTTTTAGCCTTGGCTTGAATACAAGTCTGTCTCCTATGGTGTTGATCTCCTCTTGCTGGCTAGAGTACAAGGAGTACGTAGCTGCAGATGGCACAATCTAGTCATCCTTGGATTTGTTTAAAGCTAAATTCTAGAATACAGATTCACAAAAGAGAAATCATACACCTGAGGTCTACTCCAGACTTCAAGAGATCAAGTGTTTCAACAATTGTCCTTCATTATCCTCCACTTAAGGGGTCAAACTAGACCCATGCCTGGATTTCCTTTCTCCCACTTTACTTTTTTTTAATAGAACTTTGCAGTCTCTGGAGCTAATACTCAGAGATGACGAGGTTCTAACCTATGTCCTATAGAAAGAATGGAAGGATGGAAGATACGCAGCTTAAAATATCTAAACATAAACAATGACAAGAGAGAAGACTCATTGTTTGAAAGAGCTTATCATCATTATTTTTTTCCTGTGAGTTACAAAGGGTTAAACCAAAGCCATGGGTTGAACTGCAGAAATAGATTGCACTTCAAAATCAGAAGATCACTTTCTATGATCCTGAAAAGTTTCTGAGATCATGAATTTTCCATCACTGGAAATGAACAAAGTAGAGAGTTACTTGGTAGGGGTATTGTGGTAGAGAGGATTGGAGCTTAGGAAGAACAGGCAGTTTAATACAGAATCTATGATCCCTCTTGTGGAATTTTTCTCATCATTTTTTAATTACCCTTTCCATTCCGCATGGAGTCAAAACGCACATAGACCTGATATAGGGTCTTTTCTTAGTTACCTCTACATAGAGTGCCCTGATAATAGCTTTCAGAAGACTATCACACTGGAATAATTTTAGCTGAAATTGTACTTACCACAGATCTTGCATAGTTGGCTTGGAATAAGAGAAAACAGTAGGAGCCCCACTAAGGGCAGCTGGTATGAATGCCTCATCTCTCCAGCAGAGTACTGGAAAACTGAGGGCTTGGCTGGATGATGGGCAGAGGGCAATGAGAGCTCCTTCTCCAGTTGTCTCAGCCCCTCTCACTCAAGCAAATATTGAGCAATGTCAGGAGGTGTGGTCAAGTGTATTTGTCAAGTAATGTGACAAATCAGGAAGAAGACTTGAAAGGTATGGTCAGGGAGAATGAGGAAATATTTTTTTTTGTTTCCTGTTCCACACCTTCAGGATTCACATTTATTACTTGTTTTCAGCCTGATGGACATAAATCAGTCCTTTACATTCGACTTAGTTTTCATTATCATCGTTTCCACTCTACTTTGGTTTTGTTTGATTTATTTTTCCTGAGAAATCAGATTTGATGGGACAAGGGCATATAACATAAAAAAAAGAAAGTAGAAATTGTAAGTCAAAAATTGGAGCAGGCAAGATTAGGGAAGCAGGGTTATGAGGCAGTCTTTGGTATGGTGGTTTTTAAGCTAAGATTTTCTCTTAGGGTTCATGATGTCCAGAGAGTTTCTTTGCCCAAGAGAAAAACCAGAGAGATATGCATCAAATATCAATTTCAGCCTGCCAAAAAATTGCTACATATTATATGCTATATGTGAGTTGTGTTGCCTATTGTAGTTCTTTTAAGCACTATTAGAAAATATTGTCAATCTACTTCCTCATGACTTGTGACATATCATTGGCATCGTATCTCTGTGTTTTAGTCAGCTTTTGTGTTGCAAGGACCAAAAGGCCTGACAAGAACAACATAGAGGATTTATTTTGGCTCACAGTTTCAGAGGTTCAGTTGGTGGTCAGCTGAGCCTGAAGCTCTGGACCCAAAGTATAATCGTCAATTTGAATTGTCAACTTGATTGGATTAAGAGATGCCTAGGATTATAGGTGTGTTAATGGAGGTGTGTCCAGGAATGATTGGCATGTGGGATAGCCACCTGAAATTGAGACCCTCCCTAAGCATGGGCAGCACTGACCAATAGGATGATGGTTTGGGTGGAATAAAAGTTGGAAGAACAAGGAAGCAGCAGCAGATGCAAGCTTAATTCTTCTTGAATGGGTTCTTGGTTGCTGCTGCAATTGTCTGAGGATATTGGACTCTCCCTTCTTCACTCTTGCAAAGCAGGCTCTGCCAGTGATTCTCTAGAAGCCTTTGGTCTGGGACTAGGGTAGCACTGTTGATCCCTCTTGTTCTGGGGCTTCAGCCTCTTGGATTGTGCAGCTACTGGTTCTCCCAGCTCTCTTCAGTGTGAAGATGGCCATTGTAGATCATCCAGCTTCTGGTCATGTAAGCCAACCTATTTAGTCCCCCTTTTATAATTATACTTCCTGTTGATTCTGTTCCTCTAGAGAACCCTAACACAAGGTAATGCAGAAAATCATGGAGGAAGGACGTGATGGAGGAAAGCAGGTGAGGGCATGAAGGCTAGGAAGCTGGGAGAAGTGCTTTGCAAAGTTATGTCCCCAGTGACCTAACTCTTCCAGCTATACCCCACCTGCAAGTAATCACCCAGTTAATCCATATCAGTGGATTAACCCACTGATTATGTTATAGTTCTCACAATCGAACCATTTCAACCCTGAACATTCCTGCATTGTCACTCTTGGGGGACAGCTCATATCCAACTGTAACACTCTGATGGTTAACTTTCTGTGTCAACTTGACTGGCCATGGGGAGCCTGGATGAAACATTATTTATGATGTGCCTGTGAGGGTATAGCCATATAAGATTAGAAGGGACTTCTCACTTCTCCTGGGAAGTCCTTGGATTGATTTATACCATTGGATTCTCTGGTTCTCAGGACTTCAGACTGAGATTGAATTATACCACTTGCTTTCCTGGGTCTGCAGTTTACAGACAGCAGACTGTGGTACTTCTCAGTCTCTCTAATTGTATGAATCAGTTCCACATTCATTCATTCTGTCCCTCTGTCTCTCTCTCTTTCCCCTACTGTTTCTGTGGAGAACACTGACAATACAATTTCTTTGTATAGCACATGGTCCAATCCATAGAAGACATTCAGGAGACACACATTGAATGTAAGGTTTCACATGGAAGCTGGGGAATATTAAGACAAGGCAAATATGCAAAGATTCAAGGCCTAGGTTTCTTAAAAGTGACACTGTTGACATTTTGAGCCAAATAATTCCTTGTTGTGTAAGGTCTTCCTGTGCCTTGAATGTTATTTATCGGTATCTTTGGCAGGTAAAAACTATCCCTCATCCCAATAGTCATGACAAAAGATACCTCCATGGTTCCTGGGAATTTGCCCTCTGCTCCCCCTGCCCCAAGATGGGAACTATTCTTCAGGTTTCTAAGAAGTTTAGGTTTTGTGTGGGGATAATCTCATACTTACCTTTAATATATAGTTTGACCTCCACCATGCATAGGATCAATGTATTGTCCCTTTCTTACTAGCTCACCTAAATTTATCAGTATAGACTGATTTCTACAAAGTGTGGGACAAATGGCATCATCCTTTTTTTTTAATTGTCTCATCTAAATTTATCAATATACTTTGGCCCTTACCACATTTAGGGCCAATGATATTGCCCTCCCCTTTTTATTACTAACTCTTATTCCACTCATGTCCTCAATTCTGACTATATTTAGATAACTTTCCAAGATTCGCTACAAACACTTCCTTCCATTACCCTCAGTTCCTTGGTCTCTCTGATTATCTAATGGTGTAAGTGGAGGCACATGTAGTGCAGACCCATGTAAAAATTATAAATTAATTGAAAAAACTGTTAAACAAGATAAGTTTTGCCCTCCTATTTGGACAACCAACTTTCATGATGAGCCGGAAAGGCGGATTTTAATTTAGAATTCCAGAGTTCTACTCTGGGACATTGTGGTAAGAACCAGCAATGGTCACCACGCAAATCCCTTCCCTTGTCCATGGATGTGGCTAAATCCATTCTCTCTAATCCCACTCTCACTTGCATTGTATGGGGCCTGCCCGTGCAGGTGTGTCCAAGTTGCATCCATATTTCCAGTAGACAGTTGTCCCTGGGCTGCCCCTGGGCCCAGGGCTACACACACCTGGGAGGACAGACTCAGTGGGGCTCAGGCAGGCCTTGTGTGTAAGCTCAGGGCTATTTGGGCAGTGAATTCTGGGGAATTGAGATCTTAGTGGCATGTTCCTGTGGCCCAGCACACTTCTTTCCCCCAGAAAAGGGCGTGCCAGTGGAGAAGGCCAGAGTGAAGCTGTATAAAGTGTGAGTTCCTGAGCAGAGCTCCTTCCTTCCCAGACCTGAGGGTGATAGAACACGGCATGCAGCAAACTGATTTGTCTCATCTTTTTCTCTTTTTTCCCCTGGTATAATGTATAAGTGTGTAGAGGAAGTGAAAGTAGGAGGGAGGTATGAAATGATGTGTTGGGTGAAGGGATTTCTGGAAACTGGGTCAACATCATGAGAGTTGGACTGGTTTCTGTTTTTTTTTTTTCTTTTTAAAAAGTCATTCCAGATCCTTAAAAACTATGATTATTAGAAAAGAGAGCAAAAATGTTTTGCTAAGTTTGTGTCATTTAAGGAGAAATGTATGATAGGAAATAGGATTTGGTCTTATTTTACCTTCTTTAAACCATCAGAGATGCCATTTAATGAGTGATCCCTAGACACATCATATTTCTTATTTAAAATCACAAACTTTAAATAAATGGAGACTGAGTGAGTTAGCATCTGCATATCAGAAAACATTCAGCTTTTGTTTTTTTTGGGGATTGGCTTATTTCCCTTAGCATAATATTCTCTACCTCTACCCATTTACTGGCAAATGCCATAATTTCATTATTTTTTAAGGCTGAGTAATATTCCATCATATATTCGTTTATCTGTTGAAGGCCACCTAGTTTGGTTCCATAGTTTAGTTATTGTGAATTGAACTTCTAGAAATATTGATGTGGCTGCATCACTGTAATATGCTGATTTTTAAGTCCTTTCAGTATAAACCGAGAAGTGGATTAGCTGGGTCAAATGGTGGTTCCATTCCAGGTTTTCTGAGGAATCTCCATACCACTTTCCATACTGGTTGCACCAATTTGCATTCCCATCAGCTATGTGTAAGTGTTACACTATTTATAGTCCATCAACAGTGTATGAGTGTACCTTTTCCCCACATCCTTGCCAACACTTATTGTTGTCTATAGTCTTGATAATTGCCATTCTGATGGGGGGTGAGATGAAATCTTAAGAGTAATTTTGTTTGCATTTCTCTAATTGCTAAAGATTTTGAACATTTTTTCATATAGTTTTTGATAGATTGTATGTCTTCTTCTGTGAAGTGTCTGTTCAGTTCCTCTAAGCCCATTTATTGATTGGGTTATTTGATTTTTTAGTGTTAAGTTTTTTGAGTTCTTTATATATCCTGGAGATTAATGCTCTATCCGAGGTGAATGTGGTAAAGATTTTCTTCCATTTTGTAGGCTCTCTCTTCATGTTATTGATTGATTACTTTGCTGAGAAGGAGCTTTTTAGTTTGAATCCATCATATTTATTGATTCTTTTTTTTTCTTAGAGAGAGAGAGAGAGAGAGAGAGAGAGAGAGAGAGAGAGAGAGAGAGAGAATTTTTTTAATATTTATTTTTTAGTTTTCGGCGGATACAACATCTTTGTTTGTGTGTGGTGCTGAGGATTGAACCCGGGCTGCAGGCATGCCAGGCGAGCGCGCTACCTCTTGAGCCACATCCCCAGCCCACATTTATTGATTCTTAATTGTACTTCTTGTGCTTTAGAAGTCATGTTAACGAAGTCAGGACCTAAGCTGACATGATGAAGATTTGGGCCTACTTTTCTTCTATTAGGCTCAGGGTCTCTGTTCTAGTGCCTAACTCTTTGATCCACTTTGAGTTGATTTTTTGTGCAGGGTGAGAGATAGAGGTTTAATTTCATTTTGCTACATATGGATTTCATTTTTCTACTATCATTTGTTGAAGAGGCTTCCTTTTCTCCAATGTATGTTTTTGGCATGTTTGTCTAGTATGAGATAACTATATTTATGTGGGTTTGTCTCTGTGTCTTTTATTTTTTACCCTTGGTCTACATTTCTATTTTAGTGCTAATGTCATGCCTTTTTTGTTACTGTTGCTCTGTAATATAGTTTAAGGTCTGGTATTGTGATGCCTCCTGCTTCACTCTTCTTGATAAGGACTGCTTTGGTTATTCTGGGTCTCTTATTTTTCCAAATGAATTTCATGATTGCTTTTTCTAGTTCTATGAAGAATGTTATTGGGGTTTTAATAGGAATTGCACTAAATTTGAATAATAGTATGTCCATTTTAACAATATTAATTCTGCCTATCCAAGAGCATGGGAGATCTTTCTGTCTTCTAATGTCTTCTTTAATTTCTTTCTTAGTGTTCTGTAGTTTCCCTTGTAGAGGGCTTTCACATCTTTTGTTAGATTCCCAAGTATTTTATTTTTTGAGGCTATTGAGAATGGGGTAGTTTTCCTAATTTCTCTTGCAGTGGATTCATCACTTATGTATAGGAATGCATTTGATTTTTGGGTATTGATTTTATGTCCTGCTACTTTGCTGGATTCCTTTATTAGTTCTAGAAGTTTCCTGGTGGAATTTTTTTGGATATTCTAAATATAGAATCATGTCTTTGGCAAATAGCAATAGTTTGAGTTCTTCTTTTCCTATTCATATCCCTTTAATTTTTTTTTCATTTGTCTGATTGCTGTGGCTAGAGTTTTAAGGACTATGTTGAATAGAAGTGGTGAAAGAGGGCATGCCTGTCTTGTTCCAGTTTTTAGAGGGAATGCTTTCAATGTTTCTCTATTTAGAATGATATCGGCCTTGGGCTTAGCATAGATAGCTTTTCTAGTGTTGAGATATGTTCCTTTATCCCTAGTTTTACTAGTGTTTTGAACATGGAGGGGTGCTGTATTTTGTCAAATGCTTTTTCTGCATCTATTAAGATAATCATATGATTCTTGTCTTTAAGTCTATTGATGTGATGAATTATATTATTGATTTCTGTATGTTGAACCATCCTTGCATCCCTGGGATGAACCCCACTTGAACGTGCTGCACTATCTTTTTTTTTTTAAATGTATATACTTTGGGATACAAACTTTATTTGGATGAAATAAAATTTAATTACAGATAAAGTGATTAATAACTATAAGTTTGTGTTTGGTATAGTTATATATTAACAAACTGGAAAAACCAGGATAAACATGCTGTTTTTTTGGTAAAATATCAACATATCAGATAAAAAGAAGGTAAAAGTAATAGTAGAGCAAGTTAAAAGAAAACCTACATTTATGTTGAGTTTCACAGTCAGGAAGTTTTATAGACAAGGTAATTAATTAGCTATGTAAATATAATAATAAACATTTATTGGGCATCTACTTTGTTGCACTATCTTTTTAATATTTTTTATTTGATTTTCCAGAATTTTATTGAGAAAATATTTGTATCTATGTTAATTAGGGATATTGGTTCTGAAGTTTTCTTCCCTTGATGTGTCTCTGTCTGGTTTTGGTATCCGGGTGACTAGCCTCATAGAATGAGTTTGGAAGTGTTCCCTCCTTTTGCATTTCATGGTATAATTTTAGAAGTATTGATGTCAGTTCTTCTTTGAAGGTCTTGTAGAACTCAGCTGAGAATCTCTTTTTGAAAATTTACTCTAATTTGTTATACATGACAGTGGAATGTATTTCAATTCATAGAACACATATAGAGCACAATTTTTCATGTCTCTGGTTGTTCACAAAGTAGAGTCACACCATTCATGTCTTCATAGGTATACTTAGGGTAATGATGTCCATCTCTTTCTACCCCCATACCCCCTCCCTCCCCCTCCTTCCCTTTCTCATCTCTTTTCCCTATCTAAAGTTCCTCCCTTTCTCCCATGCTCCCCCTCCCATCTCCATAATGGATCAGCATCCTCATATCAGAGAAAACATTTGGAATTTGTTTTTCTAGGATTGGCTTACTTAGCATAGTATTTTCCAACTCCACCCATTTACCTGCAAATGCCATGATTTTATTCTCTTTTAATGCTGAGTAATATTCCATTGTGTATATATACCACAGTTTCTTTATCCATTTATCTACTGAAGGGCATCTAGCTTGGTTTCACAATTTAGATATTGTGAATTGTGCTGCTATAAACATTGATATGGCTGTATCACTGTAGTATGCTGTTTTTAAGTCCTTAGGACATAAAACAAGGAGTGGTATAACTGGGTCAAATGGTGGTTCCATTCCCAGTTTTCCAAGGAATCTTCATACTGCTTTTCATATTGGTTGTATCAATTTGCAGTCTTACCAGCTATGTGTGAGTGTGCCTTTTCCCCCACATCCTCGCCAACACTTATTGTTTGTATTCTTAATAGCTGCCATTCTGACTGGAGTGAGATGAAATCTTAGTTTTGATGTGCGTTTCTCTAATAACTAGAGATGTTGAACATTTTTTAAAATATATTTGTTGATTGACTGTATATCGTCTTCTTAGAAGTGTCTGTTCAGTTAGGTAGCCCATTTACTGATTGGGTTGTTTGTTTTATTGCTGTCAAGTTTTTTGAGTTCTTTATGTACACTAGAGATTAGTGCTCTAGCTGATGTGTGTGTGGTAAAAATTTTGCTCCCATTCTGTAGGCTCTCTATGCACCTCTTCTTTTGCTGAGAAGAAGTTTTTCAGTTAATGGTCAACAAATATATGAAAAAATGTTCATTATCCCTAGAAATCAGGGAAATACAAATCAAAACTACCCTGAGATTTCATCTCATTTCAATTAGAATGACAGTCTTCAAGAAGAAAAATAATATTAAACCCCGGTGAGGATGTGGGGCAAAGGTACTCACGCATACATTGTCAGTGGGCTGCAAAGTACAACCACTCTGGAAATCATTATGGAGGTTCCTGAAAAGACTAGGCATGGAACCACCACATGACCAGCTCTCCCACTCCTCAGTATTTATCCAAAAGGACTAAAATCAATATACTTCAGTAATACAGGCACATCAATGTTTATTGCAGCACAATTCACAATAGCTAAGTTATGGAACCAGACTAGGGATCTTTCAACATGCAAATGGATGAAGAAAATGTGGTATATTACACAATGACGTTTAACTCAGCCATGAAGAATGAAGTTATGCCAATTGTGGGTAAATTGATAAAAGTGGATAGCATCATGCTAAATGAACTAAATCAGACTCAAAATAAAGGACTAAATATTTTCTCTCATATGTGGAAACAGAGAGCAAGAGAGATAGAAAAGAATAAACAAAGAAAAGGAGGGAATCTCACAAAAATAAATGAAAGGGAAACCAATAGAGGAAGGGAATTGGGGTCAAGAGGGAGGGAGGAGGGAAGAGCATGTGAAAATACTGGGGAATGAAATCTCCCAACTGTGCTATGTCCATGAATGAACAGTGAATCTGCATATATGTAATTATAATACACTAATTAAAAATAACCATAATGGAAGGGAGATAAGTAGAGTAGAGCAAGCAGATCTGGTGAGAGAGGAAGGGAGAGAAGAATAGGTACTGGGGGATGAGATTGATCAAATTATGTCATGTGCATGTATAATGATGGTATAACCCATCTCACTATTATATATGACTGTAATGCACCATTTAATTCATATAAATATATCAGTATCACGTTCAAAAAACTGCTGTGTAACATGACGTACTTCAACCTAAAAAGATCTTTTGTCCCCGTGGGTTTATTCAGCCCTCCATTGTAACATGCAAAGGAACTGCTGGAAAAATTCCTGTGAGGTGTGTTGAATTCCAATGAGTCTAACTGACCAGCTGGTTTGCAGTTCACCTTCTAAGGAAAACAAGTAAAACATTTGGAAAATGGAGCTCAGCTTCCTCTGACATCTGCAATAATGTGGGTTTGTACAGATCCATGTCATTTGATCAGTGTCTGGTTTGGTGTCAAATGACTCCAGCTAAGCCTGAAAATTTACAAAATGTTTGCCACCCCTATGCTTAAGTGATGCAAGGGTGTGAAAGTGCTGCGTCCGGCCAAGGGAGCCGAGTCCGACGAGGGACGGCGAGGTTAAAAGACACACAGGACACCAAGGTTCTTCATCCAGGAGTCAATACCCTTTATTGTTAACACACCTTTTTTATACCCCAAGCAGCAGAAGTGGAAAACTACCCAAAAGCAGGAGGGAGGGGGGAGAAATTTAGTTTCAACATCTATTATTGTCAGGTACCGAAACCTCCCTTAACAAGAAGTCCATCAGACCGGAAAAGGTCAAGGCATTCCCGTGGGATACATATGTCTCAGACGGACAAGCAGGAACAGAAAAACCGCAAGTTCGCCATGGCCTTGTGAGCTGGCCACACTGGCATGCAGAACAAACTAGTGGAGGTAGGGCTCCAGGGGCCAGGGTGGACCTGCTGCCAACATGAAAGTTCAGGTTTGTTGCTTGAATCAGAGACGAAGTTGGAGGCAGGGTTTAATGCGGGAGCTCTTTTGGAGGTCCTGCGGAGGCTAGGACTGTGCCTTCAGTAGGTAGCTTTCATGCTGGTTGCCTTTCCTTTCCATGGCCTGCCTACTCATTCCCTTAATGGGAACACTTCCATAACAAGTCATCTGCCTATAAATCCCCTTATCAAGTTCTGCGCTGGGAACCCCAACTAAGACACGGAAAAATGGGTTAACTAGGGCTGAGAAGTTGATGTGTTCATGATCAGGGAGCTAAGAAATGGCAAGTCAGAACTTGAGCCCGACTTCTCACATTGTTTCTGCTCTGCAGATCAGGAGATGCTTGGAGAAATCGAACAGAATTCCTCAAGTGCAATCCTGTGCCTCACCTGATATTAAGGAGCCCTACTAGGGAGAATCTGGGCGCACATCATTAGAAAACACCAGGGTGCAGATGGAGGTCTTCTCATCTCTGCCAGTGTTTTCTGCCGGAAGAGCCTGAGAGGGAGGCTGGAGAATTTAATTTTTGAACTCTCAGCTCCCACAATGCACAGCACAAGGGCACCTGAGGAACTGAGATAACAGGTCAGCCACACTTCTGAGCTTCCTGTGCCAAGACAGGCACTGCTTTCTGTAATAGCAATGGGGACCAGCAAGGATTTATGTATTAATTAGGATTGACATTGGTTACAGTCTGCTTATTCATCCTCCTCCTCTTTTATATCTAGCATTCATCTGCAAGGAATGAATTCCTGCTACTTTTAATAGGACATATTTCTTCCTGCCATTTTTTCTCATCCCTTAAAAAAGAAAAAACTAATTTAGGAATATAATCCAGGGAATGGTAACTTCAGAAAATGGTGTGCTAATGTATAGTTTCTTTTCCTTTTCCCTTCTTTCCTGACTTTCTTCCTTTTTCTTTCTTGTACTAGAGTTTGAACCCAAGGATGCTTTAGCAATGAGTTATTTTCCCAGTCCTTTTTTATATTTAATTTTTTAAAATTTTGATACAGGGTCTTACTGAATTGCTGAGGGTTTTGATAAGTTGCTGAGGCTGGCCTTCAACTTTCAATCCTCCAACCTTAGCCTCTTGAGTTGCTGAGATTACAGGCATGTACCACCATGCCCAGCTTTAATGTATAGTTTTCATTTAAGTTATGGAGATATGGAAAGAGTTTTGTATGAGGGGTAAAAGTGATTACAACTTGTATATTTATTTTCTCTCTTTTTTAATCTAGCATTCACTTGGAATGAATTAATTTCATACAAGATTATTTCTTATTATTTCCACCATCTTTAAAAGGTCAGAAGCTCACCAACTCCAGAATGGGAACCAGGGAATGGTAAGACAGTGGTGGCTCTAATCAGTGTCTCAGAGTCATTGTCATTCCTAGGAGGACCTGAAATATTGAAGAGGGAAAAAGCATTTCCATTGATTTTTGTCCCTCGTTGGTCCCATTGTGGGAAGCTGTTCTTATACTGTTCATTTTCACATGTCTGCTAGTTTTGTAAGAGGGGACTATTAAAAATCACAACTTTTATAGGTGAGTACAGTTTAGGTAGGTAACATAAATAAGTAAAGAGGGGGTAGTCCTAAGGAGTTTTGGATTTATTTTTTAGAAATGTCTTCTCAGAGTTGATTTCTGTGCTTAATTAACTAAGCATTCACTTTGAAAGGTGGGATTCTACCAAAGTTACTTCCAGAGCAGGTTAGGATGATTCTTCAGGTCTAAGTCCCCTTGGACTTGCCCTTTGGGATGGATAAAGGCCTTCATTATGCTGTAGCTGCTTATTTCAGTGCCCAGAGGGAGGTGGATACATGCTGAGCTTTCTGAAGGACTCATCTTACATCTGAAATAATAATTTCAAATGTACAAAGAACTCTGTGTGTTAAGACAAAGTTAGTGTTACCCCTAAACTCACCCTCCAAGGCCCCTGTAAGTTGGCTCATCTGTGTGTGACATCCTCTCAGGAACTTTAAAGGTTCCCAGGAAGACTCAGGTGCATGGACATTGAAAAGATATGTTTAATTGCATGGGTCAACATGCACTTTTTACTACCAGAGTTGTCATTAAAATGTTACTTTCTGGAGGCTAAGTGATGGTGGTATGACAGTTCCCACTCGGCGTGCTACAGGGGGGATAATTGCTACACCTTAGTACAGCCACAGCATAAAATCCTGTGAGACATCCCAAACCTTCACTTCCTATTTCCTCAACAGGCCCTGCTGTGAGGTTAGCAAGGCGCAAGCCACTCTGTGGTAAGAGAGTTGCATGTCCTCATTTCCTTGATTTATACTAAGAATTAATATTGTCATTTAGGCAAGAAATCTTGGGTTGATGGTAGTTTGATTGAATGACTAAGTGATAGGATTTCCAGACTGGTGGCTTTCACAGAATTATTTGCTGCTTATATTAAAGGGTGATGAGTTTCAGCCTAACCGGTTAATTCTCTTTTTAAAATGCCTTTGGAAAACTATTTTTTCTCTATTTGGTTTATTACTTTATCTGGTTTCTTTTACATCCTCCTTTTAAACACTTTCCTTAATTCTTATGAGTGACTTTCTTCACTGAGCTCCTTGCTTCAGATTTTCTTTGTAATGCTCTTATCAAATCTCTACTTTGTTCTTCTCTTTAACACAAAACACCCAACTGCTTCTTTATGATCTGATAAAATGTGAATGGCCTCTCTCAGGTACCTGGAGAAACTTATTAAGACAGAATTCAGGTGTCATTCAAGTGTGTTCAGCTCAAGACCTAATGGAGGTTAACGAAATCCTGCATATGTAAAATTGCTAATGGCTGGAGTACAGGAAGCTGTAGACAGTTTAACAAATAGGGATGATGCACTCTGGGGGAGTGTTCTCCTGGGGAAGTGATGAGTTAAGATCTTCAGCATGAGTAGGAGGTGAACAGGTTGAGGTGTAGGGGGGAGGGAGAGTTCCAGGCAGAGGGAACAGAAGGTGCAAAAGCCCTGAGGGTGGCACGTGTGTGAGGTGGGGCAAGATGAGGGGCCTTGTGGGGTCATGGAGAGAAAGCGGAGTTGTCATGAGACTTGCTCAGTAGACAGTGCAAAAAGGGGTGGGGTGATTCCTATGTAGAGGGAGTGGTGGCATAAACACAGGTCATTTTCCTTTAGCTTACTTTGAAAGTGGCATACCCCATAAATAACAAGTAACCATCTGTCTAGTGCCTGGCCCCCAATCATGATTTTTTGATCCTGTTGTAATGTTCCTCTAAGTGTCATCAGCAGACCTTCTAGTCTGAATGGGGGCAAAGAACACTTACAGTCCAGAGTGAGAAGAAAACTCTGATTGTGGACCAGCAGCGATAATAGAAGAAGCCCTAAGGGGATGGCCTCGTCAATATCTCCAGTCAGATGTCCAATAATATAGTAATAAGTTCAGAACTGAATGTATACTCTTGCCCCTGCACTCCAGTCTGCTCCTCCACTAGCTTTTCCATCTCGGGAAACAGCAGCCCTCTGTTCTTGTCTATACCATAACCAGTCTCTAAGTTCTGTTGGTCAAACTGCTCCAAGATGCTGTATTTCCCAATTAGATAACTGCATTTTCTCTTAATGGGCATCTGATTATGTCCTTGGTTCTGGAGAATCTGTTCTCCAGCCAGCAGCTAGAGTCATTCTGCTAACACTCACTAGTGCCTTAGTCTCCTAGAGCTGCCATAACAAAGCACCACAAATGGGATGGCTTATAACGACAGAAACTTATTTTCTCAATTTGGGAGGCAAATCCAAAGTAAAGGTGTCAGCAGGACTAAGAACTAATTACATCAACAATGACCCTATTTCCAAATAAGCTCACCTTCTGCATCATTGGAGTAGTGCTTCATGGTGTCATTTTAGGAGACACAGTTTAGTTCATCATACCCTCTCAGGCCACACCCTCTCAGAATCCTCTGCTCATGACCCTCCACTGTATTTATCTGACCCACAATGAAAGTCATAGTCTTTGTTATGGCCTGTGAGGCCCTAGGCAGAGTGGCTTGGCTACTTCATGGGGAAGAGGGCCAGGAAATGGCAACTTCCCCATCTCTCTCCATGCCCCTCCAGTCTCCACACTCTAGCTCCCTGGTGTCCTTGCCAGTCATTGAGCAGGCAGGTATGCTCCTGCTGTGTGGCCTTTGCATCCTGATGCCCTTCTGCCTAGAGGTCTTACTGCCCCCATGCCCTGTGATCAGCTCCCTGACAACTTCAGATCCCTGCTGAGATGTCACTTCGTCAATGAGGCCTTCCTTACTGAAAAAAAGTATTTTAAATTCTATCCCCTCACTACATTAAACCTTTTACAAGCCTTATGCTTTCATAGTGTTTATTTCCACCTAACATGATAGTTATTTATCTTTTATCTTCTGTATCCCTTTATTATGTTACCTGAACAAGATAACTACCACTTCAACATACGCACATTTCTGCATCTCTAGGGCCTGGAACAGAACAGGCACATATAATTCACATTCTAACATGCACATTTCTTTCACATAATAAGACTCATCAGTATTTTAGAGGACTTACAATCAACAACTTATTAAGATTGGCCAGTGGACAGTTATACTGTAGCTGTTCTTGCCTGCACATGGAGAACTTGGTCTGACACTTTCTGCTGACACCTCCTGAATACTTGAGAAATGGGGGTCACTAGATGGTAGGCAGTTCTGGAGATAAGAGCATAACATTCTTTAAAGAGATGTTGCATTGTCAATGATCCTGATGGCTCAAAGAGTGGTAAATGTGTGGGGAACCAGGGACATTGATGACTATGAACCAAGCAGTTATGTAGAAGAGCCAGACTCACTGTGACAACATTTTAGGATTGCATTAATTTTGTTCATACTTGCTTTTTTATACAGCACAAGGTGATATGGTTTAAAATATCCATAGAGCTCTTTGAATTTTTATAAAATTATTTAAAAACTAAATGGTAAACTGTCAGATTTTTAGTTTCTGTCACAAAAAAGTTTCTTTTATCTTGGTTTTAAAAAACAGTGTATCTAAAGTTAATGGCGTCTTAGACTTAATGGGAAGCAAGAGCAGATGCTCAAATAGATGTTATAAATGGTATAGACTTCTTCCACTTCTAAACCTATTAAACAGCGCCATCTGCAGGGAGGATGGCTTATGACAGTTTGTCTGGATGTTTGAATAACAGGATGGACTATAGAACTCTTTAGCTTTGTTCAACATTGTCATGAACTCAAAGTCAGGAATGACTGCTTTGAGTTCTTTTGTGCTGTAGGTTCCATTTTAAACAGAAGAATTATAGCAAAATAAGAAAACTGGCAAAGTCACTATCCAACCTCCAGTGGTGTCTCAAAACCACCACACTGATTTTGAACCCTCTGAAGGAGCAAGGCAGGGTAGGTATATCAGATAAAGGAAAGAGGGAAAGAGTTAAAATGTTCATCAAGCATGTATTTTTTTAACAACTATGGCAAAAAAGCTGAATCAAAAATGACCTATGCTAACTTGTGCTCTGGTAACTAAACTTTTAGGAAAAGTCTAAACCATCTGCTTTAACCAAGTGCTTCTATTTAGTAAGAAATTAACACAGTATAAGATAATCTTCCAGTGTAATGTCCTGGGTGTCTTTAATAATATGAGAAAACATGTGTATTTTTATATGTAAATCTTTCCATATATATATTACTATCTATGTACCTTCATCCATCTGTCCACCCATCTGTCTGCACACACTTTGTGGTGGGGAGAGATTTATTTTAGATTCTTGATTTGTGTTCCTTTCTGAAGTTTTTTTTGGGGAGTTGATTACTCCCTCATTTGTAAAAGCCATAAAAATATAATAAAAGATCTTTATAAGGAAAGCTTGCAAGGATGGGGAGATAGTAGGTAAATAATACTATCAGTAGGAAAATGATAATGTTTCGAGGACAGTTTCAGAGTTAACTGGTCAAATATCAAGAACTCTGCACTGGGAATATAGGAAGGTCATGTTGAGGGTTCACTTTATACCATAAGCTGGTATTACGAAGCCCAGGAAAGCACCTGGGCCTGACATAGTGGGTTCAAGCAAGGGAAACTTACTCTGAGGCTACAGCAGTCCCAAAACTTTTGAAATGGAAGAAGCTTTCTTTCCTTGCAAAGTAAAAAGTTAATCATAATAGAAGAATCTAGGCTCAAAAAGCAAGTTTCTCAACATCTGATCCCCCTACAGGGGGAAGCTTAGAGAGTCTTGGCCTTGCCCTAGGCAGACTGAGACCAAGATGCCCTGTACCCTCACCCAGAAATGAAGCTGCTCCTTGTAGAAAGGACTGATACCATGGTAGCTTCAGGGAGTGGGTGTTTCCCTTGCTGAATTAAAGTTAAATGGATATGCAAACAGAAAATACATCGTGTTACTAAAGCCTGAGCAGAAAATGTGGTAATTACATGGGCAGGGTGACTTGAACTCTTGGCAGGTAAAAATCCACCCAGGTTAGAGACAGGCACTCAGTGGCTGGTTTGAACTTTGGAAAAACTCTGTCCTTCACCTGGGGGTCTTATTGTGCCCCTTTTACCAAGAGGTACATGGATCATTACCACAGAGCATGCAATTGAGATTTTCCTGATGGTAACATGGCTTCTAAGCTTAAAATGATAGTAATAGTTTGGCAGAAATAAATATGAAAAGGCATGGATGGTTGATCAGAACTTTCAGAGCATTTTGTGCAACAAATCTTGTTAACACAGAATCTTTGGTCCCAAGAACAGAAAGGTTGCTGACGTTGCTCAGTAGTAACTAATACAGCAACAGGTCAAGAGAAGGGGGAAAAAACTCCAACTCTTTGGATTTATATTAGGTTATAATTTGGTTGGGGAGACTCTTAATAGACATCATGCCCACTTACCCTTCTGAGCTTCCTCCTGCTTCTCTGGTGGGTTTGAATTTCCCTTCTGTCTTGCAGCTGGGCTTACTGGCCATGTTACTGCATACCACTAGGACCTGTTTTCAACAGCTGTGTATTGGTATTAAATACCTATTAGCAAGGTTGGTAATAATCTTCCCACCAATTTCCATCTTCCCAGTGACTCAGCCCAACAGCTTAGAAATTAAGTTAGGAATGCAATACAGATATAAAATGTCAAGTTTTATTTATAAATTTGTGGCCACATTGAAATATAAAAACACTTGATAGCCTTTTCTCAAAGGCATCATAAAAGGGGGTTACAATAGATTAAAATGAATTAAAATCATGCAGATACATACAAATAAAAGATCACATCATAACCTTCCACTGAGTTAATTTGTTTTGTTGCTGTACATCAAAGAGTACAAGCCTCTAAAATTCACAAAATTAGGCGATGAATAGAAAGGCCTTTGCAGTGACTGACTGTGTGTCCCATAAAAAGGAGTCGACTGTAGAAGAAACAAAATTTGTAAACATTATCATAATATTTGCTAGATAAACAACATTCCTAAAACATGGCACTAAAAGAAAGGGAAGACTTTTTGAGCTCCTTCCCTTGGGAATAGAACCAGTTAACTTTAGGACATTTAAAAAAAATAACTCCAAGATATGAACTAGATTGCAAACAGTTTTGGGATAATCTAGATTTTAAGAATGGGAGCAATACAGATGCTGTGTCATAAAGATTATAGGGAAAAAAAACCCACAAAGGAATCTTGTATATGTTTGAAATTTTGTTTGAAATGAACCCAGAATTAAAACCCAAATGTTTTAGCCCATGTTTCCTTCAAAGGCCTTTCTCCACATCTTAAGACATTTAATTTCTTGTGAAAGAAAGGAAGAAAATGTTCCAAACTGGCCATTCCAGAGTTGATTGACTCCTCCTTCCTTCACAATCATTGATGTTGGAGGGACGTATTCAGTTCTGAATTTTGTAAAGTGGAATAATTCTTACTGCCTAGGGGGAAAAATCCCAGGATAAGGAGAGAACTCTAGGACGGGTAAGTGTAGGGTCTTCCTTGAATTAACACTAAGCCTGGTGTGAACAAGGTACAAGAGAGCTCCACATTTACCTCCACTACTAATATGTGTGCCATTCTGTCTTCAGTGTGTATGTGTGTGTGTGTGGGGGGGGGTTGTACCTTGGCTGTTTTTACTTGCCCTAAATAATATTTTTCTGGTTGGGCCTTGTATCCTTACCCAGTCATCTCTCAAGTGGATGCAGCCACAGGATGAACAGAATCTGTACTGTACCAAGTACCACTGTTGAAGAGGAGGGGCCACCTCGAGACTCGAGGGCAACTGGCTCATCTCGTTGACATCAAGTGGGGCATGGAAACTTTCAAAGGAAAAAAGAAAGAGGAATTAAAAAGCAAGACAGAGAAAGAAAACAAAAAGCAAAACAAAGTCTTAAGAGTTATCATCCCTGGGGCTGAATTTTGGCTCAGGTATTTTATTATGATTCAAAAGCTTAATGGTTCAATATCCTTGATTTAATAGCTTAGTATATTTAACAATTAAAAAGTTGTAACTTTTCATTGTTTTAAAATATCACATAACTGTTATTCTTGTCCAATACGCTCTGCCCCTCATCAAGCCCTCCATTGTAGGATACTGAATTATGGAAAAACTGTTGTCTGTTAAATTAAGGAAAAAATGTTTAAAGAAAACATTCACAATGTTTTGAAGTAATTTTTTTTTTTTTGCTTAAAATAGTAACTAGTCTAGGGAGAGATATTCCTAGAATCTCTTAGAGCTCATTTATTAGGTACTAAGAACTCATCAGGCTGATGAATTTTATGTCAAAGAATGGCTGTGGGTGAGGGTCTAGTAGGTTTAGAGTGGTAGATAATGATGTAAACCACTGGATTCAGGTCATTTAGCATGGAGTCAACTCTGGGACTTTCTAGCTGTGTGAAGTTGGAAAATCATTTGATGTGTCCGAGCCCAAGTTTCTAAATTATTCAGCAAGGACAATACTAATGATTCAGGCATATAGTTGATACTGAGGATTAAGATGCTTGAAGTTCTTGGAAACACGTGGCTGGAACATAGTGAGGCTCTAATAAATAAGGTTATTGTTATTAGCAAGTGTCAAACAGCATTTTTGCTCAAAAACTGATGTCCAGCAGAATCATAACTTAAACTTTCTAGTCTTTTTTCCTTATTTGATTTCATTTTGCTTATAAGAGATTATACACTTAGTGCTTAAACCATAGAATTTTCCTTCTTTTGTAAAATGGAGTATTGCATAGTATTTTTTTTTCCTTTAAATTTTTTTTTTAAATTTTTTATTGTGGGTTGTTCAAAACATTACAAATTTCTTGACATATCATATTCCACACTTTGATTCAAGTGGGTTATGAACTCCCACCTTCACCCCATACACAGATTGCAGAATCACATCAGTTACACATCCATTGATTTACAAATTGCCATACTAGTGTCTGTTGTGCTCCGCTGCCTTTCCCATCCTCCACCCTCCCCCTTCCCCACCTCTCCCCTCCCCTCCCCTCCTCTCTCTCTACCTCCTCCACTGTATAACCCTGAGGGTCTCCTTCCATTACCATGCAATTTCCCTTCTCTCTCCCTTTCCCTCCCACCTCTCATCCCTGTTAAATGTTAATCTTCTTCTCCTGCTCTTCCTCCCTACTCTGTTCTTAGTTACTCTCTTTATATCAAAGAAGACATTTGGCATTTGTTTTTTAGGGATTGGCTAGCTTCACTTAGCATAATCTGCTCTAATGCCATCCATTTCCCTGTAAATTCTATGATTTTGTCATTTTTTAATGCAGAGTAATACTCCATTGTGTATAAATGCCACATTTTTTTTTTATCCATTCGTCTATTGAAGGGCATCTAGGTTGGTTCCACAGTCTTGCTATTGTGAACTGTGCTGCTATGAACATCGATGTAGCAGTGTCCCTGTAGCATGCTCTTTTTAGGTCTTTAGGGAATAGACCAAGAAGGGGAATAGCTGGGTCAAATGGTGGCTCCATTCCCAGCTTTCCAAGAAATCTCCATACTGCTTTCCAAATTGGCTGCACCAATCTGCAGTCCCACCAGCAATGTACAAGTGTACCCTTTTCCCCACATCCTCGCCAGCACTTGTTGTTGTTTGACTTCCTAATGGCTGCCAATCTTACTGGACTGAGATGGTATCTTAGGGTGGTTTTGATTTGCATTTCTCTGACAGCTAGAGATGTTGAGCATTTTTTCATGTACTTGTTGATTGATTGTATGTCCTCCTCTGAGAAGTGTCTGTTCAGGTCCTTGGCCCATTTGTTGATTGGGTTGTTTGTTCTCTTATTGTCTAATTTTTTGAGTTCTTTGTATACTCTGGATATTAGGGCTCTATCTGAAGTGTGAGGAGTAAAGATTTGTTCCCAGGGTGTAGGCTCCCTATTTACCTCTCTTATTGTTTCTTTTGCTGAGAAAAAAACTTTTTAGTTTGAGTAAGTCCCATTTGTTGATTCTAGTTATTAACTTTTGTGCTATGGGTGTCCTATTGAGGAATTTGGAGCCCGACCCCACAGTATGTAGATCGTAGCCAACTTTTTCTTCTATCAGACGGCGTGTCTCTGATTTGATATCAAGCTCCTTGATCCATTTTGAGTTAACTTTTGTGCATGGCGAGAGAAAGGGATTCAGTTTCATTTTGTTGCATATGGATTTCCAGTTTTCCCAGCACCATTTGTTGAAGATGCTATCCTTCCTCCATTGCATGCTTTTAGCCCCTTTATCAAATATAAGATAGTTGTAGTTTTGTGGATTGGTTTCTGTGTCCTCTATTCTGTACCATTGGTCCACCCGCCTGTTTTGGTACCAGTACCATGCTGTTTTTGTTACTATGGCTCTGTAGTATAGTTTGAAGTCTGGTATCGCTATACCGCCTGATTTACACTTCCTGCTTAGCATTGTTTTTGCTATTCTGGGTCTTTTGTTTTTCCATATGAATTTCATGATTGCTTTCTCTATTTCTACAAGAAATGCCGTTGGGATTTTGATTGGCATTGCATTAAACCTATAGAGAACTTTTGGTAATATCGCCATTTTGATGATGTTAGTTCTGCCTATCCATGAACAGGGTATATTTTTCCATCTTCTAAGATCTTCTTCTATTTCTCTCTTTAGGGTTCTGTAGTTTTCATTGTATAAGTCTTTCACCTCTTTTGTTAGGTTGATTCCCAAGTATTTTATTTTTTTTGAAGATATTGTGAATGGAGTGGTTGTCCTCATTTCCATTTCAGAGGATTTGTCGCTGATATACAGGAATGCCTTTGATTTATGCGTGTTGATTTTATATCCTGCCACTTTGCTGAATTCATTTATTAGCTCTAATAGTTTCTTTGTAGAGCCTTTTGGGTCTGCTAGGTATAGAATCATATCATCTACAAATAGTGATAATTTAAGTTCTTCTTTTCCTATTTTTATGCCTTTAATTTCTTTCGTCTGTCTAATTGCTCTGGCCAGTGTTTTGAGAACTATGTTGAAGAGAAGTGGAGAGAGAGGGCATCCCTGTCTTGTTCCAGATTTTAGAGGGAATGCCTTCAGTTTTTCTCCATTCAGAATGATGCTAGCCTGAGGCTTAGCATAGATTGCTTTTACAATATTGAGGTATGTTCCTGTTATCCCTAGTTTTTCTAGAGTTTTGAACATAAAGGGATGCTGTACTTTGTTGAATGCTTTTTCCGCATCTATCGAGATGATCATATGGTTCTTATTTTTAAGTCTATTGATGTGGTGAATAACATTTATTGATTTCCGTATATTGAACCAGCCTTGCATCCCAGGGATGAATCCTACTTGATCATGGTGTACAATTTTTTTGAGATGTTTTTGTATCCGATTCGCCAGAATTTTATTGAGGATTTTTGCATCTAAGTTCATTAGAGATATTGGTCTGTAGTTTTCTTTCTTTGAAGTGTCTTTGTCTGGTTTAGGTATCAGGGTGATGTTGGCCTCATAGAATGAATTTGGAAGTTCTCCCTCCTTTTCTATTTCCTGAAGTAGCTTGAAAAGTATTGGTATTAGTTCTTCTTTAAAGGTTTTGTAAAATTCTGCTGTATACCCATCCGGACCTGGGCTTTTCTTAGTTGGTAGTCTTTTGATGGTTTCTTCTATTTCCTCAATTGATATTGGTCTGTTTAGGTTTTCTATATCCTCCTGACTCAATGTGGGCAGATCATATGACTTAAGAAATTTATCTATGCCTTCACTATCTTCTAATTTATTGGAGTATAAGGATTCAAAATAGTTTTTGATTATCTTCTGTATTTCTGAAGTGTCTGTTGTGATATTGCCTTTTTCATCCCGTATGCTAGTAATTTGAGTTCTCTCTCTTCTTCTCTTCGCTAGCATCGCTAAGGGTCTGTCGATTTTGTTTATTTTTTCAAAGAACCAACTTTTAGTTTTGTCAATTTTTTCAATTGTTTCTTTTGTTTCGATTTCATTAATTTCAGCTCTGATTTTAATTATTTCTTGCCTTCTACTTCTTTTGCTGTTATTTTGCTCTTCTTTTTCAAGGATTTTGAGATGAAGTATGAGATCATTTATTTGTTGTTTTTTTCTTTTTTTAAGGAATGAACTCCAAGCAATGAATTTTCCTCTTAGAACTGCTTTCAATGTGTCCCATAGATTCCGATATGTTGTGTCTGTGTTTTCATTTATCTCTAAGAATTTTTTAATTTCCTTCTTGATGTCTTCTATAACCCATTGATCATTCAGTAACCTATTGTTCATTCTCCAAGTGATGTATGCTTTTTCCTTCCTTCTTTTATCGTTGATTTTCAGTTTCATTCCATTATGATCAGATAAGATGCATGGTATTATCTCTACTCCTTTATATTGTCTAAGAGTTGCCCTGTGACATAATATATGATCTATTTTTGAGAAGGATCCATGTGCTGCTGAGAAAAAAGTGTAACTGCTTGATGTTGGGTGGTATACTCTATATATGTCAATTAGGTCTAGGTTATTAATAGTGTTATTGAGTTCTATAGTTTCCTTATTCAACTTTTGTTTGGAAGATCTGTCCAGTGGCGAGAGAGGTGTGTTGAAGTCTCCCATGATTATGGTGTGGTGGTCTATTAGACTCTTGAACTTGAGAAGAGTTTGTTTGATGAACATAGCTGCACCATTGTTTGGGGCATAAATATTTATGATTGTTATGTCTTGTTGGTGTATGGTTCCGTTAAGCAGTATGTAGTGTCCCTCTTTATCTCTTTTGATTAACTTTGGCTTGAAATCTATTTTATTTGATATGAGTATGGACACGCCTGCTTGTTTCCGAAGTCCATATGAGTGATATGATTTTTCCCAACCTTTCACCTTCAGCCTATGTATGTCTTTTCCTATCAAATGTGTCTCCTGTAGGCAGCATATTGTTGGGTCTTGTTTTGTGATCCATTCTACTAGCCTGTGTCTCTTAATTGGTGAGTTTAAGCCATTAACATTTAGGGTTATTATTGAGATATGGGTTGTTCTTCCAGCCATATTTGTTTATTTCTGTTACTAAACATGGTTTGTTTTCCTCTTTGATTATTTCCCCCCCCCTTTACTGTCCTACCTCCCACTGTTGGTTTTCATTGTTATTTTCCATTTCCTCTTCCTGTAATGCTTTGGCGAGGATGTTTTGAAGAGATGGTTTTCTAATTGCAAATTCTTTTAACTTTTGTTTATCGTGGAAGGTTTTAATTTCATCCTCCATCCTGAAGCTTAATTTCGCTGGATACACAATTCTTGGTTGGAACCCATTTTCTTTCAGTGTTTGAAATATGTTATTCCAGGATCTTCTAGCTTTCAGAGTCTGTGTTGAAAGATTAGCTGTTATCCTGATTGGCTTACCCCTAAATGTAATCTGCTTCCTTTCTCTTGTAGCTTTTAAAATTCTCTCCTTATTCTGTATGTTGGGCATCTTCATTATAATGTGTCTAGGTGTGGATCTCTTATGATTTTGCACATTCGGTGTCCTGTAGGCTTCTAGGATTTGGGATTCTGTCTCATTCTTCAAGTCTGGGAAGTTTTCTTGTATTATTTCATTGAATAGACTGCTCATTCCTTTGGTTTGGAGCTCTGTACCTTCCTGTATCCCAATGACTCTTAAGTTTGGTCTCTTAATGTTATCCCATATTTCTTGGATGTTCTGCTCATGGTTTCTTAACAGTCTTGCTGAGCTGTCTATGTTCTTTTCCAGTTGAAATACTTTGTCTTCATTGTCTGATGTTCTATCTTCTAAGTGTTCTACTCTGCTGGTAGTATTCTCCATTGAGTTTTTAAGCTGGTTTATTGCTTCCTGCATTTCTAGGATTTCTGATTGCTTGTTTTTTATAACCTCTATCTCCCTGTATAGTTGATCCTTTGCTTCCTGGATTTGTTTGCGTAATTCGTTGTCGAAGTGATCTTTCATTGTCTGATTTTGCTGTTTAATGTCTTCCTTGATACTCCAGATCATCTGAAGCATGTATATCCTGAATTCTTTATCTGACATTCCATCTGCTGCAGCTGTTACCTCTTCTAAAGTTGCGTTGACCTGCATTGCTTGTGGTCCTTTCTTTCCTTGTCTTTTCATACTGCTTGCGTATCTTTCCTGCAGGTGCGGGCGGTGGCTCTGCTCTCTCCTTATTCCAATTGGGGTGTCGTGGCTACCACGCCGGCAGGTCACTGGGCCTGTTCTGGGAGCTGGCGGCTGCTCTGTTCTGCCCCTACTCCAATTGGGGTGACTAATGTACCACGCCGGCAGGCCACCGGGCCTGATCCGCCGGTCGGTTGCAGGTTTGCCTACCCTGCAGGCGCGGGCGGCGGCTCTACTCTGCCCCTACTCCAAATGGGGTGACGTGTCTGTCGTACCGGCAGGCCACTGGGCCTGTCCCGCTGGTCGGTCGCAGATCTGCCCACCTTTCGGGCACGGGTGGAGGCTCTGCTCTGCCCCTACTCCAATTGGGGTGTCGTGACTACCCCGCCTGCAGGACGCTGGGCCTGTTCCTGGCACGGGAGGCGACTCTGCTCTGTCACTACTCCAATTAGGGTGGTGTTTGTACCACGCCGGCAGGCTCCTGGGCCTGATCCGCCGGTCTGTTGTAGGTCTGCCTACCTTGGAGGCGCGGGCGGCGGATCTGCCCTGCCCCTCCTACCACGCCTGCGGACCCCTAGGCCTGATCTGCAGGTTGATCACTGGTCTGCTCACCCTGCGGGCACGGGTGGCGGTTCCGCTCCGCCCCCACTCCAATTGGGGTCACGTGACCACCACACCGGCAGGGCCTGATCCGGGCGTGTTAGAAGGATCTGCTCTGCCCCTACTCCAGTTGGGGTGACGTGTGTACCACACTGGCAGGCCACTGGGCCTGACCCGCCAGGCTGTCACAGGTCTGTTTACCTTGCAAGCGCGAAGGGCGGCTCTGCCCTGCCCCTCCTACCACGCCCATGTACCACTGGGTCGCGGGTCTGCCCACCTTGCGGTTGCGGGTGGCGGCTCCGCTCTGCCCCCTCTCCAATTGGGGTCACGCGGTCACCACGCTTGCGAGCCGCTGGGCCTGCTCCGGGCGCTGGCGGCGGCCCAGCTCCTCCCCTCTGGCTCGAGGACAAATTGAGGAGACTCAGGTGTCTGTGCCTCACCCCCCCTACCAGAAGACCAACTGCTTATGTCACCGCTGGTATTGATGAAGATCTCTCCTCCACCGCTTTCTGCTGACATCAGATCTCTGCCATGTTGGTATCCTATGCGAATGGCAGCATTTCGTTCCCCTTGCCAGGCAACCAAAGCAACGGGTGAGTCCTGACCGGCCCTCAGCAGGACCCGGACCGAGACGCAGTTTCCGTGGGCTCCTAGCCCCGGTCCAGGGAAGTTCCGGGAGCCGGAACTCGGCCGCTCCGTGCTCGGTGTAAGCTCCTATAAGTGTAAGCTCCAAGAAGCAGTCCCCGCGGGCTCAGTTCCGGGAGCCGGAATTCCGCCGCTTAGTGCTTGGTGTATGCTCTGATAGGAGCAGGGTCCAAGAAGCAGCCTCCGCAGGCTCCGCAGCCCTGAGCCAGGGCGGTTCCGGGACGGTTCCGGGAGCCGGAACTCGGCCGCCCCGCGCTCGGTGTTCGCTCCGATAAGATCAGATTCTAAGAAGCCCCCAGGCGCTGAACCCTAGCAATCTGTCTGCAAGCCGCAGGCGAATTGCAGCCTGAAATTACCTGTTCTATGGCTGAATGAGCTGAGGTCAGTCGAAAACAGGGATGGTGACGTCAGCTTTCCAACATGGTGGCTGCTGGCCTCCTCTGTGGTCTGACCGGTGTGGAGAACCGAGATGGACCGCTTCCTTCCCCCGTCTCGAACCCAGAATTCAGCCCTGAGTACGGTGCTTGCGCGGCTGGCAGAAACTGCAGCGCTGTAACCCTGCGTCTCTATCCCAGCGCGCGCTGCAGACTCTAGCCGCGGGGCGATTTGCTGAATAAGCAGTGTTACCCTCCGTGCGACAAACCTCTCGCGTTTGAGTCCCCGTAGCCGATCCCCGTGCGATGGAAATCCTTCCTCCAGGTTCCGGAGCACCCCACTATTGCTGGAAATTCCTAACAAGATATCCTTTAGCCGTCCTGACTTGTCATACTCCCACACAGTGAAGCAGCACACGGGGGCAATGCACTCCCCTCGCCACCATCTTCCTCTCCCCCCTCCTTTAAAAATTTTTAAATTTTAAGAGAAAAAAGGTTTATTTTTGTTCTCCTTCAGGAGAGAAGTAAGCTATGGGAGGAACAATTCTATCTCTTCTAGGCCTTCTTCCTCAATTATTTCAGAACAGGAAAGCATTAGCTGAAGGTGAATTTGGAAGAACTGATCACTTTTTGTTCCTGGATTTTTGGAGCTAGGCTGTCTTCAGGGAGCCACATCCTGGCCTCTGAGGCCAGGAGGTCAGCTTACTAGGTGGGCTTTTTGTATTCAAGGGGGGTCCTGGAACTGTACAACTCTTTATTCCAGGGCCAGCAAATTAATTTCTGGGTGGGTTTATAGGTGGACTTTTGGCTGTGGCCAAAAGACTCATTTGCTAATTGATTTTATTCAAATTGAGCTGTATCTTCTATAGCTTATTACTGTTTTGATCTAAAATTTAGAAACAGATTGTTATTTAATTTCTCAAATCCCAACTCTTCTGCACAACCTACAGCCTCTTGCATTGTGGAGAAGATCAAAGCCAATCTGTATACTTAGGAAACCTGTAGATACTGTGTGTCAGATGTTGGTGTAATGCTTGAGGTTTAGCAGTGTGTCCTCCTATCTGTAGAAGAGTAGATAGAAAAAAGGGTCTACAATGAAGAGGCAAGGCCCACTTCTAGCTTTGTAATTTTGCAGTTCTGGCCTTTGAAGTGAACTGCTGTAGAGATTAAATAGGCGTGTGCTCACATGCTGTGAAGCCCAGTGGCTAGACAAACCAGTTAGGACTTTCAAGGACTCTGGATAAGTGAGGATACATTTCAGCAAAAAGCTACTGGTATTCAGGCAAGGAGCCAGTGATATTTTGGACCGACCTGGGAACTAAACACTGCAAATGAAGTTCAGTAGAAATCACTTGATTCCTTGGTCTATAGGTGAGCCAGGAATGAAAGACAGAACCATCGTAGAAAACCTGGTGGGAAAAGAGATCTTTGATAATGCAAGCTAATTTGTCACAACAGTGTATTTTATTAAAATAAAAGATGGCCACTTATCTCAAGAGATCAGAGTATTAGCCCAAGTAAGGTGATTAAATTTTTCTCTGGCAAAGGGGAAGCACTTAGCTTAGTCACAAAATAAAGCAGAAACCCATGGTGTAGGATTTTTAAATGGAATTGGCAAATGAGTGTCAGTTGACCCTGAAGATTTTCTATTGGTCTTCTTTAATCAAAATTCTGGGAAAGAAAAATTTTCCACAGGTCCTTAGGATAAAAATCTTTCTGTAAGGAGGACTTAAAGGACAAAGAAACTGTGGTGGAATTCTAAAAATATTTTAGCTGGTATCTCTGGATTAAAATATATTTTCTCTTTTTGATTTTTACCTCTAGAACATTAGACCAAAAGGAGGAGAGCTAATTTAAAATGATGTATTTAGGCTACCAATTGAGGTTTCTGAACATAAAATATATACCCCCATTAGGAGCATTTGAAATATGTTTGGTGGTCAGCAGATGAGATACAATTCCTACATTCCTATCATCCCAAGCTCATTTTTCATAACTATTTGTATGGATTTTCCACAGGGTCTCCATTCTTTATGTAATTGAAGTCATATTATATATTATGTATGTATGTTTTCTAATATTTTGACTTTAATAGAGAGGTTTCAGTGTCATTAAAGCATAGTATAAATTGATTGGCTGCATAATATCCTGTTAGATGAATGGATCATATGCTTCCTGGGGTATAAATGCTTTATCCCATTCAGCTATTCAAGAGGTAAGACGAGACAGACAAATAAATCAATTACATTCTTATATTCCAATTATGAGTCTGCTGAAAAGGAAATTAGGAAAACTATTCCATTCATAATAGCCTAAAAAATACACAGGAATCAATTTAATTTAACAAAAAAGATGAAGGGCTTCTACAATGAAAAAATATAGAACACTAAAGAAAGAAATTGAAGAACTTAAAAGTTGGAAAGATATCCCATGTTCTTGCATAGGCAGAATTAATTCTGTCAAAATGGTCATACTACCAAAAGTGCTATACAGATTCATTGCAATTTCCATCAAAATTCCAACAATGTTTTCCCACAGAAATAGAACAAGCGTTATGAAGTTTATTTGGAAAAATGTGAGATCCAGGATAGCCAAAGCAACAGATAAATGGATAAAGAAAATGTGATGTATGTGCACAATGGAGTAGTACTCAGCCTCAAAGAAGAATGAAATTATGGCATTTGCTGCTAAATGGGTAGAAATGGAGATTATCATGCTAAATGAAATAAGCCAGTCCCCAAAAGTCAAAGGTTGAATGTTTTTTTCTGATATGCAGAAGCCAACCCAAAATAAGGGGTAGGGAATTAAAGAATCAAAGAAAGATCAGTAGATTAGACAAAGGAGAATGAAGGGAAGGGAGGAGGGATGAGATTAGGAAAGACAGTGGAATGTTTCTGACCTAACTTTCCCATGTATATATATGAATATACCATTGTGCACATCTACAAGACACCAATTAAAAAAAAAAAAAAACTTGGGCTAGGGTTGTAGCTCAGTGGTAGAATGCTTGCCTAGCACATGTGAGGCACTGGGTTTAATCCTCAGCACCCCATAAAAATAAATAAGTTAAAGGTATTGTGTCCATCTAAAAAAATAATTAAAAACATAAGTAGACAGCAAGAGAGATCAGTAGAGTAGAGGTAAGGGAACAGGGGGAGGTAGGAGGAGAGGGAAAGGGAAGTACTGGGGACTGAATTAGAGCAAATTATATTCCATGCTTTTTATGATTTGTGAAAACAAATCCTATTGTTATGTGTAACTAAAAAGGGCCAAAAAGTTAAAGAAAGGAAGAAAGAAAGAAAGAAGTGCACTCTCCTGGATGCTCCTGGTTGTTAGGGGTTAGGTCATTTCAACTGCAATGATTCTAAACTTCTGAGTGGAGTGGAAGTGAGAGCGAGGGGCCAGGAGAAAAGGTGAATGTGTGTGTTTAGGGGTGGGTTTCTCAACCCTGAGTCTCCTGGCACTTTAGGCCAGGTGATACTTTGTTGTGGGGGTGTCCTGTGCCTACAGGGTACCTGGCAGAATCTCTGGCCTCTATTCTCCAGATGCCAGTACACTCCTTTCCTCTCCAGTTGTGGCAGCTAAATTTGACTCCAGGATATATATATATATATATATATATATATATATATATATATATATATATATATATATATATATATATATATATATATATTATAGGAGCTACTAAGGTTTCTACCACAAAAAGGGAGGAGGCAGTGACAGGAAAAATTTTATTTATATAAAAGAGCATTTTAAATCTTCTCCTTAGAAATTATAAAGACTATACATGACTCAGAAATGGGACTGTACCAAACAATGCCAAAGAAGAGTCATGCATTCTACACCTTTTCTTTTGTCGGGCCCCTCAGAAATAACGTTATCAGCTCTGACTATTGTTGCTTGTTGCCTCACATTATTTTTATCCACATAATTCACTGTAGTCTACATTCCCTTTTACATCAATTCAAGATTCCTTTTGCATGTACTGACTGATATGCCATATCTCTAAGGCCTGTCTGGAACACTGATACTGTGCCATGTTGTCTTTTGGCCAATATCACCCATTTGGTATATGTCACTGTCCTCTGATTGCCACATCTCATTTGTTAGAAAATATTGTGACTAGATTTTTATCTTTCACTTGTCTCAGGATGGGATCCTGACCTACTAGCTCAAGTAACTGCACACGATTCAGATATGTTTCAAGAACCAAAGTGCTGGTCATTTTAGACTCCTGTTTTACAAACTGATGAAGTTCCTGTAATACAGGAAACATGCCTTCTGTTTTCTTTTCTTACAATCTAAACTTTTAGCTTTTCCTAACATGCTAGCCCAGGCAACCTCTACTCAGGGGGTTACTTCCGTCCAGATTTCTTAAATGTGCCAAAGACTCTAGTGTGAGAGCTACTTTTAATAACTTAGAGCATCTCGAGATACTTTGGATTTCTTCTTGGCAGGTATAACAGAGCCTGTGTCACTAGCTCCCTGCTGTGATGCACACAAGGCAGGTATAATAGTATGTTCTAGACAAACACACTTTGTTCTCAGACCATGATACTACCGGTCTGTTAAGAAGATACTGTGATAGAACATGTCAATATGTCCAAGTTATCTTTTCTCTGTAATGATAAGGTTAGGTTCTTGGCACAGCACACTTAGCCTCATGTTTAAAGCAGGGAGCATTAAGACAGACTAAATTCATATATTGTACTTGCTTTTGGCATGGCAGAAACCACCTATATCTAAACCTTCTCATACATTCCCTTCTTGGACATTGGGATACCTTGAACATATTTTTCAATATTTTTTCATCAGAGAAGAACAAGAAAAGTCTGTTTTGAGTTCATGACTGTCCCATGTCACTCTTTCCTCTGAATACCCCTGGAAATTTCTTTTTATCATGTTATGCATTCTGTTCTGCTTATCCCAGAGTCATAATTGAAAACAAAGAAAAATGTATATTCGAATAGGCATCAGCAAACCTGGTTTCTATTCCTGGCTCTGCTATATCCCAACTTCACAAGTTTTGTCACATTTCTGGCCTTTATACCTTGATTCTTTTATATAAATAAATTGGGACAGCACCAATATCAAGGATTATGGGGATTAGGAAGGTGTGGCAATGCTGGATACTACATTATGCTATGCGTGGAGTTGTACTACCCCAACAGACTGTGAGCTTCTTGAGAGAGGTGTCTTGGAGTTTCCTACTCATACTTAGTGTCCTACACATACTAGACTCTGATGAATGAATGAATTGATAAAAAGGTTCGGGGGAGGGGGGAAGGGAAAAATAATACAAGGGGGAGAAATGAATGACAGTAGAGGGGGTAGAGAGAGAAGAGGGGAGGGGAGGGGAGGGGAGGGGGGATAGTAGAGGATAGGAAAGGCAGCAGAATACAACAGACACTAGTATGGCAATATGTAAATCAATGGATGTGTAACTGATGTGATTCTGCAATCTGTATATGGGGTAAAAATGGGAGTTCATAACCCACTTGAATCAAAGTGTGAAATATAATATATCAAGAACTATGTAATGTTTTGAACAACCAACAATAAAAAATTAATAAAAATAAAAAAAAGACTGGAGATATGGCTCAGTGGTTGAGCACCCCTAGGTTTAATCCTCAGTATATAAAAAAAGGAAAGATTAAAGTGAAAACAATTGAAATCTTTTATGTGCATGTAGAAAGGTCAAAGAAGATAAAATCACATGACCTCAACTGTCATAATGGATTTTCTAAATGTAAATAAATTTAATTCAGCATAAAAAAAAAAGGTTCTTGGTGTTCTTGCCTTCCACCTGCACTTGGCACCTAGAAAAAAGACAAAGCAACACTTCCCACCACTTTACAGATGACACTGGGCGCAGTGCTTGCTGCTCTTACCTGTGGTACGATTCCACAGAGGCTGACAGGATAGTCAAACTCAAGTTCATTTGGTCGCACATGAATTGCCACACAGCCAGTCCCAAGAAATAATTCATCAGGGCCTATCAATTCATCTTCATAAAATAGTGCTCTGTTAACTACTACACGGAAATTATGATGGCTGCATTCCACCAGTACTGCCAAGAGAAGACAAAAATTAGCAATTCTGCTTCAGTGGACAAGCAAAGAAATCTGAGCAGTATTAGATCGCATGAAGGAAAACCATCTTTAATTAAAGCAAACGAAGCTTAGAGATTTGTGTAAAAATGATTCCCAGTTGGGCATGGTTGTGCACGCCTGTAATCCCAGCTACTGGGGAGCTGAGGCAGGAGGATGGCAAGTCTGAGGCCATCTGGGGTAACTTATCAAGACCCCGTCTCAAAATAAAATACAAAGGGGCCTGAGGCTTTGGTAGTGGTAAAATGCTTGCCTAGCATTTTATTAAACACCAAGTTTAATAAACACCAACTACTGTTGTATTAAATACCAAGTACTGCTGGGAAACAAACAAACAAACAAAAAACCACCCAAAGATTCCCTTCTTTTGTAAAAGTACCAGTCCCCTCCTGGTACCAGAACCAGATAACCAGAATCAGTGTACAATGTGCTTGGAATTCTTTTCTGAGAAACACCATATATAGCTGTCTTTGGTAGAAGAGAAAAGGTCTATATCTTCATTAGGGTGCTCATACTGGGTACCTAGTTCCCCAATACCTAGTGTCCCTGTAAAACTTGAGCCCTTTGATAATCGTGATATTATGTATAACTAATGCACTAACAAACCATATGGTAGTCCTTAAATGTGTGTGTGTGTGTGTGTGTGTGTGTGTATGGTTATTATGGTTATTTAGCTAAGTAAATCTAGAGGAAAACCTGGTTCTATGTAAATAAAGGATGAGTTCTAGGTTCAAATTGTTTTAGGTTTCCAGCTTTGGTCATGTGCCACATAGTAGCACAGTGCAGTACATGTGGAAGGAAAGAAGCAAGTCTTTCAGGGCTAAGGAAGTAAAGATTTGGAACTGAAAGTCAAGCCTGGCTTGTTGCTTTTTATATACCATTACACTGGAAGATCAGAATGTTCAATTTACACCTGGCTTAAACTCCTCTGAGTTTTAGGGTCATCTCTCCAAAAGGATATTTGAAATATTCTCTCATTATGTTCTTGTTCAATGTGAAACTCAGGATTTTACCCTGTTTTCAATTTATTTTCTCCCCATCTCATCCAATAGTGCCACAATCCACCCAACATCCAAGCCAGAACACCTTAGAATTTATCTTCATACCTACATCCAATCTCCCAACCTTTTCACTTTGACCTTTGAAATTTATATCACATGTATTCACTTCTCCATGGTCAACACTCTGGCCCAATCTGCCACTGCCTCTCCCCTGGACTACCCTTGCAGCCTTGTGAAGGAGCACCCCGTCTCCAGTTTCCTTCTTTTTCTAGGTCAGCTGCAAAGATGGATGGATGCAGATAGGATCATTTCACCAGGATGCATACAGCTTTCTAACTGCTTCCTATTGTGATTAGTATAAAATCTGAGATCCTAGTGGTCTATATTGACCTCGTCACTGAATCTCCAATTAACTTTGCTTGATTTGCTAAGTCGTAGTCCAGTGAGTTTCAACCATTTGACCAAATTTTAACAACAAGCTCCAATTTTAACAATAAGCAATTTTAATGCCTACTGTCTTATTCCTAAAAATTTAGAGATAACCTATTTACACTTTAAAAAATAATAATTTATTCATTGCACTATAAAATGAAAAAAATATACTGAAACAATATGTATATCAATAAAAAGATACTCAGGCAGACCTGTTGAAATACTCTAACATGTACATAATATTTACCTTGATCAAGACTAAGGCTAATACCAACAGAGATTTCAAGCACCAGAGTGGCTTTCCATTCAGTAGTGAGATTTTTCCAGGAAGATAAACAACTTAGTAAAGTTCCAACAATGATGTGCAAACTTCCCTTGGGTTACGTGTACAAACTGTACAAGAAGTCTCTTTGTCATCTTTGCAAAATGAATTAGTTCTGGAGCTCCACATACAGCATGGTGACTATAATTAAGAGCACCTGGTATACTCGAGGTTTTCCAAGAGTAGGTCTCAAGTATCCCCATCACAAAGAAACTGAGGTGATAGATATGTTAATTATGTCAATAGTGGTAATCATTTTACAATGTATCCTTCTATCGAATATACTACAGTGAATTTCACCTTTATGTATATCCATAACGCAAATTTCAAAAAACCATAAATAATGGAAGGAAGACCAGTAGAATTAAGGGAAGAGGAAGAGGAGGGAGGGAAGGGAAAGGGAAAGTACTGGGCACTGAAGTGGAACAAATTATATTTCTTGCTTGTATGATTACAGCAATATGAATCCTGACATTATGTATAACTGATACACTAACAAAGAAACCACATTGTAGTCCTTTAATATATAAACATATATACATCATTCATATATATAATATATATGGTTGTTGAGCTCAGTAAATCTGGGGGAGAACCTGGTTCTATATAAATGAAGGATGGGTTCTAGGTTCAGATTGTTTTAACAGATTTCTATATATATATATAAATGAATGGTGAAATATTTGAAATTTATATTGGACACCAGAGAATTATTTGCTTTGGGGATTGTCCCTTGCATTTTAGGTTATGTGGCATACCCTCTTTCCTTCCAATTTTGTTCAAAGCAAAGTGGCATACATTACCAAAATGCCCCAGGGAGCAGGAAACAAGGCCTTTTTGAAGCCACCTTAGCCATACCGACCTCCTTTTGGCTCAATGAGGTTGACACCCTCTTCACAGCTCCTTGCACATAGATGGCTTTTCCTCTGGGATTCTGGCTTGCTAACTCTTCTTCCATGTCCCAGTTCAATGTCACTTTCTCAGCAGACCTTATGCTGAGGGTCCTATTCAAGTGGCTTTTCTCTTTCAGTTTTTCCTGTCTCACATCACCCTATTCATTTCTCGAAAGCCGAATGTCTTCTCTGATATAAGGGAGGTGACTCAAAATGGGGTAGGGAGGAAGAGCATGAGAAGAAGATTACCACTAAATAGGGAAGAGAGGTTGAGGGAAAGGGAGAGAGAAGGGGAATTGCACAGAAGATGGAAGGAGACCCTCATCGTTATACAGATTACATGTATGATGATGAGGGTGGGGGGAAAGAAGTGTGTCACATTAGATTGGATAGAGAGAAGTGATGGGAGGGGAGGGGAGGAGAAGGGGAGAAAGGAAGGGCAGCAGAATAAAATAGACACTAGTATTGCTGTAGGTATATACGTGACTGCATGACCAATGTGATTCTGCAACCTGTACACTCAGAATAATGAGAAATTTTACCCCATTTGATTCAAATGTATGATATGTCAAGATCATTGTACTATCATGTATAACTAATTAAAACAAATAAAAAAATAAAAATAAAACAAACAAAAAAGCCCTCATTATAACCTGGAATCATACTACTTATTTATAGGGTTTTTCTCCCTAACTGGGGTTCAAGAGCTATACACGTAGTGACTATTTACTGCTGTTTTTTTCTGCCAACAAGTCAGACATGTGGTTGGTAAATGGATGAGGAAGGAAATATTAAATGGAAATCTAGAATTCTGATGATACTCTCTACTTACTACCTGTGCTAAATACTGATAATAGGACAGAGCAGATGGGTAACATGGATTTTCCTTGTGGAAAAGGGGGAAAGATCTTGTTCAAGATTATTGTCATGGTTTAGACCTTGTGAGGAACCTGAAATATTATGGTGGAATTAGGACTATGAGCATAAAGAATTGATCAAGTTGTATTCATAACTGTCAACACGTCCCGAGGAGGAAGGGCACACATTTTGGGAGCAGAAGTACTTCCTAACAGCATGCACACATTGAGTGTTAAAACAGATCTAACACTGATTTGGTTTCTGTGGGAGAATACTCCAGGAAATATTAATTATCTTTAAAGATTTTGCTCTTTTATGACTATGAACAAAATATATCATTGAAACTGCTGAATTTATTCTTTAATTGTGTCTGTGTGCTTAATTATCAATAAGTGGAATTGTTTGAGAAAATATCTGATATTTAAATCCCTAGTAGATGTGTTGCTTCAATTAATAAACTTACTATAAAATGAAAAAAAATACAAAAGAACCCAAATAAAGCTGCCTGATTTCACCAGGGCAAGATCCAGTATTTAGGGTAAACAGTGTGTAAAAACTGTACTAAAGCTACTCATTGACAGCTTTAAAGCTTAATGGAAATTTGACGGTAAGTTCCAGCAGTCTCATATGCCTCTTTTTCCACAAGTATATATCTCCGTCGGGGGGAGGGAAACCCAACTTTCAAAATTCCATTTTATAAGAATTGAGAGTTGTTTATATTGACAAAACACCCACATATTTTCTTTTCTTGGAACTTCACATTTCCATCATTATTTTAAATTTGAATTTCTTTATATCCTTGGAAAATTGAATAAGCATTCTTTGCCTTTTGTAGAAAAGGAAAAGAGGAACTCAAGTGGTTTCAGATGTGCAAATTAAAACTGGTCAGCAGAGTCAGGCTGGGCTGGGCCACATCAGGCAACATGTTTATAAGGATCACCTGTTTAGAATTCTGCCTTCCGCAATCCTCCATCTTGAGTAGGGTAGTTGATGTCTTAACCTAAATATCGGGACTCTCCCGATTAGGATTTCCTTTCTAAGAAAAGACCAAAGTCCTTAACAAGAGTTACAAGGCTCTGCCCAGTCAGCCCCCTGCATCAGAAGCAAACGCAGGCCCTCATACTTGGGATAGTGAACTGGAGGGCAGAGAGACGAGACGGGCAGACCCTGTGCTGTTCACTGTGTCACCTTTGATTTCCCTCTCTACTCTCCTCAATTCTGAGTCCTAGTGTTTCAGTCACAAACCAAATACTCCATTCGTAGCTCTGACATCACTTATATATTTTTCTCCAGCTCTCCAATAATCACTGACAGCACTCTGCCCTAAGGATCTGCAAGACTAATTTAGAGAACCATTTGTACAAAGGAAGGGGTCCTCTCGCTTATATTCCACCCCCCCCTTTACCATCTCACAGCCCTCCAAGGTCCTGTCCGCCCCTTTAGTCTGCTTACATTCCTTCTCCCCCCCAATCTGGTTGTATTCCATTTATCTTGGAAACACAGGTATTGTGTGCACACACAAGCCTTTTTAGCTTAAGGCAAAAATTAATGTTTCTAGTTCCCCAACACCCAAGTCTTTCCCTAAGTAAAGACAATGTTATCCCACCTAGAAATCCAGGGAATCTCTCCCCAAAGAACTACATTAATTCTATTTATTTCATATACTCATCTCTCGTCATTTTCCTTCTAAGTAGTTAGAGCAGTTTATACATCTGCAGGACTTATAAATTAACCCCTATCTCTTTCAAGTTGAGCAAATCTCCATTCTGAATGGTGTGAGATGTTTTAGAGAATTCTGTACCACATTCTTACCAGGAGCAGGAGAGAGGCTGTACAATGTCAGTGGAGAAGCAAGCATCTTAAAAGTCCCTTCTGTGACTCTTTGGGAAGCCATCAGACATCTGGGATCTGAGGGTAGCTTTAAGTCAGTCTTTATAGGATGCTACTCTATACCTAGTTGGTTGCAGGGAAGCCTTGGAGTGTTTAAGAGGGGGTCTGTTCAAGGTTGTATCTTTAAAAATTTACACAGTGATGTTCTGGGGGTAGCGGGGAGGTGGGGCACTTGCATAAGGGAGGCCAATTAGGAGTGCATGGTTGAGTAACTCAGGTGTGAAGTGGCGAAAGAACAATGAGTTACCAGGAATGGGAAGAGTCATATGGAAAAGCAGATGGTCCAAGGATGATCTAGTGGGAAATTCCAGTAGGTCCCAAGGAGGAAGAAGTGGTAGGGAGGAAGAGGAGAAACTCATGGCAACCTGAGTGCAGCTCTCCCTCACTCACCCACCAGGATTATCTGGACCCAAGGGGAGACCAAAGCATGGACTAATGAGAATTATTTAGTTCTTAATTGTTAGCATTGGAAAATTTAGTGCTGGCAATCAAAAGCCCTGTGACTCATAGCCATTGAGAAACTCCCCCTTGAAAACACCAGGAGTCAATGTCCCCCCTATACCTTTGTTCTGCCCAGCGCACATCCACATCCAGGAAAAAAGTGGCAGCAAAAGTCCTTCCAGCATGAGTAAGGCCTTCATCATGCTGGATCTCAGGGTAAGATCCTCTCAGGAAACAGCGAGGGAGAGGAGCTGGGAAGCCTGAGGGGTTTTTATATGGGAGGGCACACTCAGATGTGTTCAATTAACTCAACTTGAGAGGAAAAAGAAAACCTTTAACATATTGTCATCTCCAGCTCCTGACCCTGTCTTTATTATTTGGGCATAGAAAACTATAATGTTTTTTAAGGTGAACACAAGGAAGCATTATGGAGTGCCCACAGAATTGTCTTTTGGGGGACCTTTGAAGTGCTTGAATGGAGATCATTTGCTGGCCATTTTTTTGAAATTCTATTAGCTGATTTAGGGATTCTTCGAAGCTCTGATATGATAGTGTCATTTCATGATCCACTGATAGAGCCATCCCTCCACCCCCCGTTTTTGATACATATATTTATATTAATTGCTTAACTAATAACTTGGGTGCTATCAGGAGCTGCATGAGACCTGATCCAATGCTATCAACCTGGGAAGGAGATGCCAACAGGGACAGGCAGCCTCACTTGGACCATTTCTACATTTTGCAAAAGTCAACCTTAACAAGTTCCATTCTCTTCAGACTTCTTAATGTCTTTCCCAGAGGTCATGTGGTTAACACTTTGATCTCTTTTCTAACCACATTTTCCATATCCCCAAAGAAATACTGTGGTATACCAGGAACTGACTGGTATGGACAGGTGCTCCTGGGTGAGCAATGTGTGCCTCCTGGATAGTACGTTTAATCTAAAGTGTTTAAAAATCCCCATGATCAATGAAAAGCTTAGATTTTCCTCAAGTTGATGCCATGAAAATTTAAGTTTCTCCAGTAGTGTTGCTTTTTCAATATTAGGGTTTGGACAAGCTCAAGAATATGTTAGTACTCTGCAATAATACAATCAAAGATAAAAGATGGATGTGGCAAAATTTCCTAGAAAGTCTATTAAGTATTTGATGACTTATCTGGAAAATAATTTAAAATGTCATTTAAAATGCAAACAGGGCTTGGGATGAAACTCAGTGGCAGATGCTTGCCTAGCTGTGTGAAGTCCTGAGTTTGATCCCCAGTAACACAACACACAGCACAAATTGCAAATAAAAAACTGGTGAAAATTCTTTTGAAAACTCAGGATAAACTCTATTTCAAGCTTGCATCTTCCAGTTACAACCCTGTATGTGATGTTGTTCATTTTCTTTCTATTTCAGAGATAGTTTGAGAAGCATTAGACAGGTAGATCTGAAAACGTCACTAATTTTAGAAACCAAAGAGTTACATTGAGTGCAGCAAACCCAGAAACTAGTTTTAAGTATATTGAGTCAGAAGTGGAGGCAGAGTCCTATTAACCAGGTGACTTGAAGAAAATCCATGAAATAAAATGCAAGCAATACAGAAGTGTTAAAAATGTAAAATTAAAGTTCTAACACATTTCTAAGTGGTAGCTGTTGTGGCATTTTTTTCTGAAGTTTTCCAGTGCATGTGTGTGTACACTGTATATACACACATACACAGGCACTGAAGGTGTATCAGTGTACTTTATTATTTTTAATTGCTGAACATTAGTGCATTTTATGGATATAACCACACTTGTGGTATATTCATATCAAATGATGAATTTTTGAGTTGAATCTACTTTGCCAATATTATATAATTACCGAGTGCTGTAATTAATTTAAGATAAATC